AAATTAAATATAGATATTACATAGAAAATAATAATAATAATAATAATAATAGAAATAAAATAAATTCGTTGATAATTATAGGAGTCGTAATAAAGGTTTTAAAAAGTTTAAATATAACTTGTATAAAATGCTTATAAAATATTATATATTTTCTACTAATCAAGTGATATTAATTATGTTTTTGTCACTTTTAATAATTTTTACTTAATAACTATTCAATGCGTATCCTAATTTTAAGCACCCATAACTTTATTTTAATACTAAACAAGAACGGAACTAAGTTCGGCAATAAATAAAAGTGATCCAATTTCTATTTAAAAATATTTTCATTTTTTACCACCCCCAAATTCAACAATATGACTCGCATTCCCGGATTCTACATGCATTACGTGATAGAGCAGTTAGGTTTCGTTTGCTTGCATTCAGTTTTCAAAACCTAACGGCCTGTGCCGTCGAACAACAGTAACAGACAAGAAGGCGACAATAAAAAGTAACAGATCTTCACTCACCATGTTGTTGCGATTGAGTCCAAACGGCGCATGCGCTTTCGTTATCTCTTTCTTGATGAAATTCACTAAGGCTTACACTGACAGCTTTTGGCCAGAGAAAATACAACGCAACTGAAACAATAAAAAAATACAACAAAAAATAAATTAAATACGACACCCAGACGAAAACTAGAAGATTTATTTTTAAAACAAATGTGACTCCTTTCCACATAATTCCGTGACGGAGCAGTCAGCTTTCGTTTGCTTGCTTTCAATTTTTAAAACCTAACGGCCTGTGCCGTCGAACAACAGTAACAGAACAGAAGGCGACAAGAAAAAGTAACTGATCTTCACTCACCATGTTGTTGTTGCGATTGCGGCAGTCCAAACGGCGCATGCGCTTTCGTCATCTCTTCCTTGATGAATTTCACCACGGCTTACACTGAAACAATTTTGGCCAGAGGAATTAAATGCGCATACTGAAACAAAAAAAATACAACAACAAAAAATATTATATATGACACAAACACGAAAACTAAAAGGTTTCATTTTTAAACACAAATGTGACTCTCCTTTCCGGATTCCACACACATTCCGTGAGAGAGCGTCAGGTTTCGTTTGCTTGCATTCAATTTTTAAAACCTAACGGCCTGTGCCGTCGAACAACAGTAACGGAACATAAGAAGACAAGAAAAAGTAACGGATCTTCACTCACCCTGTTGTTGTTGTGGTTGCGGGAGTCCAAATGGCGCATGCGCTTTCGTCGTCTCTTCCATGATGAAATTCACTACGGCTTACACTGAGACAATTTAGGCCAGAGAAATCAGATATGCATATTGAAACACAAAAAAAAAACAAAAAATACAACAAAAAAATTAATATATATACGACTCCGAACGAAAACTAGCAGGCACTGACACTTTTTTAATTTTTTGGTTTATTTGCACACTTTTTTTTTCTCTGTAGGCCAGAACAAAACCGAACCGAAAACTAACGGCACTTCTTTAAAGCACTGACACTAGGGATTTTCTCTTTCACTCGCACTTTTTTCACTCTGCATGCAAAATATGCTGTGCACGCAACTCGGGCGTAGATTTTATGGATTTAAGCACGGATTTTCACACGATGATCGAGTACCGAACCCTCCGGAAATCTGATTTTCCACGGCGGACCGCCGAACCCGCGAAAATCACCGCCGACGCCGATTTTTTCACCCGTTTTCCCGCGTTTCGCACACTCACTTCGTATTTTCGCACAATTACTCCGGATTTTCATACGTTGATCTTGTTCCGAACACTCCGGAGGGTTGGTTTTTCACGGCGAAGCACAATATCACAATCGACGACAATTTTCCCGGCCGTTTTCCCGCTTTTCACACTTTTTTCATAGGAGCTGCGCATTTTGGGACCGAACAATTTGGCGGCGAATGAAAAATGCAAGCGGAAGAGCGAAAACTATTGCCATGTAGGAGTGGGAGAAATGAACGGGAAGAGTTAAGCGGGAGAGTCCAGAGAGCGAAAGCGCCTCTCTCTATTACAGCAGGTGGCCGATATTTGAAATTGGCAACGATGACAGCGAATGATTGGCGCCACTTTCAAAATTGAGGAATTATTTTACCGATCGTTTCTATGGCAGCTATATGATATAGTCGCTCGATTTTTATGAAATTTGCATGAAAATTCTAAAATATTACAAAATGCTTATGTGTGTTAAAATATATTGAAAACCGGCAAACATTTTTTTTATAAAATTAGAATTAAAATTCTATATAATGTTTTGCATCCAATATTTACTTCCGACCAAATCAAAAATATATATTCCCTAATACATAGTTTATATATATATAGTACAATAAATAGTACAATCCCCTCTAAGGTTATTATAACGTATTTTTTTTAACCGTGTACTCATATATATTTACATGGCAGCTTCTGTCGTCGCCGCGGCTGCTGACAACTTGAACAACAACACCAACAACAACGAGCAGAACTTCAACAATAACAACAACAACGCGAAGGACAACAACAAACAAACTGAACACTAAGGCACACACTCATTGTGAATGACAACGCCCCTGGTACGTGATTTCATTTCCGTTGTTGCCTTTTGTGCATTGCTCGTAACTTGACTCGTCCTGCTTCCACCCACAAAAAAACCCCAGTTTACCACGTTCTTCTCCCTATTTTTCCTTTTTTATTTTTTCTGTTAAAGCAGCGCCAAATTAATATGCCACTACATAAAAATAAGAGAAAGCGAGAAAATTGTATACTAAATGTGTCTACTAGTGGTTAGTAAGGTTTATTTTCTTTTTTTTTTACTGTGTATGTTTGCTGTTCATAATGAAAGATATATGATAACTAGTTTGATGGTAAACTAGTTGACTCCACCCACTAGCGAGGGGAGCTTAAAGAGTTCAGGGTTTCCTTTATACTTAAAGTACTTTAAGTGATTTTTAGGGAATTAGTGTCTAGAATTATTATTACACTAACAGCTTGTAGAAAAATCTAAAAAACGTTCATTATATTTTATAATTGATTTTACAATGCTTTAATATTTCAATATATTAAACCCAAATTTATAAAATAAACTTAAATGACTTAACTTAAATCAATAGGAGGCTTTTTTTACATCCATATTCATGCTGTTAACTACTTTACCATCTTTAAATTAATGTCTTATGGATACCTAATGACGTATCAGCATATTTAATCACAACATTATGGATTCCAAGCGCTGTATTATATTTGGCCAAAAGCAAAAATTAGCTCACAACCGGTTATTATGCTTATAGAATTGTGGGAGCAAATAGATTTAATATCATTCAAATTTATTCCAACGAAAAACCCAGACGATGCCCATCATTTATCATGGCAGCAAACAGAAAAAGATCACCCTTTATTTTTGGAAATTATTTCTCTTCCGACAGCCAAAGGTTATTGTTTATGGCCAGAACCCGGTGTAGATCTTACTAACACACTGCCACTGGCTAATATTTTGTTATGTAAATTGAATTAATAAATCATGTAATTGACCTTTACATGGCTACTTAACGAGCCCATCTTAATTACGGGAAAACAGAGCTTGAAAAATCAAGAAAATGGTCCAGTCAAAGTCAAGGCCAGGAAGATGTGAGAAATGTGCGTGTCTCTTGGTCTGTCGATCAAAACCAGTTATAAGTCTACACCTGAGAGTGAATAAACAATGGTTTAATTGGGATCTGCTGATAGACACGCGGATAAAAGGGGGCCAAAGTTAAAAACAATAACGGAAGCCATTTCCCATGCAAATGTTAAACAAAAGCCAAGCCATATCGATTGGCATTTACATACGTGAAATATAAACAAATGCACAGAAGAAGGCGATGCCTGGTAGTTAAAACTAAAACAAAACTTTAAAATTAACAACACGTTTTGTTAAATGTTTATGTTTGCGGACCATGAAGATCAAACTAACATCTCAGTTCCCTCCCAAGTCATAAAAAGAGTATAAGTATATGGATTTTTTTTACCTGTGTGTGCAAATTAAATTATTAAATAGTTGCAATTTAATTTTTTCTATAGGTAATAGAGTCACGTTGATGAGGAAATAATTAATACCGCCAAAGAGCTTTGATGAAGCAGTCATAATTATCCGCAATAATGTACTATGTATAAGGTTTTATGCGCTGAGGTACAAGTAATTAACTTAGGTGTGGATCGTCTTTTATTTTTTGATCTCAAACCGTTGAAAAACGTTATTCCATAAATATTGGTGGGGGCCTTGAAGAGCAGACTAATCGAATCCATTTTTTTTCTTTAGGCTCAGAGACGTCAGCCAGACCTATTTCTATGGCCATAATCGCCAGCAACTGGTTTTGTGGCAATTAATTGGCCACCAAGGGTTCGTTAGATAACAAAATATTATGAGCTGTTTGTTTCTCGTAAATTGGTTTACCATAAAATCGCATAAACAGATATATTTTTTGTGGGCGCCTCGCTTGGGACAATAGAATCCATTAAGAGATCTTCAAAAGTGTTGAATATCTTCAGATTTTTTTAATCTAGAATAATGGCTTCTAACCTTTGACGAAACTAGTCGTAAAAAATGAGAACCAACCAACCAGTTTTCTGTTTCTTGCAAGAAATTATTGCAAATTTCCGGCTACACCTGAGAATACAAATATAATCTATTTAATCAAATGTGCAAACGTCCATAAACTATGTTAGCGGTCACTAACTCAGATTAATGTCATCTGAAAGTCACTTTTGGGTGTTGCCCCCCAATAAACACCTAACAGCCAGTCATCTATCAGCAACACGAATGCTCCTTAATTCGCATAAACGGATTAAGTTTGGATGCACAGATTGCCACTTCATTCTGACGACCCTCGTTGGAGCCAAAAAACCAGCTAACAAATACATATATTTATATCTAATGCTGAATATTCAGATGAGATGTCGATGTGTTGATGACGATCTTCACCTAAGTTCAAGTTTCTTGCCTTCTGCAGAATTTTTGGGCTCGGTCGCTGGTATAAATAGTTAGCGCCTTCATTCGATCCAACAGAAGCGACTTAAACGCTCGTGGAGTAACATCATGGTGAGGATTTAGCCAATTGTTTCCCCGAAGGATCAGAATCAAGGATTATAATACTTATTCGTCTGTGATTTCTTTATATTTATCTCTTAGAAATTCCTGGTTATTGCCTTTGCCGTTCTGGCCTGCGCCTATGGCGATGTCTCCCATTTGGGTTATGATTACTCGCCCCCAGCACCGGCTCCGGTTTACCACCCAGCCCCTGCTCCCATCAGCATCCCAGCTCCAGCACCAGCTCCAGTCTACCATCCGGCTCCGGCTCCAGCTCCCGTGGTGATCTCTGCCCCTGCTCCTGCTCCCGTGAGGACTTATGTGCCCCCAGCACCCATCAGCATCCCGGCTCCAGCTCCGGTCCATCATGAGGTTCATGTTCCAGCTCCGGTTCATCATGAGGTTCATGTTCCAGCTCCCGTCTACCATGAGGCTCCTGCCCCAGCTCCGGTCTACCACCCAGCTCCTGCCCCAGCTCCGGTCTACCACCCAGCTCCTGCTCCCGCTCCAGTTGTGATCCCTGCCCCTGCACCCGCTCCAGTTGTGATCCCCGCACCTGCACCCGCTCCAGTTGTGATCCCTGCCCCTGCTCCCGTGAACACCTACATTCCCCCAGCACCAGCACCAGCTCCAGTCTACCACCCAGCCCCGGCTCCGGTTCACCATGAGGCTCCCGCTCCCGTCTACCACCCAGCTCCTGCCCAGCTCCCGTCTACCATGAAGCTCCTGCTCCCATTCCCGTGAGCATCCCAGCTCCTGCTCCCGTCTACCACCCAGCTCCTGCCCCAGCTCCCGTGGTGATCCCAGCTCCGGCTCCCGTGAGGACCTATGTGCCACCTGCACCAATCAGCATCCCAGCCCCAGCTCCCGTCCATCATGAGGTTCATGCTCCAGCTCCTGTCTACCACCCAGCTCCGGCACCAGCTCCAGTCTACCACCCAGCTCCTGCTCCCATCAGCATCCCAGCTTCCAACCACCAGGTTCTGGAGGAGATCGAGCCCGTGTCCAACGATGGTTACCGCTACAAGACCGTGCGCCGTCGCGTCTACCGTCACCGCTTCTAAACTTACCAAAGCCTAACGAAAACTGTTTCCTAACGAATCCCTCCTCGAGGGGATTGCAATAAAAAGAACTACCGCCTGCGAGTTTGTTAAAACAAAAAATAAGAGAGAAGTCTTCAAATTGTTTTCCAATCATAGCAAATCACATGAGGCACTATAGGAGATGGGGGGGTAAAGGAGGTGGAAAACTCCAAGTTTTCTTCGACCATTTTGAGTGGGAAATTTATGAAAACCCAAGGAAATCAACTTGCCATCGGACAGATAGCACTGGCATGGGTTGAGGCGGAGCAGCCAGGATAATAAGGAGTTGCAAGCAAGTTGCTGAACACTCCCCAAGGACTCCCGTGGACTGGTGGACTCGTCCTTCTTGCAGGACCTCCGTCGCCGACGCCATTCCACATTTATCACGAAATTTATGGGCTGGAATGAGCTTTGATGATGTGGAAATTTTTTCTCGTTAGATTCAAAAGTTTCCCATTGCACTCAGAAAATGGGAAATTGATTTAGGACAACTAATATATATGCTTAGATATGAGGAAAATTGTTAAGGATAATAATAAAGGGATTATAAGACTTAAAATAATAAATGCAAAGCATTAAACTGAGGAAAATCTTAATTAATTAAAGAAATAATAAGATAGGAGGTTGCTTAAATCAAATGTAACTAAAAGTAGAAACACTTTAGTTTTGTAAAGACTTTTAGTATTTATTTTGGCAATAAATAAATTGTATTTAAACTCAAGGGTTAGCTATATACTTTGCTTAATTTTACGAGCTAAAAATACAATTGCAATTTCCCTAATATTCGAATAATTTTTGTAATATAATTTTTTCCTTGTGCAAAACCCACACGAAATCGATGAAGTCGGTCGCTCCAGCTCAAAAAATGAGACGATGCCGAGTGGATTGGCCTCATCAGACGACCACTGACCACTTGTGGCTGCTAACAAGTGCCCAGGATGGAAACGGAGCAAGGACATCGACAGACGATAGACGCTGCAGAAAATTAACAAGAAAATGCAACGACAAATGTCTGTTCTTCCCCATCCTTTTAGCAATTTGATTAGGGAAATGTCTGGTCCTGGCAGACTTGAAAGGGGGATAAAACTGAACTAAAGTCCCAGTCTCTCAGTCTCCAGTCTGAATTCCAGGAAAACCGCAGAGCCACATATTACACTTGCCACGGCATATACTAATTAAAAAGCACACAACAACAACAACAAGAAAAATAACACAAACAGCCAAGCTACTAAAATTAATTGCGTAATTAAAACAAAATCTTTTTTTTTTTTGATAAACTCCACAATCTCCCAAACCCTTTGGGGAGCAACCACAACGGATTGATGATTGTCCCGGCTTATTTCGTTAATTGCATTCTGGTCAAATATTGGCAGCTCAATTAAATGAATTAAAATACATTTTTGCTTTGAGCATAGAGAGCATTGTGCCAAAAGGGATGCTGGGGGGAAGTCCCAAAATTATTTGACAGGCAATTACAATTTAGAAACGATTCGGGCAAACCGCACACCCATCAGGTGTGATTAGTTTTGTGCGGTGCTTAAATTAATTTCTATTATTTTTAATTACTTAATTTTTTATATTTTACTTTTTGTACTCTATGGTAAGTACATAAAAGAAAAAGGTATTATAGATGAGGGACGATATATGATGAAAAAGACATCTCCGACACCATAAAGTATTATGTATTATTCTTGATTAGTATATTATTGAATACACTTTTAATTTGTTAAGTGGTATACTAACTATGCTCATTTATTTAATAAATAATAAGTGATATGACGCAGTTCTTTGAATAAAAATTAAAACTTCTTTGGTTATTAATAGAGTTTTTAAACATTGATTTCGTGTCACAAATTTCGATTGAAGAAATCTTTAAGTTCATGCAAATATAAGATAAATTCTAAGATTTATTTCAACAATAAATATATCTTTAGATATATTTAAATACGTTGACTATTTATTATTTGGTTTTATTATATACAAGTAACTTTACTGTTCAGTTACCATCCCTATATCTCTCCTCCAATTCGCTTCGTTCAACTTAATCCCCGCCAGCGATTAGTTGAAATTCTAATAGAGACAATACGAAATGGACTGCATTTGGGGTATAATTTTCAGGCTCATTGCATCCTGCTCCGTCGGGCAGAAGAGAGCCTGGCGATTAAATAAAAAAAAAATTAAAAACCGTCAGGTAGCGATGGTCGCCCAACAATTGACAGTTGGTTGCATTTCCAACCGCACTTAATTAGCAGTTAATGATGCCTGATTAACACGCATTATGGCACCGAGAGCCATTCCTCTGAAAAGCCCGGATATATACACCCAATTCCACCTGTCCGGCAGATGTTCTGAAATGTGTAATCAATGCTTTAGGCGCTGCGGATTACAAAATAATCACGAGGCAGCTGGCCTAAAAGTATGCAAAAGAAAATGCCCCGTCGGAAAAGTGAAAATTGTGTGGATCCAAAAAAGAGAGGAAATATTGCCATCAACAGCAGACTGGCCGGGCCTTAAACTGGTAGTCGAATAGCTAATGACCTGTAATTTATTTTGAGAAAATATTCTTAAAGAGAAAATAAATATTTTAAAAGGAATTTAAGCAGGAAATGGAAAAGGAATGCTTTCTATTTAGAAATAATAATTATATAAACAGTTTCGCTGTTTTTGATGATTTTATTTCTTTAAATATATGATTTTTAGTAGTTTTATAAGGTTTAAATATATATTAATTTTAGAATATAAAAACAAGAGCTTATCATTAAAGCAAAATTATATAGAAATAATTTAAAAATTCCCACACAAACCCAAACACATATTAACCCAAAAATACCCCTTAACCCCCGGCTTACTCAATAAATCGGGCGTAAAAATTGATGTGTCCCTCGAACCACGAATCCTCGAACCTGGAGCCCATCGCAGGACGACGGCTGGCTTACGGCCTTTAAAGCGACACTGCGGAATCGAACGTGCAGGGAGTGGAGTGCACATGGATATGGGACATGGATCGCTGCGAAATTGACAGTATCAACGTAATTATATCAGCGGGAGGGGCGGCGGGCCTGAAAGCGGCGCAAACAAAACAGTAAAAGGCGGAAGTCCGCGAAGGAAGGGAAAAGCAATGGCAGCCACTGAAATATGCAAACGTTGACTGCCTTCATTTATTTTTACTGTTACTGCATATTGGGGCGACATCGGTGGCAGGAGCGAGGACGGGCGGACGAGCAAGAGGCGCGAAAATAATCGTTATCCTGGACAGGTGGGTCCTCTCGATACCACCGTTCGATGCCAGCAGTTGCACTTCATTTGCAGCATTAATTTGTCGCCCGTTGATTTATCTGACCAGGCTATATATACACATTCACTGTATATATAATATATATATAGGGTTGGGATATATATACCGAGGCGGCGAATGAATTTATGAGCTGAGGGAAAAATGTCGAAAATCGATTGGCGAGAGTTTGTCACTTCCACTTTGGAGTTGACCAAGTCAACGGCTGTTGCATTTTGCATATATTTATTAAATCACTTTATTTCTTTTCTTTTTTTGCACAAATAATGCAAAGTAGTTATGCAAATCTTGTGTAAAAATGAATGCAAAATGGATTTGGTTATCTTTCTGCTTAGATCGTGCATATAAATGATAAAAAATATATATAATTCATTAGACTTCAAGCAAAGGGAGGTCTAAGTTGTTAACCAACTCTTTAAGGGGTCGATAAACTCTTTAGTTTTAATTTCAAGGAGTTGGAAATTTGATTTTAAGAATGAGATTTTAAATTCATAACTTGTTTCAAATTGTTGGATAAATGTTTATTGTTTATTTAAATTTACCAGGAAAAATATTTTCTATTTAATTATTAATGAAAACTACATTTTAAGAGACTGTATAAATGTTAACTCATTAGAAACAACTTTGTTTTCTAAGCTGATTAAATTAAAGTTAATTTTACAAGCTTGTAAAACCAAAAACCTTATAAATAATACCAATTTCCTACTAATCTATTCTATAAAACTACGTTTTAAAAGGTTTCCACAAAGATACATTAATAGAAAAACACTTTTCTCTTAGTTTATTAAATCCCTTAAAAGATTCAAAATCCCAAATCCTACTAAAAAAAAACAATTTCCAATTTAATAATTCATGTAAACTACAGTTTAAGAGGTTGTAAACGGTTTGCTTAACCATTTTTTTTACCCTTTTGGCCAAACAAAACTATTTAAATCCGAGCGAGGGAAAATATTTGTTTTGCCATGTGACATTTTCCAATACCATTATTTCTGGCAGTATTTTCGTTTTTCTTTCTTTTTTTCGTCAAGCCCTTCAAGGGGAACGAACTATATATTTTCCTTATATATTTTTTTTTTTTGCTGCTTGTTTGTGCCCTCGGATGACGCCACCATGCAATGCATGTCAACTATTAACAGGCAAACAACTAAATTACGTATACGCAACGTTGCATGACCACCATGACGCGTGGTGGTGCAGCGCTAGAGAGAGTGTTTGTGTATTTGCTCGAAATACATTTGCAGTTTCGCTTTATTGGCGCTGCAAAAATAATGGAATTGTCAAAATAAAAGGGGGTTAAGTGCTTGTTTGCATAGCTTTTTGACAACTCCGTGGTGGGGGAAAAAACAGAATTCAATGGAAATTAAATCACAGTGGCGTCGGCAAGTCTCCATTGGACTTTTTGGCACCGACCGGAAAAATTGTTCATTAGCAATTTGTGTAATTAAAAGGAGAGAGTGTGCCGCGATTCAAGTGGTGTCCTTCAGCGAAAAGTGGCACTTCCTTCTCCTCCTCCTCCTCCTCCTCCTCCTCCTGTCTGGCTAATTTGTTTTCCGCTTGGCAGTGACACATGGCGTCGGTCTAGCTGGCGTCATGTTCAACTTTTGACCCGATCGAAAACCAACTGCTGCTGTTGCTTTCTGATTCTGATTCCTACCCACTGGTTTCCATCTCCGTATAATTAAGCAATAGGCTCGCGTTATCATAGCCAATCAAGAGGATTAATGACCGACGACGACTGCAGACCCAATAGACTAGGTGGCCCCCGTGTTTTGGGCCAGACTTGGTTACCAGTTTTCGAGCGGCTTTAGTTTTGGTAGTTCAATTTGATACACTAAGGCATAAATGTTTTTTATGCAAATGTTATTTAAATTAAGACAATGGCAAAAACAAGCAAGTACGAATGGAGATCAACAGGTTCGGCTATGGTGACTTTAAATGGAGCTACATTTTATGACATTAACTTTAGGTTTAACTTTAACTATTATGAATTAAGGTTATCCTATGAGTTTTAGTATAATTCATTCGAATTAAAGAGCTTTTTTAAGTTATTTTATAAAAATATGAAAGGATTTTAATATGATGAAAAGTTTTAATAAATTTAAAGCTAAATAACCTGAAAATGTAATTTGTTGTTCTCTTTATTAAAGATACTCTGTGATTTTGAATGTTTTAGATAGGCTAAAAGATCTGATTTAAATATAATGTATACTTATAACTCTTTTAAAGTAATATTTTCAGAAATGTGACCGTAAACCTTAACCTGCAGTTAAAAAACCTGCATAAATAGCATTTTAAACGTGTAAAAAATGTAAATAAATCAAGTAACTTAAAATGTTCAACAATTTACCAGAAATATAATATACAAAATTAACCATAATTTCTAAAATACGTTCCTCTAATACCGCAAATCCCTACTAGACTGTGTAGGGCACCACAGTTGACCATTGGCGGGGCTCGTAAAATTCTGGTTTCTGGCATATTAAGAGACCCTGATATCCGCACTTCTTCACTCGGTCTAATGTTTATCTTTCGCCTCTGCACCGCGCCCAGGTTTTGGTATAAATACCCACCGAGTGATCTGTCCCAGACATACTAGAAACGCCAACGTTCCAAGTAACACATACAAAATGGTTAGTATAGAAGAAACCTCTTCTTGAAAGGGTTTTTTTTTTTTGATTAAAACCAACATTTCCTTACATTTTTTTTTGCAGAAATTCCTGGTTGTCGCCGTTGCCCTGCTGGCCGTTGCCCATGCCGATGTCTCCCACCTGTCCGGTTACAACTACGCTCCCGTGAGCGTCCCAGCTCCGGCTCCAGCTCCCCTGCCCGTCAAGGTGGCCCCGGCTCCCGCCCCTGTGAACACCTACATTCCCCCAGCACCGGCACCAGCTCCCATCCAGATTGAGGTTCCTCTGCCAGCCCCAGCACCGGCTCCAGTTGCCATCCCAGCTCCCGTCAAGGTGGCTCCCGCTCCTGCCCCAGTGAACACTTATATTCCTCCCGCACCCGTCCACGTTGAGGTTCCCGCTCCGGCCCCAGCTCCAGTTGCCATCCCAGCTCCCGTGAAGGTGGCCCCTGCTCCTGCTCCCGTCAACACCTACATTCCTCCCGCACCCGTGCACATCCCAGCCCCTGCCCCCGTCAAGGTCGCCCCTGCCCCAGCCCCCGTTCCCGTCCTGGCTCCCCAGCCCGTTCTGGAGGAGATTGAGCCCGTGGCCGCCGATGGCTACCGTTACAAGACTGTGCGTCGTCGTGTGATCCGTCGCCGTTATTAGAGAGCAACTTCTTCAAGGATCCCTTCGATGGGATTGTGAGGATAGCGAAAAGTTTAAAAAATATAAGGAAAAGAGATTTTAATACTTAAAAAATTTGTGTTTATTTATGAGGGGAAAGATATTCAATGCTAACATTATTTTAAAGTCTTAAGGTTTCATTTGGGATTACCTTCTTTGAGCTAGAAATTTGGGCAAACAAATGTGATTTAAAAGGGATTTCTATAGTATAATTTACAGACTTAATTTACTATTAATAAATCAAAACTATCTTATTTAAGATAAACCAGAAAAAACTACTTTTCATAGTCTAATTTTGAACACAAACCATTTAATAAGGTTTTATAAGGTTTCTATGTATAATGAGGTTAAAAAATATAAGTTCCTTGAATTTACAATGTTTTATTACAAGATTTCCTATATATAGAATTAAAAGGCTTAAAGAAAACAAACCCTTGTGTTAAATTAACCAAAATTCAAACCATTTAAACACAACCTTTATTATATTTCCTTCTCAGAACTTTAACCAACATTCTCCTTGTCTCAACCATATGCTAAAAACACAAAAATAAACTGTTTTATAAGCCAGGTGTTGTGTGTGCAAAGCCGCCAGGTCTCGGACTCAGGTAATTAATTAAGCTCTGACAACAACAAAAAACCCGCTAATAACATGAGACACCACCGCCAGACATTGTCAAGATCAGCATAATCTAAGCAAATTGAAATTAATTTTGGCATAAACTTGAAACGAAGCCATAGGCCCGGCGGTCTGCTAATAATTTGCCAAAAAAAAAAACCTCACACAAGACAGACTTAAAACGAAATATAAATTCAAATAAAATAATTTAAGAAAAGACAAAACGCAAGCCAATGAAGCGTGTGACCCACGAACATTCATCACAAAAACATGAAATGAAAACAAAATAAAACCATTATTCAACCAACAAAAGGTTTGTTTGATCTAATTAAAAAAAATATATATATATGTATATATCTTTTGAAGACTGAAACAAAAAGTCAGCTCAAGTCAAAGCAAAGATAATGCAGAATATGGAAACCAAGCCATACAAAAAATAAATAAATGTATGAAAAAATGAAACTAGAAAACCCGTCAAACTGCCTTGGCATTGGAGGCTCGGTATATGGTGTATCGTGTGTGTTGTCTTCCGATTTTATTTTTTGGATTGAGGAGGTTAAGACCCCCATGTATCATGGGTTCATCATGCAATTAATTTTAGCTGCGTTTGACCCACAGCAGCAGCAGCAGCAACGAAAAACAATGAGCTATAAAAACCGCAGGCATACAACGAGTTCGGCAGCACAAATCAACTTGTGATCCAAGCAGCAACAGCAGACAATCTTTACAAAATGGTGGGTACAAGGATATATAACATTATTAAGGATCCTAAAATAAAAAATATAATACATTAAAAGAAGGAAGAAGGAAGAAGAAGGATTTTCGTAAAGAAGAAGTCCAAGTCATGAAGTTATTACTAACTCAATAGGTTATTGACAAAGATAAAGCATCACATTTTGGAATCAAAACTAATATATATTACTCTACTAAAGAATTTTAAGAAAACCTAGGGAAACTGTCTTTATTAATATATATTTTCCTTTCCTGTAGAAATTCCTAATCATCGCCGCCGCCTTCTTGGCCTGCGCCTATGCTGATGTCTCCGAACTGGGTTCCGGTGGCTATGATTATCCCCAGCCTGTGGCTCCTAAGAATACCTATATTCCACCCCCACCACCACCACCGCCGCCGGCACCCAAGAACACCTATATCCCACCCTCCGGCACCCAAGAACACTATATTCCACCACCAGCGGCTCCTGCCAAGGCTTACATCCCACCCCCACCACCACCACCACCACCGGCACCCAAGAACACCTATATCCCACCTGCACCTGCACCAGCTGCCCCCGTTGAGACCTATATTCCTCCTCCGGCAGCTCCTGCTCCGGCTTACATCCCACCCGCACCCGTTCAGGCCGAGGAGCCTGTCCTGGAGGAGATCGAGCAGCCTGCCCAGGATGGTTATCGCTACAAGACCGTGCGTCGTCGCGTCTTCCGTCACCGCAACTAAGACGTTACGGGGATGTGTCTGTTGACTAATGTGATAGGCCACAGCAAAGGTCACTTTGCTGCGGAATCTGTTAATGTTTTATGTTTGAAGATTGAAGTTCGTATTAATGGAGATGAAGAGTGAATAAATAAAGAAAAGCAAAACTAATTAATAATATTGAATACATTCAAAAAGTAGGCTGGTTAAATTAGTCTAGAAAATATACAAAAGAAAAATAAACATGAAATTACAAACACATCCCCGCTTCAAGGGGGGAAGACTCATCCCTAGCCAGGATGTGTCTGCTTAGAGAAAATCAGGAGCGGAGACCAGGGCACTTCTCCCTATTACGATGGCTTCCAATAGTCATGATCCTGATCCTTTTGGGCTGGTCCTATCACATCTTCGTCTTTCAGGTTTGCATTCGTAAAGTGAACAAATTAATCTGGATGATTCTCCTCCTGTTGGGCTATCATTTGTTACTGTTCATGTTCCTGTGGACTTGGTGGAAATGCATTTGTACATCACCTATTGCAATACCCGAAAACTGGCAGATATCAGTCGAGGATGTGGATAGACTTAGTCGACCCAATAGTTCCGAGGCTGAAGCAAGGATATTGCTTAATGCCGCCAGGAATTTGCCCATTAATCAGTCCACCAAGGAGGGAACGGTCCGATATTGCCGCTACTGTTGGATCATTAAGCCGGATAGGGTTCATCATTGTCGCACTTGTCAGATGTGCGTTCGGAAAATGGATCACCATTGTCCTTGGGTGAAGAACTGCGTCCATTTTCACAACTTCAAGTACTTTATGCTCTTCCTGTTCTATGCCGAACTCTATTGCTTGTATCTCTTTGCCGTCCTGATCTATGATTTCTATTTAATTTCCCAATTTCAATTGGAAAACCTACATCAGGATCATCTGTGGGCCTTGGGTCAGCATGTGTCCTGCTTCATTGTCAACCTATTCACCTTGATCATGTTCGGCATTAGCTTAAGTCATATGGCAAAAATCGCACTACCATGGAATCAGTGCATTCTCCGTACTTTTTCACTTCCGGCAAGAACAATAATGGCTATAATTTGGGATGCTTTAAGAATTTCCAAGAGGTTTTGGGGAATAAATGGTACCTTTGGTTGATTCCCATTCAAAGTTCACGCGGCGATGGCTTAACATATCCACTGGCCATTGAGAGACTGAAGACGGGAAGAGTTCAGGCTGGAAGGACTCTCGATGGTCCCACTAGAGCTCAGGTTGTCAAGGCTAATATGGCAAGATTGTTTGGTATTTGTACTGTAAATGATATAGACTATGCAAGTGAATAAATGTTATTAGCAAAAAGTCTTTGGGTTTCCCGGAACAACTCGTGGAGTGGCAAGACCATCAACATCTTAATTTACGATTCATTGGCAGCATCGTCTTTGAACTCCATTGCAGTCCTTTCAGTCCAGCATCCTCCATAAATCCTCCACATTCCAGCTGCCTTGGCTATAGCCTCTCCACCACTATCCACTCGATTTTTTTATCCTGAACCATACGGCAAAAGTCGTTTATAAAACGCTTAACATTCGTGACATATTTCGCTCGCGTCGAGCACAGAAATTTATAGACTTTATCCATTAGGAAAACAATTACGAGTGCAAACAATGGCCAATGTGCGATGGCGATGCTGGACTCCCTGCCTGGCCAGAGGAACTGCCTCGGGGCATTGAGCATATGTTGAGATTGGCCCAGTAGGTTCATTGTCCTTCTTGGGTAGCATTTTATATATAGATATATATTTTCTTATTATGCTGCGGCGACTTGTCGACTTTTGCTGCAACACAAATCCAATTACCTTCAAAATAATAAACTTATGTACATACCAAAAAGGAAAAGAATGCCATCCGAGAGTCCTTCTCAACCTCCTTTGGCTGCCGTACGCACATTTTGCTTTATCAACTGTTGATAGACTCCATGGGGAATTTTCCGTATGTCACGACAAAGAAGAAGAAGAAGAAGAAGGAGCTGGAAATGGAAATGGAAAATGCTGTCTGCTACTTGTTCTCTTCCCGAGTCCCCGGCACTAAGAAAAATATATCGATTTTAAATAAACAAAGATATATGTAGTTTGTAAAAGAAAAGCAGTTAAAGGTGTCTTCAAGTCTTGTGTAGAAATCTTTATAACTCAGTTAAGGATTAAGACTTTTTGCCTAGATCCTGTATTCTAATTTTCTTTAGTGTAAGGACCCTAGCCCCCTGGCTGATTTCCACAGCTTGTTTGCTGCTCATTATTCGCCTTTGGCCGGGTTCTTGGGTCCTGGGTCCTGGGTCCTGGAGACGTGTTCCCCGGTAGTTGGCCGCCAAATGCACAAGAGCAAATAATAATTTTTTGCCACTTGCATGTCATCAGCATAAAGTAAGTGCAAAATATGTGAACGGAAATTCGCCTTAGAGCGCAAAAGTCAACAGCAATTGGCCAAAAGGACCACAGGCGGAGAAGGGTGGCAGAAGGATCTGATGTGCCACCCTCTGGCACATGTCCATGAGAAAGTCCTTGCCCCTTCCCCCCTTGTCGTAGCTTATTGAATTCGCATATTTTCCCATTTTGCATTATGGACAAACATTTTTTCCATTTCGCCATCCTTTTGTTTTTTTTTCTTACTTGCTCTCTGTTTGATTTTGTAATCGAGGATTTGTTTGCTTTGCCAGCAGCCAACCGATTCGATGGGGTTTGTCCCTGCTCATTGAATGTTTCAGCAATTTTTGGTTAAGTCAAATTGGTCTAGTCGTTGGCTTGACCTTTTTATGGCCAGACTTTCCAAAAAAAGGGAGGAAAATCTATTGGAATGCCTCCACTGCTCCGCCGGAGAACATGTGTTTGGCCTTGAGCGGTTTGTTTAGGCCATTTGTCGATTGGGTTATTGGTGGCAGTTGAAGAGGGTTTAGAAGGCAGGATGGGACGTTGTCTATAGGAAAAGTCATTTGAATGGCGATTTTGACATTGGAAATTTCGAAAGTGGCTGATGTGAACCTGTTGATAAGAAGGATTAAATTTGAAATTGGTTTGTTCTTCTTGAAACCATAAAAAGAGACTTAAGTCACATAAGTTTAAGTTTAGTGTATTTTCCTGTTCTCTAAACTTTGACATAGGCAAAAGTAAATGCAAGACATTAAACACATTTTCAGTTACAATTTCTCTTTAGTTTTTTACTCTTCAAGTGCATTTTTCTGGATGTTATTTACAAAATTCCACTCGAGTCAACAAATTAACAATAACAATTAACTTTCAACTTAGTTGCGGTGACGGAAGACACGACGACGCACAGTCTTGTAGCGATAACCATCCTGAGCAGGCTGCTCGATCTCCTCCAGGACAGGCTCCTCGGCCTGAACGGGTGCGGGTGGGATGTACTCGGGTGCCGGGGGTGCTGGGGGAATGTAAGTCTCCACAGGAGCTGGGGCAGGTGCGGGTGGTGCAGGTGGAATGTAGGTCTCCACGGGAGCGGGAGCAGGAGCTGGCTGTTGGTAATCATAGCCAGAAAGCTCCGAGACATCGGCAAAGGCGCAGGCCAAAAAGGCAACAGCAATGATAAGGAATTTCTGGTGAAATATATGATTAAAGATTTTAAGTTACAGATATCTAACTGTTTAATATATATATTTGTATTGATTTTAAGTAGTATCAAATGTATTGAGTTATCCCTTTTTTCTACTATTAAAAACTGTTACATTTTTCACTTATTTAGCTATAACTCCTGATAATATAAGTTTAGTATTCACTCACCATGATTTTCAAGTGTTTAGTCTGCGCTCAACGAAAGATGTGTGCTACTGATGCCAAGATCTTCGATGGCTTTTATATATGGCCAAGACTCTTTTTGGCCACAATGCCGAAAGCCAATGGCAACGGAAGCAACATTAGCCCCCAGATGACTTTGAACTTGATCTGCGGCTGATCTTCAATCGCTCACTCAAACCGTGATCGATGGATCTAGCAGATTCGAACCGGATTTTTCAGATGCACAAGCCATAAATTGATGGAAAAGTTTGATCACGTTTTGTGTTGGCTTTTGTCCGCCTAATGCATCTTAAAGTGGCCAACTGATGACCATCATAACCAAACCAAATCACATATGGACGAGTCTTAAATCTTGACTTTTGGCTTTTGTTTTTTGTTTTTTGGGGGGCTCAAAGAGCAGCCCTTTAATTGATTTGCTTGTTGAACTCGACCTTGTCCTTCTGCGGCCCCCGCATGGAAAATACACGGTGCTTGAGCCTCAGTCTTTGCTTGATTAAAACCAAATTTAATTTGCATCTCTGTGTTGGTTTCACTCGCTTTTGTTTGTTATACTCGCCGGGCAGAGTGTTTATTGCTGAACCTAAATCCCAATTACGAAAAACCGATGGGGAAACTGCAGTTGCCAAGTTTAAGTGGAGGCCAAATGGTTCTGTTTTTGGCCAGAAAGAATCGGTTGGCACAGTGGGAGAGGTGTCGTTTTGGGAACTTCAATTATTTTAAATTAAGTGGAAAAGTTTAGCTGATGAGAGTTTTTTAAGGAGAAAAGAGAAATAGGCAATTTTCAGAACTTGTCTTTTGGACAAACAATATGTGTTTCAGTATACGAAAATATTAGTTATTTAAGTAATAACTATTTTATAAATATTAATATAAATCAAAGTTATTTATAATCATTTTAAAGCTCCTTAATAATCTAATTTGTTTAAAACCTCCACAAGATATCTATCAAACTATTTCCGATATATTTTCAATGCTATTCAACCACTGTCTGATTTCCTGCATTTCCATTGCGATTTCCCTGCCTCATACCCTGGCATATTTTCATTTCATTTTGGTTTTATTTTGCAGCTCAACATTTTCATTTCTTCGTTTCGTCTTCCACTGTTGTTGTGGCCCTTGATAATATTGCAAATAATTTTCTTTTTTATGTTGATTATTTTTTGGACAACCCGCCCAGGCCCAGGTCCTGGCCCAGACACCTGAACCAACCATCCACCGCAGCACCTTCCACACCTTTACAGCCTTTTTTTATTATTAACTTCGTTTTCATTTGTAGCGTTGCCTTCGCGAGCTCATCATATTTTAATGTGGAAGGGATTCAGAGGCATCGTCTTTTGGCTTTCTTCTCCAGTAAGAGCTCCATTTTCCCTGGCTCCTGGCTGTGTTCTATGTTTCAAATTATTCTCGAGAGATTTGCAGTTCGTGATTTTATGGCAGTCGCGGGAAAGAGGGAAAATCAGCCCCAGGACCTGCTCAAAAATGGGGGATGGAATGCTGCCACACCACACAACCATTCACTGTGAGTTAAGACATTTCCCAATGCAATTGCAGCTTTGGCTCTTAATTACCCCGCTTAAGTCCGTATTAACTCTGGCCTAAGCCTTTTTTAATTTGCCCCCTCCTCGCTCCCCCTTCTGGCCGGGCAGCTGTCGTAATTGAATTAGGAGCCAGGAGACAATGCAGCGTCGCTGAACCTTTCACGCTGTTATCCTTGATAATTAATTTAGACGCCATTGTCCAGTGCACTCCCCCTTTGGCAACCGGCAAATCCTTTGCCATTTCACATCACGTGCCACGTTCTACTCCAGCCTGCGTTTTTTTGTATGTATTTCTTTTTTTCATAAATCGCCAGGACACACAGAAAGTTGTCCAGCTGCTACACACTCAGAGGGGGCATAGGGAGGGGTAACTGACCCCCGAAAAAAAAATAATAAGAATAGAGAAAGAAAGTTCCCATTTTTATGGGGAAAAAATGAAGCGGCAGTTTTGACAACGCACGTCCTCAATAAAGGAAGAAAAAGAACACTGAGCAAAATAATAAATAATATAGAAAGCAGAGAAAACATACTTATTTTTTAATAATGTTGAAAAATTTAGGAAAAAAATAGCTTTATTTGCAAATAAAGTTTAAAATTGATTTTAAATAAATTTTCTTAGGCACTTAATTAAATAAAAATTATTATTTATTGAACATTTATGAAAATACATTTTTATAATATAATTTATATAGATTTTGGTCAATATTTTTTTTAAACAAAGGTTTAGGTAAATTTCCGTTTAAAAGAAGATAAGTACAAGCAAAAATTAGAAAATATAGGAAATATATGTCAGCTATTAAATTATAAATTAAACTTCCTTAAAAATTCATTAGTTTTAGTGTGGGAAATTGTATGTAAAGTGTAGGCTAAAAATGTCCCCACAAGAATTATTAAATTATAAACTAAGAAATTTTAAGTAAAAAGAAAGGAAACTAACTTCGGAAAGCCAAAGTTTATATACTCCTGAAGTTTCCAATTAACTTTTATGTTTTATTCGCCAATAGATCATTATTAAGCTTAAAATAATCCGATTCTTTGAATTAATATAAAATTTATTTTTATATGAAAATTTGTTTCGAAAAATCAAAGTTTAAAAAACTCATAATTAAGTCAAAAAATCATTATTTTAAATCGGAAAGCATTTTTATGCTAGTTTTTATTAGTTTAATAAATATGCGTACCCAATTTAAAATTTAAAACTATTAAAATTTTTGCCAATTTTTTCAATTTTAACGATGTAACCCCTTATAAAATTTTGAAAAAATTGGTGAAATTTACTTTCCGCCAGAATCATGCTTGATCGACTCGGCTGTTGATGGTGATCAAGAATATATATGATTTATAGGGTCGGAAATGACTCCTTCACTGGATTTGAAGCTCCTGACTATAATTATAATACCCAGCAAGGGTATAAATATGCCTGAATTTGTGTGACTTTAAAAAATGTGATTTCATAAAATTTGTATGCAATATATACTCCCAATGAAAAAAAAACGTAATCTCAAATAGTTATTCTGCTTCTCTCAGTGTAGTAGTTAGGTCCAGGTCATGTGGCTTGCATATGAAACTACAATAGACAGGTACAAGATGCACACGTAGCACGCAGTGCCAGTGGAGAAGCGACAAGAAACGAAATATGGAATGGAATCACCTTTTGTAAGTTTTCGGGTCCATGAAATCGAGTTTACATCTTACTCCTCCGTTTGGCAGCGTTCCCATAATTAAATGTCAAAAATGACGCTACGTGCAGAGCAAGCAAATTGCTTGACGAGTGCCGGGTCAAAGTTCACAACAAAAGTGAAGAAAAAATCCAGTGGGATTTATGCAACTTTTAGTCGAAAAAAATAATAAATAAACTTATTGCTAAAGTTGTCGAAATGTAAAGTTCTTGGACCAAAAATCGTTGCATACTTTACAGTCACAACTAATTGCTTAGACCTGCGACAAGGAAACATGGAGGTAGCAGGTTCAATTCCCAGGCAGGCTAAGAATATATTTTTCCCTTTTTTTGATATTTGTCCTTTTTTTTATTTTATTCTTCCTTTTTTCTTTCTATTTTCCTTTTTCAGTTAGTCAGGACTAACTTTTCTTGATATCAATTTATAATTTCTAGTATCAAGAATAGCCATTTGTAATCGCTTAATTTAGTGCCAGAAACTTTTACACAAAACGGAATACAAAATAACCAAAAACCCTACAAAAAAATTACGCCAAAAGTAATTTAACATTCTCCTCTTTCTCGACCTCCTCGACTCCCATTTGCCAAACTCTCGAACAAGTAGCTGCAACTATTTAAAGTTTCCCTTTTTGCTGTTGCTTTTCCCCTCAATGTGTATCGTACTTTTTATTGCCATTCTCTATTATTTGTTGCCCCTCTGTCGTTCCATATGCATATTATACCCCCGAGGCATAGGAAAATACCGCCTCCCGTCCTGTTGCAGAAAACCAGACAACAGCAACGACGACGAGGACGAGAACGGCGATGGTTATGAAAAAGTACTTAACGTGCACAAAACTTATGTGCCAAGAGATTTTATATATATTTTTTTACTCATAGTCGGGCAAAAGTTACAACGACATGCCAATTTTTCAAAGGACTACAGGGGGGCAATAGGTACTCCAGGGGAGTACAGGGTGGTCCTGGGAAGCTTATAAAATATTGCCAATAATACGTTGTTAGCGGAGTTGCCTCCCCGAACGCACAACGCATTTCTCCTGGCAGCAGCCAAACTTTTAATGCACTTCCCACAATGCACAATCGGAATGAGGCAACTCCAGAAAAAGGACTCTGCTCCAAGGGGGATGAGAGGACGACCACATTAGCCTCCCTGCTGAGGAACTAATTTGTCAGATAAAAAACAGAGATTTAATGTAAATAAATAGAAACCTCATCAGAACTCACTAACAAAATATTGTTCGCTCAACCTATCAAGAGAACAAACATGCTTCTAAATGATAAGTTTCATTAGTTTTTATATTTATTTTGAAAAAGTGTTGCACCACTCAGAATTCGCCCTATTCGTTACGAAACCGAGCGATCATCGAAGCCCTGCGCCCCGAAGGATACGGACGCCGAAGCGCCGCACCACAAAGGGCACTGGGCAAATCCTCACGCTGCCGAATAAGACGATTCAACTCATCAACGCGGGTGCACTTGGCTTTCAGCTAGTGTGAAAGTATGTGAAGACTGACTACAGAAATGATCCTGTGAAGTATAGTCTTAAAGATTGAGTGCCCGACCTGTGGCCCTTGGTGCGGAGCGAGTCAGAACTTGTTGTGAATTATAAACGCACGCACTGGGTAAAACGAACAGCACGCGGGTAGATAAGAAAACGTTCTATGAGATGTTGTTGTTGCCAGCCTTTGGGGGTGGGAATATCTTCTAATATTTGTGTTGCTTGAATTCTAGCTTGACAACTATTGACAAGATCGAAAATAGAAAAATAATATTAAAAAAAAGTAATTCAACTTGGCAGCGGTGGGATTCGAACCCACGCCTCCGAGGAGACTGGTGCCTTAAACCAGCGCCTTAGACCGCTCGGCCACGCTACCATTTGGTTGCTCCGTGCAAATGCTCATCTAGAGCTACAGCTACGGCCCGCATGGTGTTTTGACATTCTAAGCAAACCAAAACACAGGACACATGAGTATCTGCGCGCTGCTCACTATTTTTATAGCCGCAACACCTTGTCTTTATTTTTGCGCCCACACTGCGGCGCATATAAATGCTCTCATTTGGGAAAAGGAAATGTCATCAACGAAATCATTTCAGCCACAAGCCTTCCGCCTGTTCCTCTTCTGCATTAAATGTTTATTATTTGTATTTCAAAACTGTCAGCAGTTTTCCAGGCGGCGGCGTCAGCTTAGAAATGCGTTTAAATTCAAATGAAATGCGAATTTATGCGTGACAGGCGGTGTCGTGGTCGTCTTGCTCACACATGCACCGCAGCAACAATTTCCATTGTTGCAGGCCATAACTGAAGCCGGTGGAGCTGGGAACGGTCTCAACTGGAGCAGGAGCAGGAATAGCACAGGAGCTGGAGTTGGGTAGAAGACTCCGCATGAAATTAGAAAATTGCAATAAAAATCTTTGCACGGGACGACAAGCAAAACAAAAACAAGTCTGCGGTTGCCATAAGGTGCTATACAAGGCCGCAGTCGTGGGCGGCAAGGAGCAACGGAGCAACGCAGCATTTGTGGTTTCATTAAAATGCCACCGAAAAAGGGAGCAAAAGTCAGACGCCGCGTCAGCAGGGGAGATACTTGCCACACACACGTGAATTTATACAATTTAAGGGCAACCGGCACGGAATAATTGTAAATTGTTCAATTTCCACGCCAGAGAGACGGAAACACAAAAATCACGTACAACCAGAGCGGACAGAGGCGAGCTACCACTACCTGGTCGTGGCCAGGTGCAAACGCTAATGGAGTTAATTGTGGGCATTATCAAGAATGTCGGCAGCACGCTGGCTATGTCCGATTCAAATTAAATTTCAAACAATTGACAAATTGAAATGCCAGGAACGGAACTGAACAATAGCCGCATTCCGAGCGCTCCAGAAGAGGTTTAGATAGATGTCCACTTAATATGCCGCCAGCAGGAGCTGTAAATGAAATGATGACTCGACGAAATAGTTTTGGCCAGACCGCAGAGCTGGGAATTACTGGCAGCAACAAGGAGCAGCCACAATGGAAATAACTAGAAACAAAGACAGCCTGAATGCAGACTTCTAGCAAATAGGAGTAGAAATTTCAAAGTACAATTTTCATGACACTTCTAGCAGCACAGAGAGACCGCTCGGGCTTGTATATGCGATTTCGACCGCCCGCCGCCATGTGGTAGCGTGGCCGAGCGGTCTAAGGCGCTGGTTTAAGGCACCAGTCTCCTCGGAGGCGTGGGTTCGAATCCCACCGCTGCCAAGTTGAATTACTTTTTTTTCAATATTATTTTTCTATTTTCGATCTTGTCTAATAGTTGTCAAGCTAGAAATTCAAGCAACAACAAATATTAGAAGACATTCCCACCCCAAAACTGCAGCAACAACACCATATAGCGTTTCTTATCTACCCGCGTCTGTTCGTTTTACCCAGAGCGTGCGTTTATAATTCACAACAAGTTCTGACTCGCTCCGCACCAAGGCCACAGGTCGGGCACTCAATTTTAAGACTATACTTCACAGGATCATTTCTGTAGTCAGTCTTCACATACTTTCACACTAGCTGAAAGCCAAGTGCACCCGCGTTGATGAGTTGAATCGTCTTATTCGGCAGCGTGAGGATTTGCCCAGTGCCCTTTGTGGTGCGGCGCTTCGGCGTCCGTATCCTTCGGGGCGCAGGGCTTCGATGATCGCTCGGTTTCGTAACGAATAGGGCGAATTCTGAGTGGTGCAACATTTTTCAAATAAATATGAAATAATAAACTAAACTTAAGATGAGGTACTTGGGAAATTTTCGTCTTTAGATAACTTGATAGAGCAATTAGTTAATATGTTTTGATCACGCATTTCAACCATGCTTGATTTGTAATTAATTTATTAAAATCTCACCATTCTTGCAGCTCTTGTTAGTTATAGGCTTTTCCCAATTTGTCTATTTTACTGTAGTTAAATTTTAAGACTCATAAACATTGCAGCTACAGTATAATTAAACGCAGTCCCTTGACGAAGACATTATTGCTTCCCGCTCGTCTGCTCTAAACGTTGCCACTGTTGCTGTTGTTGCTTTGTAAAGCAATTAAAACAGCACTTCAGAAGCGACCCTTTGCCGCTCCGCTTGTTGCCAGTTGCCAGTTTCAAGTGTTTTTGTTGCACGTTGACAGTCCGTTAAAGGTGACACAGTGGAAGTAAGGAAGGACTCAGCGCCGCCCCACTGTGCATTATAAAACATTTTAGTGGGAAGCAGATTTCCGCTTTTTTTGTTCCCTCAAGTGTGCTCCGTGCTCAAGACTTGACAGTTGGAGTGGTCGAAAAAAGAACTGCAAATTTGTAATAAAATTTTCGCTAATGGCCCGGGGTGAGGCGGTGGAGCCTCTAATTACTTAACGCTGCATATGAATGGTCCTTAAGCGGGGGCGTGATTTTTGGCTTAATTCAGAGTTGCAACGATCTCAATTAGTGGATGATGCTGATGACTACTCGGCGAGTGCTTCAAGTGCTCTGTGTGTATGTCCTTGGAGAACTTTTCCATGTTCGTGTTTTCGGTTGCTTTCCCAGCGTATACCTGCGTATACGTAATGTCACCGTAAGGCATAAATATTTGAGGAGCATGTATCCTGCTGCACGCAACAACAATTAAGTGTTGCCTAGTTTTTGTCAACCGAGTCCCATTTGGCCCCACTCAGCAGGGGTCTCGTTGATTTTTTCTCTTTTTTCCATTTCTGTTGCCAAAACACATCACAACACGTACTGAAAATTTATTTAAGCAATGCAAAGCAAATACGAGCTACCATTTTTGGGGACAGTGCGGATAATAAACATAGAGAGGGGTTTTTGTTTGTATTCTATAATATAGAATATAATAAAATAAATAATATAAAATAGAATACAATATAATATTATAAATAAATAAAAGGTCTAGAATTGGAATTGGTCAAGATTAATATAAATCGCAATCTGATATTGATTTGGATCGGTAATATTATTAATATTTTTATATTATAAAAACCACTGAACCGTTTTTACATATTTTTCTAGTGAATTTTATTGAACAAATATTTACCAGTCAAGTTTACAAACTCTTTTTTTAAGTATTTTGAATATATTTAAAATGTATATAGATTGTCAAATAAAAACTAACAATTATGACCCACACTGTACACCTTTTTTTCAAGTTTTTGCTTACAATTCTCGTATGTTTTGAGTGCTTACGTAAAAACACATTTGGAAATGCGGTTAAAAGGAGGCAAAGGACTCAAAGGAGCCTGGGGAAAAGGAAAAGCAAGCACAGCATTTGAGGCGGTGCCACCTTTAGGGGCCGGAATTGACATCATCATCGTCCCTTCGAGGAGCCAATCGATGATGATAATGACACTTCTCCTTCTTGATGATGATGATGATGCTGGTGATGGCAATGCGGCTGATGCCGTAATTGATGTCTTTGCGACATGCTTTCGCAAAGTGTTTACGTTGGGAATTACCCATGTGTGAATGTACGAGTGTATGGGACCACGGACCACGCCCCCTTCCGCCCCCCAGCTAGTTGACAGCCTGCCGTTTACGTGCACTTAATGAAATGTGCCCCAAAATGGAGGCACGTACCGGGCATCTATTTAATGAGCCTCTGCCCGGCAAGAGGAGTGTCCTCTTCTCTTCATGAAATTTCGGTGCAGAAACTGGGTAATCTATATATAGTAGTATGTGAGCTCATGAAATTTTTAAATGTCGCAGCTAAAATTCAATTTAATTTAGCTTCCCCTGGAAAATGCGCTCTGCAGAAGCTATAGCTGCATTATTCAATGGCACTCACACGTAAGCTGCTCGCAGGATAACATGAGGAAAAGGATGAGGATGAGGTTAAAGGAGGTATCCTTCCCCCAAAACTCTCCAACCGCAGTTTAAAATTCATGTGAGCTTTTCAACAATTTTCCCCAAAACAAAATGCGATTAAATGTGCGGAAAATGCTGAGCTCTTGTTCTCGGTTTCATTCTTATTGTTGTTGCCTTGCATAAGCCACAATGGGTTAAGGCAACGTCTTGTTTGCACATGTGTCGCTGGTGGGGGGGGGGGAGGGAGGATTCTACCACTTAAAAAGTGGGAAAAGGGGAAGCACACACACACCCACAGAGTGAGAGAGAGAGAGATGCCGAAGGTGCAAAAATGCGTTAAACATAACATGCTAATTCCTGGCGCCTCCAGCTTCAATCTTTCACCTGGCCCAGGGATTTCTCACCAAGCAACCAACCCATTCCTATTTCAATTCCCATTCCTATGGCCATTTCCATTTCCCAGGCAGCATGCAGCGGTATATCCTTCTGGCCCAGGACTCGTTGGCTATGTAATACGAGCGTTTTGTGTGCCATTTGATGCTGAAGTTTTCCTCTATTTTCTGCCATTTGCCTTTGTGCTATGTGTGGACGGGGTTTTCACTGCCAGAAAGTATTTTCATTTGCATAGAAATTTAGTACTTTCCTATTTAAGAAGTATTTAGATTTAATAAGGGATATATAAATACCAAAGTAATTAATTAATTAAACTAAACAGGTTTCTAGATATTATTCTGTAAAAAGTATTGTGTGAAATTCTCAAATATTTAAATAGAAAATTAATTGAAAAGACTCAAAAGTATTCTACGTGCTTGTACATTCTAAATAAATTCTACATTATAAATATGTGCTTATCAAAATCATTTATTAAGAGTATTTACTCTTCTCCTATCTCAATCATAATTTTCACACTTTTTCCTCCACTCTTTTCTTTTTTTGGTTACATTTTTTTCTTTGCATTTGTTTTTTCGTACTTGGGAAAAAGTTTTCTAGGCTGAGGCAGACAGTCGCCAAAGGGCGTGGCCGTTTGCCTGACTTTTTGACTTGATTAAAGTTAAACTAAATTTAACTAAAATATAAGAAAATAAATTAAATTGGAACTGGAACTGGCACTCTTGATCGTTAATTCCGCAGCCCTGGTAAAAGCTTTTCCAAGCTTTTCCTCTCTCACTCTTCCATTTATTCACGTGCTATCAGTTGTTTGTTGGCCAGTTGTCAATTTGGTTTGTTTTTTTGGCATGGAAAGTCCAAAAAACGGAGGAGCAGCCTTTAAATATGGTCCAGCTGTACGGATTGGTATTGCCGTCCTGGTGCTGCACACCGTTGGCTGGCTGGGCTGGAAGGCTGTGAACCAGGATGCGGCTTCCAAGGAGGCAAAGGTCAATGCCAATGCCAAGCACGAACAACTGCGGGCGGCCTCAAGGAAAAGTGACATAATGTGGAGTGAAAACTCTGGGGAAAAGCCAACAAGCTGCAAGAGACTGTGTTAATAAAGTTAATAATTTAACAAATAAATAGAAAATGTGAAATGTACAAAATAATAAACAAAATGAAATGATATTTGAGTTGTTTAAAAATAAATAAACAGAGGGAGAGATAATATAGCTTTAGCTCTCGCGATCTTATTAAATAAAGCTTTTGAAGAGTAAGAAAAAAATGAACAAAAATATGTAATTTATGTTCAAGTTCTTAAATAGATTTAAATATTTTACCATTCTCTAAAAACTTTAATGATTACTTATCAAATTTCCTTTTAATTTTTAGGAATCATAACAGTGTTATTTTTCAAATATTATTATGATCATAACATGCAGTTAAAACAAATATATGATTCCATATCACAGGGTTTTCGTTATATCATATTATCAATATTAATATTAGCTGAAATTGATAAAAGAATTGTAGTCATATCTGGGGAAACCCATTCCAAATGCTATACATTTTCCACTGATATTTGACCTGCTGAATGCCCTATTTAACTACTGATAAATACTTAACGAAAAATATAAACATTTCCCCGAGATTTCATAATCAAACACTGCTCTGTTAATAAAGTAAATATTAAGTTAATAAGATAATAAACTTGGCCCAAAGAGAGAGAGCTAGCAAGAGGCAGCTTTCGCTCTTGATCTTTGCAGAAAGCTCAAAAGCGAGCTAAATCTGGAACAAATTTCTGAGCACGACTTTAGTATCGTTATTCACAGAACCGAGAGCAGAAGTCTACAGAAAACGTGCAAAAATATATAATATATATAATATAAAAAGAAGATAATACTCATGGAGCTGCTATCAAGACTGTTGATGATCATCGGCCTGCTAATGCTGAGCTGGCATTGGGCAGCCACCTTTCCCAGGAGTCAACCTGTGGCCACAACTCCGGCAGTTAATCATCAGGAAAATGTCAAAACAACACCTGTATTCAATACCACAGATATATTCGTGCAGAGCATTTTCGATATAAGTCCATCGTGTCAACCTGGATGGATACTCGCGGGCAGCAGGTGCCGTAAAATGGCTTAAAGTGATATAAAAGTCAAAAGGGGAACGTGCCTGAAGCTACATAATTATAGACAATAAAAAGTAAACAATGAATAAATCAGAAAAATGTATCAAATAGAGCCAAGTTTTTGGCCAAAATATACAAGTAAAACAAGTAAATTGTCTTAATAATCAATGTAATAAAGGTGTACCAATAAAAAACATGATCTTTTTATTTCTTACACAAATAATTTCACATAATATAATTTATTAATATTCATTAATAATTTTACGCTGGCTTTCGACAACGATTTAAATACATCTTGAATCCCACGGGACAGGGAATACTTGGATGATTCTCCAATGACAAAAGTAATGTCACCACAAAGAGTAGATTTAGGAATATTAGCAGGTTGTTCTTCATCTTAAAAGCAGTTAATTTCGAGATGTGTATTCTTCGACTTTCGATTCTGAACTAATTCGCTTTCTTTATTCATTTTTGTGTTTATTGAATGGGTTCGGTGAGTGCTGGCGTTATCTGCTTTCATCCTGGGAATATTTGCGATGTAATCACATAATTATTGGGAATAATATGATCTAACAATATAAATTGACAGCTCGACAGTTCGGAATAAATTTGAAATGTGTACACGTTCCGCCACATTTGTGGAAAACAAATGCGTTTACTAATTTTTCTATAAATGTATTTATTATTTTTTACCAATTAAAGTAATCAATTTAAAGAATTATTGTATGCATGTTATAGTAAATTTTTCTCTCATTCATAAATTTGTAGAGGGATTTGTTACGCTTTTAATTTGTTTCTTCAATTAGGCACGGTATTGGAGTTTGTTTTCTTTTCAAATGCCTACAAAGAGCTAAAATAAAATCGTATTGTTAGTAAAAAATATTCATTTAAAATTAAGTAATTATTTTAATATATTTCTAGAAATACTTTTTATATAGTTTTACTTGTGAAACTTTGAAAAGTAAAATAGATATAAATTGGCCTTCGGCACCAATATGAAATTAACTTCAAACCTTTAGGATTAGAGTAATTTTATTATAATTAATTATATATGCTACCAGACTTAACAATTTTTTTAGGGTAAGGTGATTCATCTAAGATTCAATTAGTGTATTGACGTGCCTCTCTGATACACGACTCAGAACTAATTTGTTTAGATTTTATTTAAATGAGTTCTGTAAGTGTTGTCATTATCGCTTTCAGCTTGGAATTATTTTGCGATGTAGATTATGTTCACATAATCATGGGCGTAGTGTGATTTAACAATTTACAATGACAGCTCGACAGTTTTCTATAAATGTGAAAGGTATTCGTTTAAGGAGCACTTGGGAAAAGCAATGCGTATGTACTAATTATTTTTTAGAAATTATATTTTAACAACATCATTAATATTGTTTACCTAAAAATGTGTTTGCATATATTGTTCACTATATTATTATTCTAGTATTTAATTTAATTTTGATCTGTTTCCTTTGATAAGTTCTGTAAATCTTTTTCCAAATATTTGAAATACAACTGTTACTGTAACTGGTTTTATATTTTAAAATATTTACGGTAATTATGTATCTAGGAAAAAATCTCTATACATACATGCATACAAATTTGACAAATTAATGATATATTATATATATTGACTTTGGCACTTACACATTTCTCCATATAATTTGATATATCTTTCCTTTGTAATCCTCAGAGAACTCGTTCTTCCAATCTTACATAATAAACCTTATCAGTTGAAAAAATATTTATAAATCTCATAATTTAATTACTCAAACGAGATACATTTACTGCATATAATTTGATATATCTTTCCTTTGTAATCCTCAGAGAACTCGTTCTTCCCATCTTACATAATAAACCTTATCAGTTGAAAAAATATTTCTTAAAATTTCTCATAATTTTTAATTACTCAGAACGAGATACATTTATTGGCTCAACTCGATTTTACAATTTTACAGATAAAGATAAAGAGTTTCTTGTTCCAGATTGAAGAATTACATTTATCCTGACATTCATTAGGCCTGCTTCCGGCATCGTCCCGCCATCCTCTCGGTTCCATTGGTACAGATGGGATCCGTGTTGAAGAGATTGCGCTGATTCACTGACTCGGAAGTGCCTCTTCGGTCTCGGATTTGGGATCCCGATCGGATCCTGATCTGGATCCAACTCCCTGGCTTAGTTCGGGTGACAGGTACTCTTGGGTGTTGAAAAGGTCACCTAGATTCTTGTCCACATTGTCACGCGTCGAAGTCTGTCCAGGAATGGGTTGGATTACAGAGGAGGCTCCTCCGCCTGATTGATCCTGTCCCGGTCGTGGCTGCAGAGTGTTGGGAGTTTGGAAATTAAACTGTGAGAAGTCGTCCTCGTCGTTATTGCCGGGACGAGGCTGTAGGGGATTACTGGAGCTTCCCGACTGACGTCCAGGCTGCTGGAAGCCACTGCCTCCTCCTCCTACTGGGCTTTGACCCGGTCCTTGTCCCGGTCGTGGCTGTAGAGTGTTGGGAGTTTGGAAATTAAACTGTGAGTAGTCATCTTCGTTGTTATTGCCCGGACGAGGCTGAAGCGGATTACTGGAGCTTCCAGGTTGACGTCCAGGCTGCTGGAAGCCACCGCCTACTCCGCCTATTGGACTTTGGCCCGATCCTGGTCGCGGCTGCAGCGTATTCTCACCGCTGCCAGGTTGCTGCTGAAAACCGCCGGGGGAATGACCAGGTCGCGGATAGGTGGGCAGTTCATTGCTATCTGGTTGTCTAGCATTGAAGTCACCCTCAGGTTGCTGGAAACCAGGTTGTCCCCGATTGGGGCCAGTTCCTGGTTGCTGGAAGCCAGGTTGTCCTCGATTGGGGCCAGTTCCTGGATGCTGGAAACCAGGTTGTCCTCGATTGGGGCCAGTTCCAGGTTGCTGGAAACCAGGTTGTCGCCTTCCATTGAAGTCTCCTCCCGACTGGCCTCTGTTGAAGTCTCCTCCTGGCTGTTGGAAGCCTGGTTGCCCGCTCTTGAAGTCTCCACCCTGGCCAGGCTGTGGTCTAACGTTAGGACCTGGCTGTTGACCTCCAACGAAATTTCCAGGCTGTCTAATTCCGAAGCGACCGCCGCCTGGCTGTTGTCCAGAGAAGGGACCACCAGGATATTGATTAACCGGATAAGTAGGTGGTGGACCAAAGTTTGGCGACTGTGGTTGGGAAGGATATCCACCAGAGAAATCTGGACCAAAACCATGCCCATGTCCAGGTCCAAAGCCGTGTTCGTGTCCGTGTCCATGACCATGACCATGCCCATGATGGGAACGATGATGATGTCTGTAAAATAAATAAATAATTAAAGAATTTGTTTATAAACTCTTGCAAGGTATCTCTCTCTCCGGATCTCTCTGTATCTGTATCTGTATATTTTTCGGTATGTCTATCTCTCTCTCGGTATCTCTTTCTTTCTCCCTCTCTTGTTGAGTGTATCTCTGCGTATCTCTAGGATCCCTTTCTCTCTATCTCTTTGTGCGTGTTTTTGGAGATATTTCTTGCTCTCCTCCGCTCTCGCTCTCACTTTCTCTGTTCTCTTTACTCGCAGACTATAAATACAGGCACTGCAGTCGCTCTGGACTCAGTCTGTCCGCGGCCTCCGTCCTGTTTACATCTATAGTGCTGTCGATAGTGATCGCCCTTCAACCCCGAAAATATATCGCCTGTCGTTTGGATAACCAGGAAGAAGCTCACTTTGATGATATCAAGAAATTCCTATATGAAATCACCAAGAATATGACTCTACACTGAAAGGAATTCAGCAATGATGTGTCCCTCTATTTCGGTAAGTCTTAACAATGATTAGTTGGTTACATTTCTTGCTAATAAGTAAAGTTAATCAGTGTCTAGCTAGCTAGTACCTATTCTTTTTTGCTTTTCTTTCAAAATTAGTTTAATGTATAAAGTAGAAACTCACGTTTCGGGTCCTCCAAATCCGCCATGTCCACCGTTCTCCACATAGTAAGGATTTTGAGGACGTGCGTCTGTCCAGTGACCGCCGATTAGGAAGATCAGTGCCAGAGCCAAGCCCAGAGATAAGAGCTGGGAAGCCATTTCTGAAACAGAACAGAAATCAACCACCAGCGTTGAATATTCAAAAGAGACTGAGTTGCGTCCCATCTTCTAGAGAGATGATTGCCTCAGAGCAAGTGTTGGTTATGAGCCGCCGATAAGCCAGGTTCATGACATCAGATAAGGCAACGATTACTATGTAGACTCCATCAAATGGAAGGGAAAAACAATTGCATCTACATCCGTAGACTGAGTCACGAGTTTGAATCTCCAAACTATAATTACTCTTTCTGTACTTTTGTGTAAAGTTTCCCCCCATCGAAAGTTTCTCCCACTAATGTTAAGTAAGTTTATTGGGGGGATTTTTGTTTGTTTGCCATGTTTTTTAACTAATCACCATCACAGTGTGTCCCATCAATCAGCATTAGCATTTCTATTCAAAATAAAATATCACTTTATTGACTCTAACATGGATCTCTTGCGAGACTTAAGACTAAGCCGACTTTCGGCACCGATTCGCCCGCAGTTCGAAGCCCTCTTTGCATTTTGGGGATGTGTCGAGCAATATTCGATTGTCAACCACCGGCTTCTCAGTGTTTAGCTCCTCCGATCCACTAGAGACGAGCTCAGTTGTGTCCGTGGTTAATAATGGAGTTGTTTTTGTGGTCACAGGAATCTCCGTTGTCGTTGCATTGACACTCGGCAGGGAGAACTTGGAGGTGAATACGTCCTCATCATTATCCTTGGGAAACACTATGCGATCGTCGATACAGGGCCGGGTTCTGGCCTCAATTGAGATGATAAGCAAACACAAAGAGCCTAGGCATAGCACCAACGGGTTAAGAGCGATCAACATTATTGGAGAGATGCACGTTTATTTGCTTCGACGAAGCTCTACAGACTGAGACACTGGGAGATCATCTTTACATTTAAAGTGGCACTTCCATTCCCATGCCTGAAAGCCAGACAGGTAAAAGATCACAATCGGAGAGCGGAGTTGATGGGAAAAAGCCAGACACACCAGACACGCTCTCCCACAAAATAAAAACGTAAACAAAGCAGAAGAGCAGCCTCAAAAGCTTTAAGATATTTTCGTTTTACACTGCTTAAAAAATCATTTATAAATGGATGCAAGAAATTTCATTTAAATATTAATAAGGCAAAAATACTAAAAAGCTATTTAAAAATTATTATAGTTCCGGCATAATAGTTCCTCGCTACTCATAGCTCCTTGGACATTCCTCCACAGTTTTAATTAATATATAAAAAATTTTCAGGATCCAATGATCTAACTCTGGTATCCGAGAATACGTATCCTTGGTCAGCGTGAACGGAGGACATTAATCTTGATTTAATTGTATTGGAAAATAAGAACAGACACTGCATTAATATTAATATATTAATGGATTGACATCATCTAGAAAACTCGGGTCTGTTGGCTATAACGAAGCTTTACAGTCTGAGATCTATCAGATTTATACTTCCCATCTCATATTCCGATTCCAGTGAAAAACAAACACATGTATATAAATATATATAATGCAATCGGTAAGAGTAATTTATGAGAAATCCAGTTACAAATATATTACGCAGTTATTATTATATAGAATAACAAATTCTAATAATTGATAATAATGTATTTTAAAAAATGTATATAACGATGTTCCATTGCTAAGCATCAGTACATAATACACATATTATATTATGTATAGATACTTAAACATCTTTATACTCTTAAAACTAAGCTGGTTTCCGGCAACGATTTCCTTGCACTTCGAATCCTGGTTTGCATTTCATGAAAGGAATGAACAGTGAAAACAAGGGTCCTCCATATGGTGCCTCGGTTCCGGTATAGATCGGTTCAGATGTGGTCGTTGTGTTGTCTTCATCTCCTTCAAGAGGTTGTCCTCGCAAGGACACTGATCTTGCCTGAATGGTGATGAAAAATCCTGCTAAAAGCACCAGCAGCAAAGTGTTACTACGAATCCACATCGCGTTTGCTTGATCTGACGAAACTTTAAAGACTGATCTTGGAAAGCATTTACATTCCCAGTCTCTGAGCCTGTCTCAAACCCAATTTCCAAAGTTAAGCAAATAGATTTTAAAACTGCCAAGGTGGGGGAAAAGCCAAACAAACCTGCTCTCTCGCGAAATAAAAACGTAAACAAAGCAAGCTTTCCCACATTTACACTGTAATTAAATTTAAAACTTGGTAGTTATAAACTTTATACGAATGAAATTGGTGTTACACAATTAAATTAAATTTGCAAAGCAAAGACATACTTTCAGAATTCAAATTTATTTATTTTTTGGAAGCAAATAATTAACTAGGCCAAGTTTTCTTTCAATAAAATTTCTTTTAAATTATCTTGTACTTAAATGTTTTTTTTTTTAATTTGAGTTCCTAATGGGTTAAGTTGAATCCAAGCCAGGAAGCTTTTAAGACTGAGCGTCAAAACAACTCTTGAGCTCTCCCAAACAATATTTTTGCAGCAGAAAGCTTATTGAGATATATATATATTTGTATATTGCTACACTGGTTTACACTGACAAAAATAAAAAAGCTAATCAACCTATTATTATTAAATACAAAGAACGAATTAATTTTCTATAGTTTTTTAACTCTTTTGTTTAAGTTTATTACATATTTGTATTATATGAAGCAGAATATTAAATTTTTGCAACTAATGAATATAATTTCTAAGACCTAAAACGTACACAGATAATTTACATCTCTAATTACTAATCATAATCAGGAGTTGATGAAATTCATTCTTGAATTTAAGTGCCTTAAAGACATTTCTAATAATGATGAAATTAAATTTAAATACACAAACTTTCTTATAATGTTTAAGCCGAATTTCAGTAGAACTTTCTAAGCAATATCATAATTTATAACATTAATTTATTTATTTAGTAAATTATCTTTATTAAAAGTCTCTGCTAGGCTGCTAGGCATCTTGCGACAATGGACGTTACTCAAGGTGAAGCCTTCGGGACAAATTCGTGTTGTTTCCAGTGTGATCCTCGGTTCCAGCACCACCTTGATCTTGACGGTTGTGGGTACCTCTGTTTCATCCCAAGGACGCAGGCTATTTGACTCCGGATCACTGGCAAAGGTTATTACCTTTGATTCACTGGCAGGATGGTTTGGTTTCTCGTGGTAGTGGATTACCCTCCTGCTTGACCTCTTCTTTTCCTTTTCCGGTTGTGTTTAATGGTGGATTTTCATTTCCTGTACTGCCACTGGTACTGATAATTCTCGGCATGCCCTTTTCGGCTTCCTTGGGCATCATCAGAAGACTGACATTCGTTAGGCGTGTCACCTCCGCCATTTGTCGATCGAATTCCTGGAGACGAGACTCGAGTTCCGGCTGGGATTCCGAGGGAAAGACAAGGCGATCGTTGGGCAATCGAGCCCCGGCATTTGGTTCCAATGACAGACACAGCCAGACACCGACAACCAGAGACAGCAACTCCGTCCAGGGAAGCCGCCATATAATGGCCATAATCGTAAAAAGTTGCTTTTCGCAATTGAAGCCCAAGTAAACACGTTCACGCTGGCCAGTATCACACTCGAGACTGAATGAATCTCCCCACCGTTCGGTTTCAGTTTCTGTTTCTGATTCAGTTTCGAGATTTCCTACACGGCTTCAGATTCAGATCGAGAGGCAAGAGCCAAGTGTCAAGAGAGTCAGTCGAGTCATTAGCTCGTTAGTTCTACATCAAGTGTGCGGGCTTGTTGTTTGCTCCCAGATAAGGCCTACTACAAACACGGCAGCTAACTGAAAAGCTTTTACATAATTAAAAAAAATTAATCAGCAAATCAACGAATCAGCGAATCGGTCGAATAACCGCAAGTGAGGGCAGTCGCAATGCGAATATTTATTTTCAAGGCTCAATTAATGCATCTGATACTTGGGTTTCTTAAGCAGATTCATACGTGGTGAATAATCTATGGAATTTGGCATTTACTTGTAATGGGTATAGGTTATTATGAATCAGGAAATGATTAATTCTTTTTGCTCTTTATAAAGTATCTGATATATAATAAACAAGAAAGGTTTAAAGCTTACTACATGTATACTCGTATTCCTTTTCTATGACTTTTTTTTAAATATAAATCTAATAATATTAAAATAAAAGAAAGGAACCTAACTTATGCACGCCCAAGTTTATTTACCTTTGCAGATTGCAATTTGATCACTTTATTTGTTAATGTTAAAAAACATTTTAATTTTAATTTTTCTCTATCGATCTAACGATCGTTTGTATGGCAGCTATGTATATATGATACAGTAGTCCGATTTCATTAAATTTTACACAACATTCTAGATGAATACATAAATAATATTTTAGATATATAGTATAAATATGTATATACATACATAGATAAATATAAAATATATTAAATTTGATGAAAATCTGTTGAAAACTGGAAAAGTTATAATATTTTTTCTTAAAATGTTCCAATCGTTCATATGTCAGCTATATATATAGTGCACCGATTCGCTATGCCCCAATTTATATACTAGTAAAATTATATAGAAGAATAACTCCATAGTTTCATTGAAATAGCTTTAATTTGTTCCAAAACAAATCTCGCACATCTGCACATATGATTCCCAATTAGTTCTAACATCCCCGGAACGAAGTGACTGCTGCCGTCCAAGTCTCAGATATGTGTTGTGTTACAAAAGTTGCCAGTCATTGTTTATTAGTGTTCATAGATACTTACTGGTCATTGATACTTAATGGGCGAAGTTACTTCCTGTTCATTGATACTTCCTGATCAGAGTAATTTAGTCATCATAGTTACTTACTGGTCTAAGTTACTTGCTCTCATTGATACTTACTAATCAGAGTTAATTACTGATCATAGTTACTTAATGATCATAGTTCTATAAATCGTCCGATCGTTCTATGGCAGCTATATATATATATTTATATATAGCCCACCGATTCGCCATGCTCCGACTTATATACTAGTAAAATTACATAGAGGAATAACTCCATAGTTTCATTCAAATAGCCTAGTCTTAAATTGGCTCCGAAACAAATCTCTTCATGTGCATATGATTCCCAACTAGTTCTCACATCCCCGGGACGAAGTGACTGCTGCCATCCAAGTCTCAGAAATGTGTTGTGTTACAAAAGTTGCAAGTCATTGTTTATTAGTGTTCAAAGTTAGTAACTGATCATACATAATTAATAGTCATAGATAATCACTGTTCATAGTTACTTAATGCTGATTGATATTTACTGATCAAAGTTACTTAATGTTCATTGATACTTACTGATCAGAGTTACTTAATGTTCATTGATACTTACTGATTAGAGTTATTTACTGCTCAGCGTTACTTATTGATTATAGTTAAATTAATTAGCTCGCTGCTCCTCTCTGCTCTCCCCCTCTCACTCTATGTTAATCGCCCTAAGTTAAACTGTATAGGAAACTGCTTCTCTCCCACGCACTCACACTCACTTTCTCTTCTCTGCTCTGCTCTTCTCTGCTCTGCTCTTCTCTGCTCTGCTCGGGGACTATAAATAGAGGCGCTGAGGTCGCGCGCGCCTCAGTCTGTCCTAGGGGTACCTACTGTTAACATCAATAGTGATAGTGCAAGTGATCAGCCTTCGACTTCAAAAATATGACGTGGCCAATGAAACACATCTGGATGACTAGGAAGAAGCTTACTTTGGATGAAGACACCCAATCTTGGTCACTACACTGAAAGGAAGTAAACAATGACGTGTCCTTTTCTGCGGTAAGACGCTATTGGTGGTATCAGACCTAGGTCTAGACTATATATTCAATTTATTTCCTTACTTCCTTACGGCTTTGGTCCCCTTTACATACTCAGAAACTTTCTGATATTTACTTACTTACTTATTTAGTTACTTAATGTCATAGATACTTACTGTTCAAAGTTAATTACTGATCATAGTTACTTAATGTTGATTGATACTTACTGATCAGAGTTACTTACTGGTCATAGTTACTTAGTGTTCAGAGTTATAATTATATGTTTTCTCAATCTTTTAAGAGATTGCATTATCTTCAATGATGTCACCTAATCTATGAATGCACTTTTTCTTTTTAAACCTTACTAATTACTATATCCCAATACTTTGCTATAAAATGAAACAATAAAATTCCCTCTAGAGTCAAAAGTAATGATTAGATGTCATTAAAAAAGTTCCCCCAAGTATACATATATCATCTCATCCCCTAAGTGACTTTCCTCCAAGTAACCTGAGACCGAGCCGTAAACTGCCTAATAAATGTCAGCAATTTGAGCGAATAATTTTGACAATTCTATTGTCAGCCAGCAGGCGGAAACCACATAAGGTATACCATTCAGGAAACAAAGCCTCCCCAACGGTTAAGGACCCAGAAACCCAGGACACAGGACCTAGGACCCACATCATCATCATCAAAGTGCTTGTCCTTGGGTGGTGGTGGGCATAATTTTCGCGAAGTGAAAAAGAAAAGGCAAACGAAAATTGAAACATAAAAATGTCATTTGTCCCTGGGTGTGTGTTGTGTGTATGTGTGGTGGGTTAAATACCGGCATCCCTATATATTTTTTTCGCTGTGTACCGCATAAAAGTACATTAAAATAATGCCTGTTTAGGTCACAGACAGCTGAGGCAGGGCCAAAGGCTCGTAGAGTCATTTATTTATGACAGCCACCTTATTCAGTTTCTTCCCTTGCCCTGAGTGAATGCAAAATTTATGCTAAGCAGAGGGATGGAAAGGAAATCTCTAATTGCAGGGAAGGGGTCCTGGGCTCTGGGACAGGACAATAGTCCTTTTGCCCGGCTGTTAATCAGTGCAAGTTTCGGAAAGTAATCAGCAAATATTTGCACACTTTTTGTTGCGATTTTCTCGAGCATTTTCTTCATTTCCATAAAAGCCAGAGCCAGCATTGTTTGCTTATTGTTTATTGTTTATGTATTTCCTTACCAAGAAATGGCAAATTGAAATCTATCAAAGCAGAGATCTGATTTGGCTGGCACAACCTTCGACTGGCTTGAGGGCCCTCATAGCTGGTTGGTTGCCTTATAAGCCATTAACTACTTTCACAATTGTCTTGGCCATCTCGGGAGTCGTAATGGTCAGCTGAAAATTGTGATTTTGATTCAGTTAAGTTAACCCATTATTGGAATAGCATGGCATCTTCTTTGTGCAGGAATATCTCCTGTTTATCCTTGGCATCCTGGTAATCAGCAGCAGTAATTTACTGAAGGGTACTCTGGCCACGGATAGCGAAATTGTGGAAGCTATGAGAATGTAACTGGCCACAATGAGCCCTCAAAATAAGTATGGAACCAGCGTGGAACTCCAACGAATCAATGCAAGTGCAGCCCTACAATATCCTGGAAGCAAACTGCCCCGAGGGCTATGTCCTGGCCAACAAACATTGTCATAAACGTGTCTAGTGTTTAAAGTTGTGAATAATTGCAAGAAAATCCTAATCAATGTGGAGTTTCAACTTTACAAAAGATACAATTAAATTGTAAAGCTAAATTTTTAAAGTATATTCCTTAAATATTATAGTTCTTAAAGGTGTTCTTTCCCAGACTCACTCTCTAATTGATTAGTTTCCCTTACTTTCCACTCATCTCAACCGCAGATAAATATTGCTTCTGGGGTTATTTTTAAGTGCCTTGAGTGAACCCCATTTTTGCAGGAATCCTGCAGCATTCTCCATCTGCTCCTTTTGGTCAACTATCAACCAATATGTTGTGGTCGTTTCCATGTCCAACCTGTCCACCGCTGTAGTCCAACGTTACCCCAGGGACGAGGTGGTCCAGCTAACCGCATACATAATTTGCGACAGCAACCGCAAAATGCGGCTGGACAGGAGAAGGGAACAGGAGCAAGAGCAGGAGCAGGAGCAGAAACGGGAATGGGAGCATCAGGAGGAACAGCAGCAGCAGTGATCCCCATTCCTTGACTCATCTCCTGACTGATATGCAGCCCGGAGGCTGTCATTAGTTAGAGGTCCATTAACAAAAATGCAACCGAAGGCATCAACACAGTTTGAGCCCAGAGCCCCAGACGGTCGGTCGAATGTCATTTACAGGTAGCAGCTGCATTGACAGGACCCCTAAAACAGGACTCTGCATGGGTCCGGAAGCTTCGGTCGTATTAATTCTCCACCGAGAGCCCATGAAATATGACCGCACTTTGGGGGGCGAGTCGCCGCCCTTAGCTCTGCTCCGTTGAATGAGTTAATTAAGCGTCTCACGGCCAGAAACATAATTTCAGCTCATTTATCAGCGCGGTCCGTGCGGCGGCGTATGTAAATTTTGGCTTTGAGATGGGAAAATGTCAACGCAAAAACATGATGCCAGCTTCTGTATAAACCGCACACAAAGGATAAATTTAGAGGACATTGATGCTATCAAGGGGAAAATGTTTCTGTAAGGTGTATATATTCAAAGTGTGGAAAAACAAGCAACAAATATTGTTATATCAATTTTAAAACATTTTTTCCCAATATCATTTGTTTTTCTTAATGTTAATATAAAGTAAAACCATATTTGTTATTTTCTGTGTACTCTCTTTATTGGCAATAGGTAAGGGCAAGCTTATAGCTGCTGACCCAGGGGATTGTCCAGCCAAGGATAGACGACGGGGCACTTGTCGCAGACATTTAGGTAACGCTCCTCGCCGGTGGATAGCTTCTGGACATGGCACTGGACGGCGCGACAGTCTGCCTCCGGCAGGACGGGACAATCCTTAAAGGGTGCACCCAGAACGGGTTTCTTTACGTACTCCAGCATACGCGAAATGCCAGTAAAATACACATCCGGATAGGTATTCAAGTGATTAATAAATCTGTGGAAATATAGAGATTTAAGTTGCATACTTTTGGACATTTGAAATATACATTCATGTCATAAAATCTTATATTTATACTTATTACCTTAATTACAAATTATAAATAATCATAAAACTCACTTCTTAAAGGCCCCAAAATAATTGCGTCCCCTTGAGAACCAAGCTGCATGCAGATACATGCCGAAGGGAGCTCGACTTCCCTGATAATGCCGATTAAAGTTCTCCAGCATCCAATCAAACAATGCGTCCACCTTGTCCTCCGGCGGATATACACAGGCATCGATCATGGAGCAACTATAGCCCTCGGTGTCAGTCCATGTGACCATGGGATTAACCCACAGTCCGGGAATGGAGGCCTCCGGACAAGGACCAATCTGGCAATCCTGTTTCGACTGATAGTCCAGAGTGTAAGGCCACATGGCCGGATCCTTGAACTGCTGCGTGGGCCAGGAGCTGTCGTAGCTCAAACCCAGACGACGTGCTGCCTCGAAAGTGTTATTTCCAGAGATCTGAAGGAAGGGCAATCGCATGCCCTGAATGCTCTTGGGATTCACCTTAGCGAACGCCTCCAGCATCCTTAACTGTGCACCAAACTCTCGCTCCACAGTGGCCACATCCGCTGAACGCCAGTAATCGGTGCCATCGCCATGGGTCACCGAATGCAGGGCGATCTCATGACCTGCTCTATACAGGCATTGACCCTCACATAATCCGTATATTCATGGGACAGGAAGAAGGTTCCAGCGGCCGTACAGCCATCCGGATTGATCAAACCTTCGAAAAGGAGCTCATACTGGGCATAGTTCACCGCATTTACGGCATCGTCAAAGGTGATGGTCACAAACTAAGGTGGGTTTTTATTTAAATAAAATAATAAATAATATTTAGATGCATAAAAATGGTATCAAGGAACCATCTCACCTGAGGAATCTCGCTCTCCTTGCCCTGAAACTTGGACCGTGGCAGCAAAGCATCCGAGCAACGACAATCGGGCAGCTTACAGTTTGCAGATTTGCAGGGTTCCGCCAGGGACAGGACCTCCTGCTTCTGCTTATTCTTCACCTTCTTGGACTTGGTCTTGGCAGTCTCCCCACCAAAAGTGAGGGCCAAAATTAGGCCTAGAATTAGCAAAGTCGAGTACTTCATGCCGCCGGGCTAGCAGTCGCTCTTCTCGACCGACAATACTCCATTTGGGGCCTCTTATAACCTTCGAAGAACTTCGCTAAATATATATCTTATCATTCGATGGGATTTGCTTGTTCAACATAAGGTGTGTCGCACCACCATATTATTTTTTTTGGGTGGGTCTGCTAGAGTGACCTTGGTTCATCCGCAGAGCACTACAAACTTCACCCAAGCGGTATATAAAAATCAGACAGAACTTTCAATTATACGAGCAGACAAGAAAACCACAAGCGATCGAAGTGGCAAAAGTTTGCCTCATTAGCATAACCAAGGAGAACTTAACAGCTGAGATTTGCCGACTCCAAGTGGAAAACTTTTCACACTTGCCAACCGAGCTCAGAGATCGCAATCGATGGAGCCCCAAATTATGACAGTCACTCCTCCGCCGCCAGCAAAATGCACTTCAAATCGTAAACAAGTGCTTCACAAAAACTTTCCACAAGGCAGGAAAGGCAGTTCTCCAAAAACAAAAGCAAGCTAGAACAACTCCAACCCCTGGCCAATCGGGGGAGCATCCCAAAATCCCGGCAAGCAAACAGCAAAAAGTCAATACAAGATTGAGGAAAAATCAGCAAGGACTACGACTCCAGGGAAAAAGGCAGAGGCAGCCAGGAGGAAGTCAGGCGGCAGGCATGGAGACAGAAGGATTCCAACCCGCTCCACTATTATTCGGGGTGCACGCCCCGAATGCCATTTGGTCACGTTCTGGGGCGTTGCCATCCTTGGTGGCTAGGAGCTGGTCCTGAAACGAAGAGCCAACCAACCGCCAGCTAGCCGAATGGAGCCTCGGCAAATTGGGCCGAAAAGTGGGTGGCACATCACAGGACACTCGGCTGTTGTTGTAGGGGCAATGCAACATGTTTGAGTGAGTTCGACTACGCAGGACCTTAGCCTTACATCATCTAAAGAGTCAGCCCTGGGAGGGACTCTAATGAAGATTGAAGCAGTGCCTGGCTGGCTCATTGAATGTTGATTGACAGCCAGGTGAACAACATAAGAGGAGGCCACTCTATCACTCTATATTTTTGATCATTAGGAAGGACAATGCACTGTGAGAAATATATATAGTATAGCAAGAGGGACAGAGTTTAGGAGTTTCAATTAGGACAAAGAAATATAGCTACTTTATTTAAGAATCATTAAGAAATGAAACCAATAAATACAAGCCTCAAAAAATTTTCATCAAAGTTTAGAAATTATATGCATATCCTTACCTCATTTTTTGTTATTTATTAATTCAAGCAATAATAATAATTTGTCTCTATCTCAGTGAGTAATCGAAATTATATGATCTTATTTGATTAAAGCACCAGTTTCCCCCTTTATATTCTTTCGATGCAACCAACACACTCCTTCCTTTCCAACTTTCTGCTCATTAGGACTTACCACCACTATGTCGAGGCGTTGGAGTGTAAAATCAAAGGGAATCCTTGCCGTTCACGTGACTGAAACTGCTTTAAAATGCAAATTTTGCAGGAATAATAAAAAGAAAAAAGGTTACTCATATGCGTGGAAGATTTCCCAAGTGCAGAGGAAATCTGCACGCACGTCTGAAGCGGGAAACTATTATGGGGCCCAGGGAATTTTCTTCTTGTTTACTGTGGTGTGAAGTCTCTGTGTAAAATCGGTGCGTGTGTGTGTTTGCCAATTTTCGCGATAATCACACAGCTAATTTGCATAGCACTGAGACCAGCAAATCTAGGCTAATCAAATCAGCCAAACGAACAAACTCAATTTGCGGTGAGGGTATTTATGGGAGCATATTCATGCTACTATGTAAATATACTTGAATTATTATGAATACACTTTGATTGCAGAGTGTTTTGAGTTAGTCATTCGTTTGGTTAAAGATTTTGAAAAGAATATTCATGGAAGTTTGTAGTTTTTAAATCAAGAAAGTAATAAATAAAGACATATTTCTAAAGAGAAAAACTTCTTATATATCGACAACGATTTCATGCTCAATGATATATAGAATTACAGAATAATGTCTACATCCACTGATATATTATCGTTAAAACATAATTTTATATCGACCTGTGTTTTAAATATCTATACATTATATATACCCGCATTCCTTCTTAAATGAAATAGTAAACTTTAAAGGTCATTAACATTTTAATAAATTAAGAATCATATATCATTAATAACGATTTATGAATGTAACTTTATATATCCTTAATATGTATATATTCATAGCTTATATCTTGCTCTCCGGCAGAGCATCCACCTTTTCCAACAGTCCTTCCCCTCATTCACATCCCATTCATGTTCTTCCCTTGAGATCTCCTGCCTTATGATAGGCCTGAGGAAGTCCTTTTCATCCATCTGTTATTGCTTTGATGGGACTATGCAAATCTCGGCTTACCGACATGGCCTGGCATTACATTTCAAATTATTTTCGGCGGAGCAGAGATAACAATCCGGGGGAAGCGAACAAAATTCCAAAAACAAAAAAAAATAATAAAAAAACGAAAATAGTGGGCAAAAATCCAAATTACAAGCAAAGGATGACGCAGAGGGCGCGAGGAGCAGTACATGGGACAGTGGCCAGGAGGGATCTGCCAGAGAACTGGGATGCAGAGAGGACATCAAGGTTTTTCGCCGATTTGCAAGAGAATGAGGTGCGGACCATGCATTATCTGGGCCTGGCCTACTTGGTCCTATCCCGGCGACCCAGGCTCCAGCTGAAGGTGCCACTGGCCACCATGAACTACATTGAGGGTGGATCCGCAACCGGGATCCGAGTAGGCTTTGCCCTTCAATTGGTCTTCACCTGTCCGCCGAGATATCCGCTCCAGATGCCGGACGTGGAGATTGTCGAGAAGCGTAATGTCAGTGAGTCCTTGGAGGAGGCGCTACGCGTGGAGATTGCCCAGACTCTGGAGCAGCACTTGGGTCTCCAGATGATGGTGCCAGTGATAACGCGGCTGCAAATGATAATGAACAGTGAGATAGGAAGGTTTCCTCGTGTTCCTCCACGTCCCGAGAATGTATAAATAAAATATTGCCTACGTTTAAGTTGTGTTACTTTTGTTTTTTAGTACTGAAAATATCAGTCTTCAAAATTCAGAATTCTATATCCTCGTAGCTTGAATTTTGCTGTGTAAAAAAAATCACCTGATATGTTCTTACTCATCCTTTCTTTGAAGCCATTTCTCACAGAGTTAACTTACTATTTTTTCACTCCTTAAATTCCCAGCAGGAATACGTGACTTTTGGCCTTGACAGACGTCCACTTGGTGCTCCAGGATCTGAAGTGGGCGAGCGTTAACACGTGCAGGACGAGGCATTAATTGGCGACTCCTGCGCTCAACTTATCTGCGTCTATCCAGGACCCTTTTTGGCTTTGCATGCTCACATTTCCTTCCTGTGCCAAATGAAATTTGCAGCGGCAAAAAAAGGAAGAAACCAACAAGTACATAACGAAAAAAAAGGAAGCAAAGGAAAATGCAACACATGGAGCTAGTCAGACGCCTTGGGGCGCTTCCTGTTGATCCTTGAGAGCGCATAAGAACGTCCTGCCGTCATGCCGGATGTCTCTGGGTAATTTAGATAGCTGCAGTTCCCGCCGCTGTGCCGCTCAAAGTTGCATAATGTCACTTTCAAAGTGTCGCAGGGCAAGGAAAGGATACCAGGCAGGACATGCAGACATCTTAAAGCTGCGATAAGCTGGCAAACGATTTTTATGAAACTCCTAAGACTAGCAAAAGTCCTGCTCGTATGTTTGCTTACGACTTTTATTCTTTTTTTGCCCCCCATATTATTATTTTTTGTGTGTGTTTTTGGCTTTTAGTCAGCATCCTTTCTTTTTTAATGTGACGACCGAACGCTGTGTATGCCCGAAGGATTTGTGCGTAATGAAAAACTGTCACATCGAAGGATGGGCCTAAAGCCAAGCCACACAGGTACGAGTGCAATGTGTGTGTATGTGTGAAGAAATTGAAAAACGCTAGCCGGGATGGAACCCAAGGAGCATTAAAATGGCAAATTTGCGACCAGGACTCCGGCCAGGACATTTATGGCCGACAGACGGCGACGACAGGGACATAAAAACGGCGGCGACGCCTGCGTGATAAGCGCATAAATCAGTCAATGTAGCTATACCTTTACCAGCAAGGGCACAAGCTAAAACCCAAGGCTTAAGGTCCTGCAGGATATTTTTAATACAAGTTTATATCCTGTAATTCCTGTGAAAGTAATTAAGGGTTCAAATCAAAGGATAAGTTCAATAGCTAAGCAAAGAAACCCATACAAATCTTCATCTGTTATGAAAGAATTCTTGTATTCTTTTTCTGAAGAATTATATGCGCCCCAACTGAAACGCCAACGGAATGCCTTATGGCTGAGAGAACCAAGAAAAAATACAGCAAAGGACGAAGGACAACACTGAGAGCTCATTGCTTATGCTCGAACACGAAGCAAATTCAAATTACAAATTATGTTTTTGTCATTGACCCAAGAGCTTTACGAGAGTTCTGCCGCCTCTGCTCCACTTGCATCCTGGCATCCTGGCATCCTTGGCCCATCCCGGTAATCCAATGGTCAATGTCCGCGCAGTGTCAACTATTTAGTTTCCGGTTTTAACTTGCACCATAAACCGGGGCGTTATGTGTCCGCTTTTATGGCTTCTAGCGGCGTCCCGGCTTCATTGTTTCTTAATAATCCTGGCCAGCGTCTTCGGAGTGCACACGTTCTCGCATTAAGGATGTTTATGGTCCCAGACACTGTTTCTATAAGGGGGGAGGATCCACTCGGTCCTGGGGGGTGTGTCTTGCTCCTTCCTAGCTGCATGCCACACACTTCCGCTGCGCTGCAGTCATAAATGCGCTTAATTGGCAATTTTTGTGTAAGCGTGTTGAAATTTTTATACCCCGCCCGGACTCCAACGAAAGTTGCAGTCATAAATAGGAAATATGTTCCGTGTTTCCGTGAAGTGCCAGTCTGAAGCTCCCCATCTCTCGCTTTTATGGGTCATGCATGAATTTGCTGGGATTTATATGCGGGCTACATGACCTGGATTCTTATGACCCCGCAACCGGAACCATTCCGTTGGCTAATCAAAAGATATTTCGGCAGTTGCCATAAATGAATTTGACTCGACCGCAAATGGACATTATTATTTTTATGCCTTGGAACAATTTATATCACATTTTATTCACAAAGATTTTTGTTTTGGGAGCAGAAGAAGAAGTAACCCTAGCATAGGTTGGTCTTGGAAGGTGAGGGATTTAAGGGATCTGTGAGATTAGGGAATTATGGCAGGAGAACCTATTTATTAACTTATAAAAGATATAGGCACGGGAAATAAATCTGATCAAAGTTGGAGAACTTATACCTTAAGTAGAAAAATAGGATTGAAGGATCTCCAGAGAAGAGTCAAAAATGCAGGAGACACAGAGTTGGAAACTTCGAAATTAATCGAAGAGGATCTTCCTCTGAGAAGAATCTCTATTTATGCAAAAGGATTCTTATATTAAACGTTATACAGAGATATATTTTAATTATAGAACGCTTTATTATAATTTACAAGAGCTTCCTTCCAGCTTTTCTTATGTTATTTCTGTAAATCGTTACGTTTGACTACAATTAGTGTTCTGCAATTTATAACCAATGATTATTTTAATTGTAAAGAATTCCATAGGCTTAATAGGTATTTCCAAAATTATTCCAAAAACCTATCCTGGTAGGAACAAACATTATAAGCTCTAAATCAAATTTGAAAAAATGCTTATTTCAACAGGTTTTCTTGACTCTTCGATTATTGATTGTTGACTTTAGCTGCGAATAAATCAAACCACTCACTCCCTTGGCTTCTGCACCCTTTCTTTATTTTTATTTTTGCTATCCATGGAAAGGACTCTTGGTTCATTGAGGATTCGTAGGCTGGTGGTGCAAATTGAAGCTGTCCCGGGTGTTTGTGTGTCCGCCCAGAGCCGAGGTTAAGGCACGCACCAAGTTAAGTCCGTGTATACTCTCCATTCCCTTCCGTCGACTGTTGGATTCTATTAAAATTGCCTGTCATTGCCGTTGCCGGCATCGTTATTGTCCGCACCGTGGATCCATGGGATCCTTGGCTCCTGGAGGCACACCCGTACTCCTTTAAGGATGGCAGACATGCTTAGTCCCTTGGACGACGATGGCGACGTTGTCTTCTGGCAGGACCATTATTCTTCAACAACGTGCATTATATTATCCTTTGGCTGAAGGCATTTGTATGCTGGTCCCGGGCGCGAATTGCATTTGGGATCGGGTGGTTTCGGCTGGTTCCTGGACGGTTTCCGGGTTTCCGGGCTCCCGACTTCCCAACACCATGGCCTTTCAGCTGTCGTCAGTGCAATTTGTATTGCCGCCCGTCGTTGGCGTCTGTAACTTGTTTTTTATTGGTTTTCTCGTTTTAAATTTCAATTTGGAGTCCTGTAAGCAAGATGTATGTACAACAAGGCCTGCCAGGGGGAAGCCCGGAATTTGGTACTGCAGAGCATATGTTGACAGTGTCAGGTGCGCCAGCAACGATGGGCGATTTATTTGCGTCAACCTGGCCAGCTTGATGCTTTCAAGGTGCTGCGACTGTGCTAACTGAACTGTCACTCAGCCTTTTGGCTTTTACTTCTTTCAATTACACGCAGAGAAAAGTGGTAACAAAATAAGTGATTAAATACGGACAAATCTTGACCAGTCAGTGCTCAAAACTTGGTTTTCTTCAAGTGTAGTTTGCATAAGGTTGCTCTCTTGATAACCAAACAATCATTGGGCATATACTAAATATATTTCTGAATTTTTCCATCTCAAGGTTATTATGCCATTAGGGGTTATGGGGGACGGGAGGGCACAGAGCACATTTTACACCGCATTTAACCCAAAAAACATGCCACTTAACAGAGAGCATTTATCAATTTGGAAGTGTGGGTGTGAGTGGGAGAGTGTGTGTGTTTTTCCACCCATAACCCTACGTGATTTTCCGCCCCCGCATTATCAGGCATCAAGGAGAAGAGCAACCTCATCCTTGAACCCTCAACCCATGACGCTGCACTCTCTGGGCGATTATCGAGCGCTTCCGTTTCCGTTTTGCTCGTTGTGCGGCTTTGGGCCATGCCCCGAAAATTACATGCCTTTGTTTTTTATCTAATGCCATACGCCATTATGCCTAACCCGGGGTCTTAAGGGTCTCGGTCTCGGCCTCCGTCTGTGTCTCCCATTCCCATTCCCATCCCCATTTCCCCCCCCTCTGCCAGGCGGAACGTGTCCTGGAACTCTCGCAGGATTCAGATGCGCAATTCGATCTTTTATCAGTTGTCATCGTCGGCAAATTCACACATTCGCATGGGCATTTGTCGCTCTGCTTGATTTGTGCCACCGTAACAGGCACAGTGGGACAAGATCAGCATATTGTAGGGGAAAAATTAAATTATATTATTAAATAGTTCATTAAGTTAAAAATAACTAAGCATGTTAAGGGAGTGAGAGTCTTGAAATCGACAAAGACTCTTGGGTTTTTATTTAAGGCTTTGAGTTTCAAGCTTCCTTTCTTTAAGTTTACATATTAAATATATAAATTTTATAAGCTTTCCTAGATTATCTGGTAGTTCCCCTTTGTTGTTTGTCAAACTTTAAAACAGATTATTAATTATGTCAAAAATGTGTGTAGATCAAAGCCATTGTTATCAGTTCAGCTCGCCTTTGGTCATTCTTATCAATATCAAATTCTCCGCCACCGGGTTAATTTTGGCACTTATTCCAGCTTTTTTCCTCAGTTACTCGACAAAGATGAAGGGAATCACTCGTGTTATCTGTCTACTATTGCTACTTGGCATCGTAGGAGCCAACAAACCCAGTCCTGATGAGGCGGCCCTGGAGCAAATACTTCACCAAATGGACGATTCAGTTAATCCCTGCGAAGATTTCCAAAAGTTTTCAAGCGGAAAGTTCTTGGACAACCACAAGGTAGATGGAATCTACAACTTTTATGGTTTAGTGAAACATAAATTCAACGAAAGAATGCAAAAAGTGTTCGATCGACTCAAATATCGAGTTCTACGAGACTCAAACAGTGTGGAGGAGAAGGTGTGGCTATTCTATAATACCTGCCTCACAGCTCCGAGAATTACGCATGCGTGGAAGCATTACATTGGATTGGTGTCACCAGGTAGGGATCTCACCTGGCCACATCTAACGCCCCGAGGCAGTCAGTGGTTCGAGGAGAACTTCAAGTGGCTGGAGACTCTGGCTCGGCTAAGTCACTTTGGTCTGAATTGCTCCTCATCGAGATGAAAGTCCAACCAAGCAGGAAGTATAGCAGCAAGTTCAAGGTGTTTATTGGTAAGCAAAGGATCAACACAATCGAAAAAGAAGGGCAAACCAAGGACCTGCTCATCAGTCTTGGAGTGTCTAGGAAGAGAGCGCGAATTTTGGCCCGCGACATAACAGCTCTCGAAAGTGAAATCAAAGAACTGGCAGAGCTTGAAGGATCCCCAACAGAGTTGAGCATAGAAGAGTTCGAGAAAAGGACAAAGTTGGCCCTGGGAAAGTATATAGGCACCGCCTTCGGCAGCGCTTTCGAACCCAGTTTCATGGTGCAGACCTCCGAATTACCCTACCTAGAGGGTTTGCAGAATCTCTTGGATACATTCGAGAGTGAAACCGTTGCCAGTTACCTGATGATCAGCTTCGTTCGGTACCTGAGAGGTCTGGTTGGCAGCGCTGCCGAAGGTGATCCTGGAAAGTGTGCCACGGCAGTGGCTTTTCACATGGACACCGCCAGTGAGCTGCTCTACAAGGACTTCTACTTTAGGTTTGGAAAGTTCCAGCGGTATAATAACGATGTCCAGCAATTGTTCAATCTCATCTCCAAGTCCTTCCTGGGACAACTGCGAAGCAATCGATTGAACCTTACCGCCTTGGAAGTTCAGTTTTTCACACAGAAGTTAAAATCCATGACCGTGATTGTGGGAAAGCTGCCAAATGTTGAGAACCAGCGAAGTTTTGTCAGAGACTTTTACTAGAACCTCAATTTGGGATCCTCTGAACCGGACTTTGCTGTGATGCACTTGAAGGTCCTGTGGCACCGTAATCGCAAGGTCTTAGAGCAACTGGATGGATCAGTGCCCACTGGCAGGGAATTCTTCCTACTCTCCAACAATGACTATATCAGTGCAGAGCCGGAACTTTTAGTGTTCAGAAACACAGTTGTCCTACCCATCAACATCCTGCAGGAGCCCTTCTTTACACCCGAAATGCACAATGTCTTCAAGGTGAGTCTGCTGGGCTTTATCCTGACCCGCCAGATCCTGCAGAACTTTGTGCCCCATAACCTGACAGTTGAAGGCAACGAACACAATCAGGCTTACCTTGATGCTTAATGAGAAAAACTCCAAGTCGAGGGAAGATCCTGTGCTTGATGTGATGGCCCTGAAAACTATCTACAGGATGTACTTTGAAGATGACTCCCAGTTCAGTCAGAAGCAGCCGAGCTTCACCAGTTTTCCTCTGAGGCAGTTGTTCTTACTAAACTTTGCTCGGGTTTTTTCAGGAGAAGCAGAGCATGGAGACACTAATGAGTTGCGTCTTAGTCAGGCGTTGAGAAATCTGCAATCCTTTGGCAAGGACTTTAATTGTCCCACTTCGGAGGCTCTGAATTCGTGTGAGATGTGGTAGGATCTTTTTTATAAATAAAAGGAAAGTCGATTTTAATGTACCCTTGCAGTTTGAATTATAGGATCGAATCGTAAATGGATCATTCGATCTTGTTCTCATTCTTTAAATCAATATTTATCAATACTTTTATATGACAATTTGTTCAACACACCAAAAAAACCATTAATTTTAGTTTAGAAAGCTTTGCTATGCTAGTTTTGAATTGATTTATAAATCAGCAAACTTAAATTTAAATTTAAAAAATTAAAATTTTTGACAATTTTAATGATGTAACCCCTTATAAAGTTTTGAAAAAATTGATACATTTTTTCTTCTGCAAGAAATGGCTAGATCGATTCAGCTGTTGATGCTGATCAATAATATATATGATTTATAGGGTCGGAAATGACTCCTTCAAATAATAATACCCTACAAAGCCATCAATTATTATAAAGTTTAACATTTAATAAAGTCCTAAATTTACAATGTAGAAGTGATAATATCAAGTATCCTTTTAAGGTCATCCTAGTTAAGTTTTTGTGTAGATTTTGTCCCACTGTTCGCCCCACCCAACTCCCACCCAGAGAAGCACATTGTTTCACGTGCCATTTCGCAGCTGGAAATTTGAACTTTTTCAAGCACCCGAAGCAAAAGAACTAAACGAATTCGCAAATCCAGAGACAGGATGAAGATGTGTGCTGGATGCGTGCCTAAGTGTTGTGTTGCATTTACATGGCTAGATAAACCCCTGGCAGATATCGGGCTATATATATATATTGGATTGTGTTGGAGGAGTGGAGTGTGAATTGGTTACGCACATACACACCCAGAAAAATCTCCAATGGAGCAGCAGGATCTGGGCTCATGTGGGGGAGGCATATTAAGCAAAAATTAGCAACAGTTGTGGCCCCAAACAGTTGCCCCATTTCCATTTCCACATCCTATTTTCCGAATATGTCAAGTTAATTTAATGTAGCATGAAGGGGAGGATGGGCTGGGTGGGATTCCAAGGATGGTGGCTATATCTTCCCGGTGCCATCTGTTCCATCATCATGTGTTGCCCGCCTACGTGCAATAATTTGTGCAATTACTTGGCAAATTTGCTGCTGTCCTCCGGCTCCTCCCAACAGCTTCAGCAACGTGTCCCCCGAAAAAAAATAGAAATTCAAATAAATTATGCCCCTGGCATTCTACAATTCTATTGCCAAAAAATTCGTCCTTTTTCGTCGCTTTTTCTTGCGTTCGAAATTATGCATTTAGTTTAAAAAACATGTGGAGCATGTTGAACCAACTACGTGAGGGGCATAGACAAAAGAAGGAGAGCCAAGGAAGCCAATGGACCAGAAATATTGACTAGAAGAAAATTTAGGAAAATTTTGTAATTTCCCACCGAGTTTTTTATTTTTTTTGGGAGCTCATAAAAATGTCAAATCGTTTACATACACGTCACTTTTGTGACAACTACTTGACAGACATTAATACACTTAAGCTGCCTGGTAAGAACACGGGCATTATCCTTTAGCCTCGTATCCTTGACGCCCTCTGCCCCTTCGCGTCGTGGAACATCCTTTATCCCCCGAGCAAACGACAAGCGGATGCGATGGCGGCATGCCAACATAAATGACATAATATAATAAACCAACAGCCAAAGCCAGAGTTAGCGAGTGAGCACATAGACTTGTATGTGAAAGTACCAACAAAAATTTGCTTAGACAGCAACTCACATGGCATCCTTCCTTCTCCTTTCTCCCCATATATCCTTGGGATGTAAGTCTCTCTTTCTCTCTGTCTATCGTTTTATATTTTTTATACATTTTTTCGCCCTCTTAACAAATTGCTTTTGTGCAAATTTTGTCACATCCCCGGCACACATCCACGGAAATGCAGATAGGGCCAGATGGTACACATCCTTAGTACCTCCCCTCGTGTCCTGCTTAACTTCATTAGTGCATTTTTGCGATTTTATATCTATATTTTTACTGACTCTGGAGCAGCATTTTTGCAAGGCTTATTTTCCCCTCAGCGAATTGGATTTTTGTTACAATCACTTGACCGGATAATCAGGACATCTAATGGGGGAAATCAGTTTTTGATTCAAATCGAAGACTCTGTCACACAGTGGGTATTGGTAGAGAGAAATTGGTTAACTAAATATAAGAAATCATTGATAAAAGAGGCAACTTTTAGGCTGATTTTGTGGAATTCTAAAGCATACGTAGGGGAGTTTATATTGTTTTATATTAAAATAATTGTTTACAAATTAAACAACTGTTATCAAAAACTAAATACCTGAGAAGAATACAGTGATTTCAATGGTAAAATATTACCAAGACATAGCGCACATATTCCAAAAATGAATATTTAAAGAAAGTTGATATAAACATTAAGTAGAATTCAAAATATAAGTGTTTTTAAGAGTATTTTATTTATAGAAAAGTTAAAAATAACTTTTGGCCCCTTCAGGGTTAAAAAGTATTGATCACCATAATTTAAACAATTAAATAAACCTTTAAATAATTGTTATTACAAAGAAGTAAATATAACCATACTTAAAGTAATAATAATAAATACTTCAGCAATAGTGAGAGTATTTATAGACTCCCCTCAAATATGAAATTTCACACATTTTAACCATATATTTTATGCAAACTGGTTTTTAACGAACTCCCAGAAAACCTCGTCAGCTTGTCAAGTAGTTCATATCCACATCTTTATTTTTTCTCGGACACGGTTCATTAGATTTCCTTAGACCGTGACTTGGCTTCTTCCTGCATCGGGGCCGTCATAAATTCTAAATAAATAGATTTGTCATAAAATTTTCGGTAGCACACACTGTGTGTGTGTGCCCCATGTGCCTTATGGCTGGCAAAAAAAGATGAAAAGCTATTTACATTTTGCTGCAAGGACAACGGAGACAAGACAAGACTGGGATTGGCCACTGCAAAGGCAATTTATCATAAATATTTGTCAAGCGACTGCAGCAAGCTTATTTTACGCTCGGACAAACACCGGGGAAACTATGTATACCATATATTATATGTATATAAGTACAAGAAGTTCAAGACTACGAAATAACTTAGCTTTATTCTGAGAAATCTACGAACTAGATGGGATGGGTTGTGGAGTGGGGTGTGTGGTCACCAGGAACAGGAACAGGAACAGGGATATGGTTGCGATATCTCCTACAAGTACTGCCATATTAGCCAAATGGATATCACCACACCGATGACCAGATCCATGGGCAGACTGAAGGTATTCCTGCGAGCATGCTCGTTCCTCGCAATCTCAATGATCTTGTGGGTGGCCTGGAGCCATTGCTTCACCACCGCCGCCTCGGAGGCCACAAAGGAGAACTCCTCCCGCTTGCCACTGGAAGCACTTGTGGAGCTACTTCCCTCCTGCTGCTTCACCAGCAGATTGATGGTCTTGTTGGCATTGGAGGTGGCCAGCTCCAAGGGTCGCTGCAGCTCCACATGCTCCCAGAGGTAGTGCTGCCGGAAGGACAGCTTTTTCTTACGGACTTCGGTGCAAACCAAACTGCGATCGAAGAGAAAGATCTTGGCCCGATACTTTTTGCGGGTGGGAAAGTGATGGGCATCGAACTCTGTAGATCGACGGAAGTTGCCCAATTGCAGAAGATCCAGCTGGACGGGGGGAAATATAATATATATTATAGTGTTATTTAAAGAATTCAATATGATTTCTCACCTCATTGAGCTCCTCTATATTGGGTATCTCCTCGGCCTGGTTGACCACATCCAGAGCACGTCTCATGCGCGTCTCCAGCTTGCAAACTGCCGTCAGGACAGGCTTGCAGCTAATTCCACTCTTGTAGAATTCCTAAAATATTTTAAAAATTTATTAAATATAATATATATATATAATACATATATAAAAAACCAAAACCTACCGATATAAATTGCTGCAAGAGCAAAGGATATCTGGTCAGTCTTTGGATGGGTTGAACTAGGAAGCTATCGATGCCCAGCTTGTCTTTTATCGAAGTTTGATAGGTCTGAAATATAAATAACTTTAATAAAATAACTATATAGAAGAGGCTTTTATATATATATTCACCTGCAACCACTCCCGATGCTCCTGTCGCAGCTGCATAGAGGATTTCTTGCCCATGGTAAAGCTTACATAGCAATAGAAGCGGTTTTTCTAAGGAAACAAAATATATATTAACTTCTATAAGATGGTAAATATAATAAAAACTCTTTAGATGTATAAGAAATTAATTAAAATCTCAGGCAGACAGAACACAGCTTAAACCAAACAAGGTCTTAACCCATCTTAACCCCGGCCAAACTTGGCTGAAACCTTTGTGTCTGAGCCATGTGTGCTTCCATCTCATACGAGTTTCGTTCACATTTCGCACATCGCTTCAAGATATATATATTTTTGTATATATATGATATATACAGTGTGCTAGACAAACACATGGGTGTACAGGCCTGCTGGCGAAATCATAATTTCTTAAGCATTTAAGTCACGTAACACCGAGTTCGAGTTCAGAGTAAACCCATGGCAGAGTCAGAGCAAAAATTTGAAATTCCTGTCGCTATCTCTTTGTGGGGGGAGCCCAATGCCAATGCAAATGTTTTTCCCCAAAAAAAGGAGACAAAAAACCCAACCGAAACTAGTGCAAACTGCAAAGAAAATTGCTTGTCTAACGATTTCCTTTCCATTTTAATTTCATTAGCAACGCCTGGCTGCGGAATCAGAACTCGAAGTTCTGCATTTAGATGATATGATAATCATCTCTCTGTGGGTTCAGCCATATAATAATATCTCCCCTTCCAGCCCGGGGCATCCATTTCGATGTTTTGCATGTCTAATGCGATTTTGACTGCATTAAACAATTGTCATAGTCGTCTGGCGGCCAAAGGTGACAATCTATTTTTGCATTTTGCGAAATTCTGCTGGGTGGGCGGATATTTTATTAGCATGAAATTCCTATCCGCAATGCATTCCCCTTAATTTAGCAATTTGCTTTCAGTATTTAAGAAATTTCAAATTATATAGCAAAACTATTTATAGTTTACACTCTTTCCTATAAATCAAGCCAAAATGTCAACAAGCTTAATGGGCGGATAATTTTCTTTTATGGGTTTTCATTTAAAAATTATGACCGGCATATAGACAAGCTTATTTATATTTGATGATGAATTGGTTTTCAAAACAAATTTAGGGAAACAAAACCTTAAAGTAAGTTATGTTTAATGAACTATATAAGTTCATAAATTATAATTACTACTTTCATACGTTGATCCATAGCTTTTCAATACAAATCAATTGATTTCAGAAATAAATACTTTAAACAAATTATTGTACATTTACGATATAAGTCTACAAAGCATAAATACCAATTCATCGTGTAAAATATTACCCAAACAAACCTTAACAAATTACTTAAAAAATCACTTAAAAGTGTTCTTATTTTTATTGCCTGCCCAAGCAATTTAAAGCGATCGACGGCATTTGTTTATTTTATAGCAAAACATCAACGATTGTGATCTCTACCAAATCGGAGAAATCCCCAACCCATTGACCATTTGAAATTGAAAACTTTTAATTGATTTTGCGCCTGAGAAATCAAAATAGAATCTCGACACGCTTGTCACTTGCCTGTTCTTGGCCATTTAAAGCCGATTAATAAATGAAGGCGACTCTATTTATGGCCCGTTCTTCTGACACTTTGTGGGATTCGAGATCTCCGGACTGGACACAAGGCCTGACATTAATCAAAACTAGGCCTCTTCAGTCGCAAAACATCAATATTCGTGTGTCAAAACTAATCGATTTGGCAATTTGTGCTTGTGAGAAAAGCCTCCATTAGCAGACGACGAGTTTTAGAGGGGAAATTCATAACATGGTTTTATATATTGCCTGTGTGCTAGCGTCTATTGTTTATACAACATGTTGCCAAAATAAGCGAAACAAAAATTGTGGAAGAAAATATGTATAAACAAATCTTTTTTGAACATTTTTATGATATATATTTAGCCAAATTATCGCTTTAGCTCTGTGCTCCTGTGAGTCAGGAAAGAACGAATTAATGCCAAGTGGTTGCAAGAGAGAAAAGAGGTATAACGTATAAGATATAAAGAAATGAAAACGGAATAAATCAGATCTCTTCTCTGGGGGCTTAGCATGTTTGTCGAACATTAAGATGGCAAATCCTCTGGGCAGCTCAGCAGGAATGTTACCTGCTTTGGAAACACTTTTGCAGTATTGACTGTATAGAAACTTGAACCTTATCTGCTGTGGGGTCACTTCTTGGAACTGCAGAATGACATAAGAGAATTCCACAGACACACAAAACACACTTCTCCTCTGGCAATTTCAATTTAAATTGATCACTTGCGTTTGTCAACACTCAGTCTCAGTCTCAGTCCGACATGGCCACATGGCCGAGCAGAGAAATCATTTCCAAAAAAAACAGAGCACTTTAACGAGATCCCCAACAGTGTAATTCATGTTGATTTGCTGGGGATTTCTATAGCTAAAAAAATATATTCATTTATAATATATAAGAGCCAAATGTGCGACTCTCCCAGCCACAGGGATGACGTCAGCTGCCGGCAAATGAAACCCAAGCCCAGACATAAAAAAAGTCTGTTTGCTTTAACAATTTCCAAACGATTTTCGTAACTGAGTGCCAGCTCTCTGTGCCTGTTGTGTTGTACTTTATAATTATTGTGTTCTGGTGATTATTTCAATCTTATCAGCTGGGTGAAGTCCCCTAAGCCCCCCCATTTGTCATCCGCTACTAAATACAATACCTACTTCTCTCTTTATTTTGTTATTTTTTTGGCGTTTTCATTAACTTAATTTATACGAAGCACGCCGAGGCATATGAATGAAGCTGCTGACACACAATTCTCGGTTGTCCCAAGGTGTGAGCAAAGAAATATTACACTGAATTAAATATAATAAAAATAATTCATTTATTTTCAAGCCCGATTGGAATTCTCAAGCAGTTTTGCATAAACCATATGCCTTCATTTGCATTTCTGCACGACTAACAAAGCAAAAAATATTAATGAAGAAACCAGAAACCGTCAGTTATCAACACAGCAATCGCAGGTGTCAAGTGTGTACAAAAAAATGCAAAATAATAAAACAAAACTCAGCTTTGGGTAAATATTTGAGATTGAATTTAGCTTTGGAGTGCCTACGGAAGAACATTAAAGACTGCTGATTGATGGTATGTCGGAACCTGTCTAACGGCTACTTGGCTAAATGACACGAGTTTCGGCTAATGGACCCAACCCACACACAACCTCCCCCCGTCCCCCCTTCGATTCTTTCTATTTCCACTAAAATTCACTCACCTCAAAGTGTATGGCAAACTCATCGAAGAGACCCTTGAGATCCCGCTGATTGCGCAACATCAACGGCAGAATCTCCTGTTCGTGGAGCTCCAGTATCTCTGCAATATTGCCCAGAAGCAGCTTTTGTTGGCCTCACCACTCAGACCCTCTGGTACATCCTCCACATCCTTCAGCTGGCCATAGTTGAGCAATCCCTTCTTCAAATTGTTCACATAGTTCACCTCCGTCTGGATGAGCTCGTCAATGATGAAGCTGATCTTCTTGGAGGCATAGATCTCGGTTTGATCGCATGGAAACAAATTCTCCAGCGACAGTGTATCCTCATCCTCGTGACTGAATTTCGAGGGAATATTTTACAATTAATTAGGGCTTAATCAATTACCAATAATCTGCTAACAAGACTGAGTGTTCTGTACTTACTACTCATCGCCCAGGGTCTCAAAGCTGAGCGTGTGCGAGGGGAAAGTGTGGAAACCATTGTGTGAATATCGGTGTGTTGGAGATGGATTCGACGCACAGGTGGTGCTGCTGATGGAACTCAATGAGATGCCGCTGCAAACATGAAATGTATAACAGAAACACAAGAACAACAAGCCATGAGAATAATGCAAGGACTAACAAAAGACAAACATAAAGTAACATTTTGATACGGGTATAAGTAATATTAAATATTTAATATCAAGGGAAAAAGGGAACCCAACTTATGTCTCAGATATCGCCTTACCATCACCACTTCCTTTATAAAACTAAACAGCACTTGATATCTTTTAATAACTTCCTTCCGCTGCTAGCAAAAAAAAAACGCTTATTTATTTTATCTGTCTTGCAAATTAACATGTTTATAATGCATGTCACCATTTCCCCTGAAAAAGCCTTTACAAATAATTCCACCATTACGTATACGTAATCTTATCACGTATACGCACTGTGGGCAGTTAATCAAAACCATGCCAAAGTTCGAGCATGCCATTAATAGACAATTTTCACGATGATTAAAACAATGAACAGCTGTCAGATGGAGTACAAGGTAAAGTACAAAAAAAACCAAAGGGTTTTAAGCATTATTACCTATCGTTATCCAGCAAACTGGCTTGCTTCTCCAGCAGCTTGCCATTGGAGCTCGTTGGTGACTTTGGCGGCGTCGCGGTTATCGGTGAGCCGGATGACTCCAGTATCGGACATTCCTTGCGGGCGCCTTGTCAACCACATCGATGGACTTGGCATTATTATCGGCTTTATCGTTGAGTATATGCAAATATACGTTGAGCACTTGCACCAGAAATATCACCAGAAATGTCAGCGCCACGGAAATCACATCGAACCAATTTAACGTGACCAAAGTCAACTCCATTATGGCTGATTTCTATTTTCACAGCTTTTGCTATATAGATTTTTCTTTTGGGCACTTAACATAACCACCGACGGATTCGACGCATTTTTATTATATACAGAGATATGGCCAAAACACACACGATTCCGTTACCGATCCGCTGCGAATCAAACTCGAAACTCAACTGAGCGAAATTAACGCTCAGCATTTGCAAAGCGTGAAAAGCTTTAAAAGCTTTCGGGACGATCACTTCGCTCTTTCTTGTGGTTTCTCTTTTATTTTATTTAAATTTAAAAACAAAACAATAAAGCTTAGCTGACCACGCGTCGAACACTTTGTTTGTAAACAGCGAAAAACGATCTGAAACTGTGAAAATCATTTCAATGTCTGGCATTGGAAATAGAATTCCACGGAGACTGTAACACTTTTGCTTTCATCGTGGCTTTATGACCGGGGCAATAATAATAGCACTTAATCGTTTATGATTCCATATTTGCATATCAATTATGGGGGCTTTTGGCTAATGACCGGACAATAACTGTAATTATAGCCACTACCAATAATCGTGGACATTGATTTTGCCTTGAACTTTGTTAGCTTTTTGTGTTTATTTGTGGAATGCAAACTGGTTAAGTCACACTCTAAATGGAGTTATAAATCAAAAACTAAATAGTTTTTAGACAGTTTGTAGGAATTAGATGTTAGAGATGGCAGAAAATGTATACCCAATACCTTAATTAAGAAATCGATAGTTTTTATCGTTATTTAAATTAGTTTTTTCATGGAAAGAATGTATCAATATTTTAACTTTTTAATTATCGATTAATACCTTGATTTTTGAAAAAGACACATATGTAAACTGACTCGTGATTAAAATTTAAAAAAAATTCTTGAATTACTTAAATTCTTTTAAAAACGTACCTTTTCTAAGATTTCCGACATTATAGATTTTATTATATCGATATTCTCAGATTTTGTACTATGTAAAGCTATAACGTAAACTTGCCCCTATGATACATCCCCTAAACAAAATGTATTTACGCTTTATATAACATTTGGCAAAGCAATTAGTAATTGTTTTGAGTATTTAGCGTTGATGATCTCATAGAGATCACCGGAAAACCGACAATTGTCATTTGCATTTTGCGAATTTCACATGTTAAATTGCTCACATTTTATTGGCTTTATTATTTATACAATTGATTTTTTTAGACAATCAGGCAGAGGATTGTATAATTGAAATCAAAAGCATACCCTGATGAGGCAACAAAGAACAGTGGGAATTATATAAATAAACATCGAGCACTTCTGGGCGATATTGATGATCAGCAAGCCAGAAGGCAAACAATAATAATTGCATATATTTATTTATATGCGCCATTTGTTTATTTTTATACATTTTCTTAGTGATGTCACAGGCGGCTGTTGCAAGTGCCAACCAGAAACAAGTTGTTTGCTGTCTTGAGTATTCCGTGTCGTATCATTAACAGAATTAAGAGTGATGACGACGGCACGGAGGAGGCACACAACAGCTGCCTCGCGTCTGGCATTCCATGACAACGCCGATGGCGTGCGACCTTTCCATGATAGATTCATTTGTTTTTGACGTCTGTGAAGCGTGTGATTTTTTGCTGGCAAAAAGTGGAAGGAAGTGCTAGATATTTCTAAAATTAATATACGAAAATCAAATCATATTTTCATAATGAAAAGCTGTGGGAATTGTGCTAATAATTCATTTTTTAAGCTAGTATCATTCTTTATTATACCGATAAGATTTATATCTTATTTATAAGATATTTACTTTTTCCCCATCTAGTGAATAGACATGATTTTTTAAAGCATTTACCATTTTATTTATAACATCTCCTCTACAATTTGTTTGTATTTTTCTTAATAATTTAATATTTTATTTAATAGTTGATAGTTGATATATACACAAAACAAAATAACTTAACAATGAATTACAGTTTCAGTGACAACAATAATACATGAATATTTACATTTAACTTTAACTAAACTTAGAATACAAAGAATATTTGGTGATTTAGCATTCAAATCGAAAGGAATTTGCTGCAATTCGCGGCAAGCGTTGAGCAGAAATTTGAAACACATTTCGAATATTTGAATAGACGACTCGGCCATCTTGGCCCTGAGGCATGGGATTGGGATTCCCCCATTTTTATTATCACTGCGGATTCCCCATCATTTGGCAAAGATCCTTTCTCGCTAGAGGGATTTCCTTGGGATCTACGAGGCCGCATACCAAGTGGTACGATTACTGATGGTATCCTCATCCGGTTTTGGCATTATCCAGATGTTACCAATGCCACTGTCTGAGCTGAAGCGATTCGAGTCGCGATATAGCGAAAAACTGGGCGCCTTCCGATGCAGATGATCATTCTCCCGGGAGTAGCGCTCCTGGAGCTTTGCCCGCTCTTCGTTGGCATAATTGTTGATCATATCCCTGATGAGGTCCAGCCAAAGGGCAATCTGTGTTGGATCCGCAGTGAATTCGCACTCCTGTTGCTTCCTACGCTCATAGTACAGCGTAAAGGACTTTGTCTTGGCGGAAATACCAATATGCTCGCAGGGATAACGTCCATGGAAGAGCAGGCTCTTGCCCTTGATCTCCGTATAGATGATGCATTTGTCGAAAATAAAGACCTTGGCTCGATAGCTGCGCTTCAGTTTGTGATCAAGCACCTGAAACTCGTTCACCTTGCGGAATTTCCCCTGGTAGAAGACATTGAACTGGAAGAGTGAAGGAAAAGTTAGTTGGAAAATTGCCAGAGGATATGAAAGGTGACTCTCCATACCTCATGACAATCCACTATATCATTAATGTTCTCCGATTCATTGGTGGTGGTCAGCAGGGAACGCAGCCGCTTCTCCAGCCGGCAACATGATTCAATCAGTGGCTTCATTACTATATCACGGTTTTTGAAAAATGTCTAAATAGGTATTTATAATATTTTATTAGTTTTTTGTATCACTTTTCCTTTCAAAACGTTCTTACATTGATAAACTGCGTGAGGAGCAAAGGATATCGTGCCATTCGCTGAATGGGTTGGACCAAGAAGCTGTTGATGCCCAACTTGTCATCGCGTTCCAGGCGAATGCTCTGAAATAGGGATAATTAAGGAACTTGACATCTGTATACTGAATTTAAAATTGATTTAAATACTTACAGTAAAGTAATTCTTGTAGAGATCGCACAGTTTAAGAGACTTTTGCTTGTTCATGGTAAAGATCACATAGCCATAGAAGCAGTTTTGCTAAGGAGTAAAAATAAGTAACTAAGTAAGAAAGATATTCAATAATCACTCACATCTAGGAACTGTAGGAACTCATCAAACAATCGCTTCAGATCCCTTCGATTTCGCTGCAACATGGGCAGGAACTCATCCCGATGGAACTCGGCTATTTGCTCGATATTACCAAACAAATCGTATTTCTTGCCACGCAGACCCAGTGGCAGATCCTTTCGCTGGAAGATGTTGCCATAGTTTTCAAGGCCCGTATACAGATTATTCACATAGGCCTCCTCCGTCTTAATCAGCTCCTCCAGAATAGGATGAACGCACTTGTCGCTCTTGTCCCGCAACTCGATCTCCACCTCTTCCTCTCTGAAAGGTAGATTAAAGATTTCAATTAAGTTTAAGCTTCCTAAAGTAAGTCTGATTCAGATACTCACTCATCTTTTGGCTGGTACATCGAATGAAACTTGCCCACAACATGCTCGTTTGTGGTGCCAATGATTTCAGTCTTTCGTCTCGGCGTAGAACGATAGTTTCTAGGGAGGGAAAAGGGGATTTACATTAAATTAAATACTCCTTATCTCAGACTTAATGAAAATAACAAGACCCCCAGACAGGAACAACAATGATAACTACTTAGATAAACCCCCGATGGAGCTCTTCTGATGAGTCAGTTTCTACATAATGATAAGAACCGTAGTGATCAACCTTTAAGCGTCGGAAAACAGGCCTAGATACTATCATGTTTGCATGGTTAATGAGTCAGAGCGACGACTCTGGATGCGAAGGCCTCATCCCGGAGCCTTGTCGTCCGACCTAGTGGATTTTGCTTCTTGCGTGAAGATAGCGAAGACCTCTTCATATAGCTTAGCAGCTTGACTTATGACTTGCAGAATTAAGTCCATCTTTAGGATAATGCCCCAGGCAATAATAATCATTAGAGCCATGGCCAAGGCGGTCACCACGAAGCCCGTGAGCTGAAAGAATACTTTGCAAGGTTGGCCTGGGAAACCAAAATGGGAAGCTGGATATTGCTACAGACCCCAGCGGTGCAGCTTTCGTGGTAATGCAATCGGAACGACTCCACGGATTCATGCAAGTTGAATGAGACTTCGGATGGTTCCGGTGTCTCGGAAGGTTCTCCTGCCTTCAGAACCTCCTCCGTGTCGAAATCGATCTGCCTGACCTGAACATCATGAGGATAATCCCCTTTATCATCATCTTTGGGGACATCAAGCTACTATGTCTGGAGTAACGAGGCGTGGCGAATATGATTTTGAACGCTGTGCTTTGGTGGGGGTAGCGTCTTCACTACTGGCGGGTGAAAGGGAGCGCTGCGATTGTCGCCACATTTCCAGACTATCCACACTGGAGAACTCCGGCTGGGAGACATCCTCGCGAGATCGTTTAGCACGAGGCACTGGCGGTATTGGCTTTTTCTTCTTCCTCCGCGGCGGCAAAGGATCATCCCTGGTGCTGGTCCCTGCGGATACACCTTCTGCCGTAGGTTGCTCCTCCGTGGTGGCTCCACCTCCACCCACACACGCTCCTCCCGCTCCACCAGTTCCTCATGGGAGAAACGGCGCGGTAGAGAAGCTCTGCGGCTTTGACGCCGTGCCGAAGGCTTCTCCTTCTTCTCTTCCTGGTCTTTCTCGGAGCCATCCATAGTCGAGGATGGAACTGGAACTGCTTCAAGGCAAAACCTGATTTCCAGAGACACATTTTACGATTTTAGTCATATTTAGTTTCCCGACAGCTTTGACTCCTCAATGCTTGCTCTGTCTTCGATTTTTTATTTGTTTTTTTCGTTTTTTTTAGGATTTTCCACTCACTCACAAACCTGTTGGCGAAAAGTGCTCCAAAACTCAATTAACACTTTGCCAATTAAGTTTCGACACTGCGAGTGTAGTTTGTTTTATGGCCAGACTCGCATAATTTGATTTTGACACCGAAAAGGAATCTCAGCGACCGCGAAATCTAGTTACTCCAGATTGGACAACGAAGGCTGCCTCTAATCTATTGTAAATGATATAGTGTAAATATATTTTACAACCCTTGCAATGTAAAGCCTGCTATTTAAGTGCGAAAAGTAGAAAAACCTAAATAAACAAGATTTATCCATAAAAGTCGCTCATTATAAAGAAATAGGAATGTTTTTCAGATATATATCTTATATAGGAAGACTTTTAATATACAATTTTAAGGGAATAATATAATTTAATTTCATAATTTACTTCCTTTTCTGGATCACATCCCTTGCTCTTTATTTTTAGATATTTGTATTTTAATTTAAAATATGAAATGAAAAATTGATACTTCGTGAATACGAAGTTGATATACCATTGCAGTTTGAAAATTAATTATGAATTAAGCTTAAAATAATAGCATTCTTTAAATCCATATATTTGTATGATAATTTTGTAGGCAAATCAAAATTAAAAAATAAACTATAACTATGCCAAAAGAGCATCAATTTAATTCGGAAAGCTTTCGTATGCTAGTTTTTATTAGGTTAATAAATCTGCATACTCAATTCAAGATTTTAAAAAATTTAAAATTTTGCCAATTTTAAACAATTTTAATGATGTAACCCCTTATGAAATTTTGAAAAAAATTTAAAGTTGTATTTTCACCGGACATTGCTAGATCGATTCAGCTGCTGAATATATATGATTTATGGGTTCGGAAATGACTCCTTCACTACTTTTGATGCTTCTGACTAAATTATAATCATTACATTAATTAAGTGTTTTTTGATGTTCATTTAGTATTCATTTAGTCCTCATTTTATCCCATCTTAATGCATACACTTCTCCTATAAATAGTTTTATCTCTAAATAAACTTGGCTGATCACTTTTCATGGCGCACCTTAATTAAGGTACATGTTTCCACGAAACTCCCATTATATCAGATTAAAAATCGAAACCACCGCTGCACCTGAACTTTTTGTAAGTAAACTCAAGTTCTCGTATCCCGGCCACTCCGATAAGGCTTATCAGTAATAAGAAATAAAGTAACAGACACACACACACTCACCTTGGAAAATCGTTGCGCATTTTCAGCGGCAAAGTGAGCTCTCCCTTGGCCTGATCTGCACTTATGGAACGGTGGACCTGCTGCTGCTGCTGCTTGGACTCCTCGACCTCCTCACTTGGCGGCAGCACCTCCGAGGTGGTGCCATCCAGGACATATTCTCCACCCTCGACAGCATGTGAATCCGTTTCAAAGTCAGAGATCTGGTCCACTTCGTCCTCGGAACGAACCTCATCGATGCTGGTGGCGGGAATGCTGGGTATGGAGCTGCTGCGGCTGCTGCTCAAACCAAGGCGGCGGATGCCACGTGGCGGAGTGGGTGGCGGTGTGCCTGTGTAATCCTCGAAGGAGGGATGACGCCGGTTCTCCAGCAATTTGAGACTGTTCCGCTCCTGCTTCAGGAAACAAATGTTGGTCTTGAAGTTCTCGAAACGATGCACCTTCTGCCGGACATCCAGCCAGGCGGGATCGGGTGTTTGTGGTGACATTGGTGGCTCCTCCGTTGCGGTTGTGGCATCCACCCCACCGCCGTTCTCCGTCGCCGCGCGCATCTTGAGCAAAGAGCGGCGATTGAAGGCGCTCTCCGTGTCGGAATTCACGGAGTACGAAATGTGTAGCGAGCTGGAACTGCTGCTGCTGGCCGAGACACTATCTCTCCGTGCGACGTCGATGGACTCCGGTTGGCTACTAACCAGCGTGCTGCTATGACGCTCCTGCTCCGACGCCTGCTGGCTGATCCGGCGGCGCGAGTTGCGTTTGTTGAAGTTGCGGTTGCTGAGATTGCGCTCCCGGCGGAAGGGCAGCGGACTGAGATCTTCGTCGGCCATTTTGGGTCTGTCTTCGACGACGATAACAGTTATCGTTACACCACTCCGGGGGTCTCTCTCTCTCTCTCTCTTAGGGGTTCTCCTGCTCCGTGGGGCTCTCCGGGTGTACTCACTTGCTCATTATCGCACTGAGCGAAATTCAGTTCTCAGTTCTCCCACGAATTAAATATTTATGGCCAGCTATTTACTTTTGGTTTTTACTTTACTTTACCTTTTTTTTTGTTATTTTGTCAAGCAAGTACGGTATATAAAATGTTTATCTTATTTTTATTTATTTTGTTTTTTTAGCTTATTTTTTTGTGGGGTTTTTGTGTGTAGAAACACGTATTCGTATCTCTCTGTGTGTTGGTTCTTATTTCCACTTGCCTTTTGATACTTAATTCGTCGCTTTATTGCGCTGCAAAAACAGAACAAAAATTTGTAATTAAAGCGATTTATCGTCAAATGAATTATAAACAAAGTATTAAAGTCGATTTTGAGAAACTAATTAGACATGTTGCGGAGGAAGCTGTAGACAGAATGCGAATGCAAATTGTGGGAAGGAAATTAAATCATTAACCAACTAGGAAGTCCAAAAATTGACCTTGTTTTATAGTTAATCTTAGAGTTAATTGAGTAAATGATTGGTTAAAATAATAAAGAACAAAGGTGGGGAGTATATATGAAATTTTATGTTTGAGAAAATTGTCTTAATATTTATAATAACTGAGCTTAAATTAATAATTAACTGAAACTTTATCTCTACTCTCTCACTAATTTATTTTCCTATTACGTACTTTTTATTATTATAAAATAATTATACTTTAATTTATCTAATAATCCCCTCCACTCTATGCAGATTCTTAAATATTTGCTTAGAAAATAACCAAAAGACAGCAGAAGATATTATTTTTATGACAAATGACGTCAAGTTGTCGTGGCGAGCTTTATATAGGTTTTATATGCATAGTCACACATTCTGTGTATAGTTAATTATGTGTGACGTTGCTTTTGTTGTTTATACTGTGTTTTATTTAAGCAAAAAACAAGTACAAAGCGCTCGCAAGCCGCAAATGAGGCACGACAAAAAAATATATAAAAACAAATGAAGAGTGAACGGCTTGGCGGCTTGCTAGCTCGCTCGATAGGAGGAAGTACGAAGTTCCCTTGAACAAAAGAAAGTGGCAAAAGTCGTTGAAATGCAACATTTCAATTCCGGAATTGCCTCCAGGCGGCATTTGAATGTGTCTTTGATGCCAAAAAGATCTTCAAATCAACAGGTTATATCTTCGTTTTGTTAATTAGCTTCAGGTGAACTACAGGAACTACAATCCCTGACTTTATATTTTGGAGTTTAGATTGAAATGTAAACAAGAAAGAAGGTAACTCGGCACGCCGAAGTTAATACCTGCAGATAGAATTCTATGAATAGGAATCATACAATAAATTATATATATTTGTTCAAAACAATGAAGTAATACTGCTTTCATTTTATTCACCTATACATATTATATTTGCAATTTTACATTCATGATTTGCATTTTCTCACATCAACGATCGTTGTATGGCACCTATAAGATACAGTCGTCCGATTTTCCGATCATTCCTATGGCAGCTATAGATATAGTCGTCCGATCCGGCCCGTTCCGACATATACGAGTGAAGTATATAGAAGGCTAATACAAAGTTTCATTCAGATAGCTTCAAAACTGAGAGACTAGTTGCGTAGAAACGGACAGACGACAGACGACAGAAGGACAGACGGAAGACGACATGGCTAGATCGACTCGGCTGTTGATCCTGATCAAGAATATATACTTTATATAGTCGGAGGTGCTCCTTCACTGCGTTGCAAACTTCTGACTGAAATATAATACCTGCAAGGTATAAAATCGAAGGGAATCATAAAGGAAATCCCCTTTTTTGTATAGGTTTAATGGTTCTACATTTGAACAGTTTTATGATCATTAAAAGGCGTCTAATAATCCTTAGTCATTGTGGTATATTTATGACCCAGTTAGATAAGTTCAGGTAAATCCTAATGGATGCACTCCCTAACCCCTCCCATTGAGCATAATCTTATCGAGGGTTCCATATTTCTGTACGAGTTATACAACTTTATTGGAACAATCGAACTCACAAACTAGAAGAGAAAAATAGTAACCTGTGTTATCTTTAATGATTCATTGAGGGCTGCTTTTATTTTTAACATTTATACTAACAAGGCCTAGGTCACAAGTACCTCCAAGTTCAAGAAAAGATAAAACATTTATGTAGTGTGTTTATAGAACTCCAAGTAAAGGGGGGAATTTTGCAAACGTTATTTATAGACAGACTGCCAACTGGTTATGGCCGCCTAATTGGCCATTTAGCGTCGTCACATGCAGGTTTCATTGTGTCTTAACCGAAAATGTTATATTGATTTGGTGCTAATCGGGGGAATATATATATATAAAAAGCTTCGTCTCAAAGGGTACTTTCAGTGGTGGATTGCCTTCTTTTTTGTAGCTAGTTATCTTTGTGTCGTTCCCCTTGTTTATCGCACTCTCATATTTGAATGGGTTTTAAAGCCACTTCGTGGAATTTCCGGAGCACACTAATAAAGTCCCAGTAATCGGGAATCGGGGAGTTTTTTTCTGTCCTATCTAAATGATTTTTATCAAATCGATTTGATAGAGAATAAAGCCAAATAGATAGATTGGGGAGCCTTGGAGATATATTTTGTATACATATTTTAATAATACCCTTGCCGTAGCAGCTAACAAAACTCCGGGTTCTATATGTGCGTGTAAATCAGTCTGGCTGTGTTACTATTTAGTCAGCCGATTATAGAGATACAAAATGGGCTTAATAAAGCAAACGGAATAATGGCTAAAAAGTAGGAAAAAACGCTCGTTACTGACATGGCTTTGCACGAGAGAATGATACTAAAGTCTACGCCCTGAGTATCTTATAGTTTAGAAAACAGATTTGAGTTAAAAATGGAGTGTTTCTTGGAAGTATTAGTAATGATTGGTTTATTTATTTACTTTATTATTAATTAACTTGGAGTAGTATATGGAGAAACAGATTTGAACTAACAGATTTCTTTCTAAGATTAAATTTTTCCTTGCTTATTTAAACTTAAGTTTACTTGAAAATTCGAAGTAGCATTTGAATCAAAATTAAGCAAATAAACTGTCACAATTTCTTTGTTTATTTGTTTAATTATATAATAAATTTCGTGAAAAATGTGAAATAATAAAATACCACCTTTTCTTTGTTTATTCAACTTTAAGTTTACATGATTAACTCCAAGACAAAATTAAGCTTTAAAACTGTCACCATTTCCTTGTTTATTTATCAAATTATAATTTGGGCTTTAATAAAAATTTTATAAAAGATTTTAACTGAAAAATAAATGTCACTTTTTCTTTGTTTATTTGTTTAATTATAATTTGTATTTGATTTCTGGTTTTTCGCACTGTTGATAATTTGTGGGCACGTGTTAATGAGATAGTTTTGTAAGCGCGTGCAGACCAAGATACTCGTTTTAGCTTTTAGATTCGCTTCACTGCCTGGCCTTCCAGATAAATTCACTTGCCAATTTTGGCACTTACATTGTTGCCAGCTTTTTTTATCGTTATTATATTCGTTGGCTTAAGGTCGCAACTTGCGAGTTCAAGCGTAGCCCACGCGGCGTATACGCAATGTCGACTGTAGACCGTTATTGGCAACGATCGGCGAGAGAAGAAGAGCGACAGAAGGGGGAGCGAGAGAGAACGCGTAGCGGTACGTTCGCTCACCTGCACGTTTGAATTCGCAATGAATGGCGGCACTCGCAGTGCAGCAGGTGCGAGAATTATCAACTCTCGCGATCTCACGGCTCTCTCACTTTGCACATATTTACTTTTCCCTCTCTCTCTTCTCTCTGTGCGCCTCTCTCTAGCTGCCGCCAGGTTTTAACCGTTTGCCCGGCGTATTAGTTATAATTTTTTTATGTGCTCGCCTTCATTTTTTTAATATTTAGATTACTCTCGCGAGCTTAGCGGTTCCGTTCTGTGTCGCATTTTCCACAGCAAATTATTGTCATAATTCCGTCAGCCACTCCCCTACGCCTCCGTCGCCGCCTCCTAAGCCGACGCGTCGGCTGGCGTGTTTCTTTTGAGTTTCTTTATTTGCGGAGTGCAACTGCAGGCGGCATAAATTCTTAATTAGTTGGAAATACACTGGCGAAAATTGTATTTTTTGTATTCATAAAATTCGGATCTTTGCTTAATATTTTAATATACATAGTTCTTAAATTTAACCAGTTTTTCTTAAATAAATTGTTCAATTCTGCTGAGTTTCAGATATATTTCACAAATCTTTTATCTAAATTTATTTTTATTTAATTTTCTTTCAGTGCATCTTACTATATATTCCCAAGAAAAGAAGCAAAAGGAAAAGAAATGCGGAAAAATTCCCCAACAACCGAGCAATCTGGCAGACTAAGAATCAAAAACGAAACGAATATAAATATTTCCCTGACTAACTGGGCAGACTTCAGACTTTCCCGATCCAAGGAGACTATACCAATTGTTGAATTTCCTTTTGATTTGTCATTTTACGAGTATTCCTTACCTGTTTCTGTTTCCATTTTGCATTCGTCAGCGTATTTGAAATATGTCTACGTTATCGGCGTTGATTGCCATATCTTATCAAATCGGGTCTGTCCACAATCGGAAGAACTGAGTAAACACGCCGCCGCATTAAAGGCCACAAATCGGCCATTTGTCGCAGTTTTTGGCTTGATTCTCTGAGAATTGCCTGGTCTTCTTGGGAGGGGGGGTTCTTCATCTTTCTTTCTTGCAACTTTCTGCTTATCTTTGCGCATTTTCGAACGTTCTTCGCCTGACCAATAAAACACGAAAATAAACCTCAAATCTGCGGCTAAAAATTCCGCCCAATTGTGGGAGTCCCAAGCTGATGAAATCGATTGAGTTTTATGGCATTTATTTTAGGCGGAACCCAATCGGAATCTACTTTATAAAACGTGTGGGAATCACATTGTTTATGAAGTTCCAGAGTTGAAATATTAATAAATTACTTTTATAAAATATTTAATTTATTTTGGAAAAATGTTTAGTGATTAGCATTATTAGCATATATTCTAATTCTTATATTTTTATTTACTTTTTAACCGTTTTAAATATTTTAAATAATAATAAAATAACGGTCACCTAGCAGAATTCACCTCTTAGCCAAGTTTCTTACCTAACAGGAAGTGTTTTTGGATAACTTCGGCAGGGGTCGCCACTGTAAGATGTGTGTGGAACATAAAAAGTATATCATTTACTGTTTAATAAATGTTTATTATTTATAAACAGCTTGGAGGGTATTATAACTTAAGTCAGAAGCTTGTAACGCTGTGAAGGAGTTTTTTTCAACTCTATAAGCCATATATATTCTTGATCAGCATCACCAGCTCTGTCACATGTCGTAACACGGTTTCCGTTTGTTCTTGTGAGGTCAGCTCCATCTGTGGCAGGATCTTCGTACTCTCAAAGCTCAATTTTTTCCAGGGAACGAGTTAAGCTTAGAAAGCCCCCCTGAATACCCAATCCAGTTCAGAATATTTACGTATTGGACTAAAGGAGAAAAGAAATGTTGGTTTAGGAAGCGACTATGATCGTTATTCAACGAACCCCACTTGGTAAAGAGGACACTAGTTGTGTTCTTCTTTCAGGATCCTGGTTTTGCTGGTCCATCTAAAGGGGCTTTAATAGTTTATCCCACAAAAGAACAGTTCTTTCCAAAAGGGTTAGACGATGGGCTTACGATATCCAAAATACTTAATACACACCTTAGCATTTCACATGGTTTATTAAATTGTGTTTTATTGTTGGTATTTCCATTTGTTTTTTTGTTCACATTTTCAAATACATTTATATGAATAAATATATCATTTATATTACTATTTTTTGTGGTTTCATTATCTTCCGTTTCTGCAATGACACCATAACCATTCGCATTTTCATTTAACATGAGTATATGTGGCTATTTTAAATGGGAATCCATTTTTCTGTTCACTTCGATGTGAAATAATATGGGGGAAAGGAAATTGCAAATAGTGAATGTTATTTTTTAGCTAAAGTAATAATTCTGCCATTGAGCTAGTTTTAATTATTTATTTTGTTGTTGCTTCTGTTCTGCTTGTTCGTGTGTGAGGACGATCGTAATAATAGTTAGCTATTTTCCGTTGAGTAAGCGTTTAATTTAAATAATAATATAAAACGTAATTGTAAATTATATAGATACATATTTAACATTTTGTACTTCTTGTTGTTGAGTGTTTTGTTTCCGTTTCCGTTTCGGTTTCCGTTCATCCATTTTCTGCAATTTATATCAAGTTATCTCCATAGCTGTCGGTTTCCTTTTCTTGGTTGGTTTCCACTTTTTCGACTGAATTTTGCACATTTACTAACAATTGCCCGCATTTAGTTAATTTTTACAATAATAATGTTGCTTTTAAATGTGTTTCTTTTTTTGTTTTTGCACAACCTTTGCTTATTTTTTAATAAATATGCATTTTGTTTTAGTTTTTTTTCTCGTGTGAAGTTTTTTCATGTGTTTGTTTTCATTTTTTCTCACTGACTTAGTACAACAATAATTATATAGTAAGAAATAAATTAATGGTTTTTTATTATTTTATATATATATAGCTGCATATATGAGTTTGTTGATTTTTGTTTTACTTTGTTTTTTTTTTTGAAAACACTTAAATTGTTTGTTTTTTTTTATCTAGCCCCCTTGCTCAAAATGCCTCGACTTTTTGCCATTTTATAAACGACCAAAAGGGATCAGCATTTTAGTCAGAATTACAAATTGTTTCGCTTTCTGGATTTATTTGGATTTACAAAAGAAATTCGTGGCGAGCAGTGCTTCGGTATTTGCTTTGGTTCGGCGACTCCTTTCTCTAATCCTAAGCCGGGTTTTCTTTTTTATGGTTGGGGAAAAGGTAACCAAGGTATTCGAAATTAAACGGGGGCGGAAGTTATTTGGCAAAAGAAATATTTTGAATCTTCATGAGCCCTAAGAAGAGACAAAAACATCCTTTTTAAAAGGCAAACCATATCGATTATAATTCTTTTGAAATTAAAGCTCGTATTAAGTAACAATTGCTGAGCGCGATGAACCACAAAGGTTGAGCACTGCCGCCGCGTCTTTTGCCGGAGTAGGAGTCGAAGACAATTTGTAATTCTTTCTCAAGGATCTCAGATTTGTCCCTCCTTCTTTCTTAGTGTGTTTGTGTGTGTTTTTTTTATTCATTTTGCGCATCAGGTTGCCGTTTGTGGGTTTGAACTTTACGTGTGAGTTTTTTGAGCGCGTGACATTGACATTAACAAATTGGAATCGCGCAGAGAAAATAGCATTTGAATATATATGTATTTTAGTTCTCGTTTCGCCGCCTTTGCCTCGGCCTTGTTTTAATACTGTTCTCCAATTTCGAATTGTAAACAAGCAAATGTAAGTAGCAAAAAACCCTAGAAACAACTTAAACTAAAATAAACAATATTTGATCTCTAAAACAGGTTGGTTACAGTTACGAATAAAAACAAAAATAGCCCATTTATACAAAACTATTATTAAACGTAAATTACAATTTATAAAGTAAAATATTAAAAATAGATACGTAATCCTTCCCTTCTGCTTCTTTGTATATACAATAAATTATGGCAATTCAAATGGAGTTTTACCGAAATGATACTGAAAGCGAACCAAGCTCCATTTTCACGAGTTAATTTCAAAGCTAAACTGTCTGTTTGTTCAACATTCAAGCATATGTAGAAGTATTTTAGCTCCCAAGCTTATTTTTCAGTTGAATTTGTCTTAGTTTACTTTAGTTTCATAGCTGAAGCTTATAATCTGAATGATTTCATCTAAGAATTGGCTTGCTTTTTAACATTTCAGCTAAAATTTCCCAATTTGTATTTTTTCTTTTCGTTACAAGGGAATGAAGGCTTTGCCTACTTTCTACATATGCCTGAACGTCTCATCTTTGTACTTCTGATCTTTCACCTTAGATCCCCTGAGCTGCATTTTCCTGTTGTCATAATATTGAAAGCATTTCTCCTCTACAAGTCTGAAGATCTGACTCTACAGACACCTCAGCTAACTGCTCTACAACAAAGACACTCCGTTTCTCAGCTCAAACTGGATTTGAAAGTGAAAAGTTCAACTTTTTGAAGTCATCTCGTGAAAATGTGGCTTGAAGCAGTCACTCTGGGTTAAAGCCTAGAAGAGCAAGCGTCCGTAATCGTTCTGGGCCGCCTTCCTGCCGGTTGGCTGCATTAAATACGGGGGCGGCATCTCTTGCTGCGGGGCGCCCAAGCTGTGGGAAAGTTCCCAATTGTAAAAGTGCCGCTGCGATTGGGATTGAGATTGCTGCGACTGCTTCTGCTTGGCACCCCACAATGGACGCTTGCTTTGCTGCTCGTGTTGTTGGTATTGGAATTCGCTTCTGGGCCTGGGGGGGTCATCATCGTGCTGTCCTTGCAAGCGGGCCTCCAAATGTCAGACATGCGGCTTGTGCTGGCCGCCGCAGAGACCGCAACGGATGCCCGCCCAGTGGCAGGCGCGGAGCGGCGGATAGCACCACAAGCAGGGTACAAACAGCGAGAGGAGGGCCAGGCCCAGCCAGCGCTTGCTGCAACCGGCCTCGCTGACGCTGCAATCGCACGGATGTTGGGCCGTCTCGCCCTCGGCATCGCTCATGCAGTGGTAAATCATACAGCGGGCGCAGCCCATTCCGGAAATGCACTCGTAGCCGCTGCGGAAGGGATCCGGGGCATATTCGCAGGCCCCGCGACTGTTGAATTGCTCACTGTACAGCTCGTGGCAGTACCGGCAGCGCAGGCGCGTTCCTTCTTCAGAATGTCGGATACGTTCGGCTTGTTGAGAGGCTTTTCTGCCCCACCACATCCTCCGGCACCGATCGACACCGTTTGACCCGCTGCCATGGCCTGGGCCGCCTCCAGAGCGTTCCGTTTCTTCAACGCACTGATCGACTCCCGTCGAGCGTTGAGCACCTGCGCCCCCACCGGCTGGTCCACCACCGGATAGTTGTAATCATGATGGACCGCCGTCAGCGTCACGTACGAATAGTTCTCGCTGGCCGCAATCTGTCCAGCGGCAGCCGCCGCAGGCGATGGAGCAGCCGATGATGGCGGTGCGTCTGGCGGCGATGTGGTGGCCGATGTTTTGTCCGTGGATATGTAGTGAATGGGCGGCGGTGGCAGCTTCTCCGAGTCAGAGTTGTTGCTATGCCGGTCGCTGACGCTTTCTGCGATAAGGCATAACGAGGTTAGCGATTGCCCCAAAATGGTAATACCCCTGATTTATTTACTTACTGTGACTTTTCTCGCTGCCCTCGGGGCTAGAATGGATCTTTTGTAAACTCTCGCTCTCCACAGGTAAGTCCAGGGTCATGAAAACATCATCTTCGCCAACCGAATCATATTTGGTAAGCGGAGGGCATATTATCGTTGGATTCGATTTCGCCAGTCCTGAATAATGCAAAGAGAAATGGTCTTAAGTGCACAGGAAATAGTATCAAATTGTTATCAAAGATGAGAACACCCATACGCAAAAGCAGAGAGTAGTTAAAGTTTTATAGAGAGAAAGATATATGTAGTTTATAGAGGTGTAAGCTAGGAAATCTCGAAAATTAACTTCTTAAAAAGCCGTAGTGACCTGTAGACTATATATACTAATTCACAAAACAACACATGTCCTGAACGCTTTGAAGTCCTTGCGTATTATTACATACATTATTTTCCTTCAAAGCAGACAGCACACTTAGACTAAAATTAAAGTACGGCCTCAGCTTAAACACTTACCAATTCGATTGAAATGATAGATTTAAATGTATTGTTGATTTGTTGTTTGATTTTTTGTAAACAAATTTGCAATAATCCAATGTGAGTGGTGTTTGGTGGTTATTATTTTGACAAGTTTTTGGTATTGTGGCAAAAGTAGAGCATAAGACATACGAAAAAGTTATATATATTAGTAAACGAAAGCAAATGCCAAGGCAGAGACAGATACAGATACAGATAAAGATTTAGAGGCAGAGGCAGAAACGGAGGCAAAGGCTTGGAAGAAAGAAAGACAAGTAGTTGGCGTTGGTTAGGAGGCGGAGAGAGGCAACTAAGGAGGGCTGACAGACAGAAAGCAGAGATGGAGAGAGAGAAAGACAGGATGTGCAAGCCGTTCGTTCGTTCATGCAACTAGCAGACAGAGGTGGAGCCGAGGGACAAGGTTTTACCATCGATCAGCTCGTTGTAGGCGCGCAGGACGCCCTTGTCAAAAGCCCGCGCATCGGCGGCCGTTTGAAATGTGAGTCCGTTCCGCTGCTTCCCTGCGCGCCAATGGTGAAATGTGGGCATTACTTTGTAATACTTCAGATCACGATTGATCACACAGCTCAAGATTACCTAAAAACGAATCGTTAAATTAATATCTTCTGTAAATACTTATATTTATTCCTCTACTCACGCTCTGATCCGATATCCTTTGCCCGTAGATGATGTAGTCATGACCCGATGCCAATGGGGATAGCCTAGCCCGCTTCCTAATGGAAACGTTGGCCAGGCCACCCCCGGCCAGCGGTAGCCAGCCCTCGGTGCTCTCGTCTCTGGTCATTACCTGTGCGCGTACTGTAACTAAGAAGTCGCTGCAAGATGACAAACGAGAACGGGAAATGCAATTAGTTTGAGTTGTTAAATAACTTAAAATTAACTCGATAATTATTCACATTTTAGTGCAAAAATAATGACATATCTAATAGGAACCAATGACACCTGCTTATCCTTCGTTTGAGGCTCAGTTTGGTGTATGAAACCGTGGCCATTGTAAAACTAACGATGGTCTTCAACGAATGTGACCCATCAAAGTTCCTGAGCTCCATCTATATCTTGGAAAGGATGACCTACAAGTGCCACTAATTTGGCTAATTCAATTTTTCGGCCAGTCAAGGAAGCCATAGCAAGGATGCTAGGCGTTACCACCTGCCGGCTGCATGAAGGATATTTGAATCATCAGGACGAGAGTGAAAAACCAATGACAACTAAAAATACCAGCAAGTCCTTCGGTTTAAAAATACAAGAGCTCAGAGCGAGCACTGAGCGAAAAGTTGGGCTCTTATTAATATTTAAAACTATAACAAAGAATACATAATATTTTGTTATTAAAAAATCCATATTTTTGGTACAAGGCCCCTAAATATACAGTGTTGATGTAGATATAGATTTTTAAAAACAAAAAAATATAATCATTTACACTGAATTCGGTTGGCCAAAAATGGGGTACATTCAGAAACCCTTTAAAGGGTAATTTCTGGACCTTTTCTATAAATACTAAAGCTCGAACTTGTTATAATTATTTTGAGCTCCTCAATGGTCTCCCCAAAACTGTTTTCCCAGTGCCTGAATGTGATTTAAGGGTGGCGAATATGCAAAATGATATTCACATCCGGCTATGGGGAATTCATTCTTGAAAAAGGACCGCAACTCCAGTTGACGGCGGGTAGCTCCTGTCTCCTTATGAATGAGGGTCACATCAAGTGGAGTTGCTGGCGACCTGCGCACAACATTTGATTAAATTGACTTTGGCGGCGCTTGAATTGTGGCAACGGAGTTCCCGGGCAAATATGCCGGAGTTACACTTACAGGTTACTCAATGAAAAAAGCTGCAAATAAAGGGAGTTGAGACTCCACTGTGCCGCCTGCCAGTGGGTCTGTATGGGAGGTTTATGTCTGTGAGAGGATTGCCAGTGTGTGTGTTTGATATATACACATGCTTGTCCTAGTTTCGCTGGGGTTTTACAGAATGAATATTTTGTCGCGACGTCACACAGAGGCTCTTCGAACCCAGAGAACAAGAACAAGAACAAGAACGAGAACGGAACGGACTGCCAGGACATGTCAAGGACTGGTGGGGCTTTCGTATAGTTTTCATTCAGCTACGTCAGCTAGTCAAGGATATTCCGAGACAGTGTGAATGAAAGGAAACTAACGGGATTGCCCAGGGTCAGAGCATAGCGCATAACGGGTTTTCATTGACAAAGAGCGGCGCTAACGGTTCGCTCCGCTTTAGGGTTCCACCCATTCGCAAAGCTGGAACAGGGTGTTGTCGAAATAAAAAGCAAATATACTACCAACTCCGCCAAACATAAAAAAAGGACATACCCATACAGTGGCACGCACACACACGTATACAAATATAAAAGAGCCTGCCCCAAGCCGAAACTAAAAGTCTATCAATATTTGGAAGCTCTCACCCACAGCGCACAGCGCATGCGTGGGAAAGAGACAGTCGAAGAGAGAGAGACCAGCTCCAGTTATCTTTTTCCATGGACTTGTTTGCCTGCGACTGTGACTGTGTGTGAGTAACGGGAGTTGTCGTCTATTAATGATCTCTGGCTAAATAACTTAACCAACTTACTTGACCATTTCTAGCTTTCTAACGAATTTCCATTCATGTTAGACCCGAGAGAGTATCACTTGGGTAGTTGTTGGTATCACCAAAGCATTGTTGCCAACCGAATGGCTCGAATACTCCCACACACATACACACACACACGAAGGCAGGCACGCAAGCTCAACCAGCACACCCACACAGCGGCAAGGCTGCAGCAGAAGGCAGAAAAAGATGAATGAACAACGCATGTGTGAGTGTGGGCTTTGGCCTGCGTTTGTATGTCGCTGTCGCTGTCGGTGTCGATGTTGGTGTCAGTGTCGGTGTTTGTGCACACCCACTCGAAAAGACGGAGAGGCGACAACAATAAAAAGTTCCAATACACAGCGCGCCCAGTTAAATAGTCGAATATGTAGTTTTGATAGACAACCAGCTAACCAACTATCTTCTGTACATACATATATGTACATAAGCGTCTGTACATATTTGCATATCTGCCATGTCGCGTGGTCACGATGTCCCGCTTACCGTTACATTATTCACATGCCAATCAATTTACAATGCAAAATTGAAATCGAATGTTATTTCCGCTGCAACTACAAAATAAAAAGAGGTATACAACTCAAAAGGAGTGGCTTTTCAGGAGAGAATTGTAGAGAGTCATAATATATTTTTTATGCAGTTTATCCGATATAAAATTTAATTTTTAATAAACTTGTTAATTCTGGTAGGTTAAAAATTAAAACATTTCAAACCATTGCCGTTGTATTTTGCAATTGAATTTTAGGATCGTATCCAAAATCGATCATACTAAGCTTATGCTATTTGTATAACAAAGCCAAAAAAGCATAAATTTTATTTTGAAAAGCATTCCTATATTCGTTTTTATTTTGGTTATAACCCTGCATACTGAATTAAAATTTTTAATATTTGAACATTTACCCCTTATAAAATATTGTAAACTTTTTTCTTATTCTTCTTCACTCGACTGTTGATTCTAATCAAGAATATATATGGTTTATAGGGTCGGAAATGACCCCTTTACAGCGTTACAAGCTTCCTGCAAGGGTATAAAAAGGATTCTAAGATTTCAAGCTTCCTAAAAGTAGGCAGTGAATTATTTTTAGTTAGATATCCCCAAACTTTTTTGAATAAATTCCACAGTTTGTACCATATTCTTTTAAAATTCTAGATTTCTAAAAGAATAAAGAAACAATCCAAATTCAAATCGAAATGGTATTTAGAAAGCTTGAGAAACGCAGAAACCTTGAGAAACCAAGGGAAAATTAAAAATGCGAAGTGATACAAATATTTTTTATTATGAAAGTGAAAATTTTGTTCTGTTAATTAACCGAATAGAAGTAATCTACCTAAAATTGCCATTAAATTTTTAGAGTAAACTATATTCTTATACTATAGAAACGTTTAAAGGTACTAATAACTCTTACACTTTGTAAAGAAACCCTGTCTCCAGATATTTTCAGAACACCCAAGATATTTGTCCTTAGATCTCAGACTATATGCTTAAGAACTTATCGTTTTTATGATTTATATCGTCTGAAGCTGGCCAAGTCAAATACAATATGTAGCTGTCATCCATAGGAGCACAAACTATGCTAGTTGTGCGTGTGGGCCTGTCGCATATCAATTCATTATGGAAACGGAATAAGGCTAAAGACATGAATGAAACTACGGGAACCTTGGATGCGATGTGGCATTTTTCTTTCTCTGTTCTCGTTGCGCAGGCTTTTTGCTTTAGCTTTTGCTGTAAATACTAAGGGGAAAACGTATCGCGGGGCGAAGGAACAAACGGACAAACACAAAAATGACATCATTTTCGAATAGAATTTAAAGAGCGCCAGTGGCGCGAGGCAATAATACGTGAGTAGTCGTAACAACGGCAATTATTGGACCCAGAGGCGAACGGAAAAAGAAACCGCAACGCAACGCACATGGGGGCGTTCCATTTCATTCATTAAAAGTGTCGACAGACAATGTGGAGACTTCAATTCGCCAGACGAATGACGTATGACTCACGCTTCCTTCATTCATTCACCGCCCCAACGGTTCGGTTCGGTTTAGTTATTCATTGAGGGGGAAAAGCAGCAGAAGCCTGTCGTCTCAATTAATAAGCGGACCATAAGTTGAGGAATTGTTTTCGACCAATCAGAAGCCAATTGGACCAATTAAAAGAGGCACGCCAATCGATCGCATAAAGCTGGCAGCCCTGGAAGCATCCTGCTCGACAGCCTTAAGGGCGTCTAGCAACATTACTCTATGAACAAGAAAGGAAGCTAACAAGAAGCATAAGTTCGTATACCCTTGCAGAAAGCCACAGGATGGATAATGGTGATCGTATCTACAATCGATCAAAACTAAGCCAAAAATCTAATAATTAAAAATTTTTATATTTTATAGGATTAACAAACTCAGCTGTCGTGCTGATCAAGAATATGTATAGTTTATAGGGTCGGAAATGACGTCTTCCAAATATTATTATTAATTAATTAGAAGAATAATGAGAAAGATATGGGAGTATTAATTGATTACACACGTATCTTGTAATAAAATACTTCTAGAGTTTATCCAACTGTATTTTAAATGATCATAGAAATCTGAATATTTGATCTAAATATATATTCAAAATTAAGTAAATGTTTCTTTAAATTCCGGTTCATAGATTCCTATTAATATTTAAAGCTACATTAATTTTGATTTATCGAGCCAAGACAGGCTCAAAGTAGTTTTGAGTTCGACTCACCTTTCATGTCCTTCTGTCATGGTTCGTTATCAGAAAGATTCTAATATAGCAGCGTGTGTCGGTGTTGTTGTTGTTGGTGGCGAAATACACCATGATTAAAGCATAAAGACATTCAGAGCTGCTGCTGCACAAACGGTTACCGAAACAAAAAGAACCAAGGACGAAGGACTAGAACCAAAAAACAGCAGCAGGGTTTTAAATAATAATGGCTTTAAGTCGTCGCTTTCCCTCGATGATTGTAGATTATTTTTTGTTGTTCTTATTATTGCTGGTGTTGTTGTTCTTGTTGTTATCCAATTTGATGTATCTATTGGGGATCCTCTTTTATTTTATCTTTTTGGCACAATCTTGGGGATTTGCAATAGTTTGTGGAGGGGGTGGGGTTTATTCATTCACTGTAATAGAGGGAACGGGGACATATAATGCATTAATTTCGTTCCTTTTTAGTTTTCCTTTTCGATTTCTCGCTGCAAAATCGAGAATCACTTTTACTTTTTTCTCAAATACACAAATACACAAACGGGGGCCACTTATGTGGGCGTGTAGACAAACACAGTGGAAAACTTCGCGCACACACGCACACTCGCACACGCAATTTTTCCAAGCAACAAAAGATGTAACAGATGAAAATTGAGCGGAGAGCCCCAATGGCTGACTCGAATTGGGCAGTTTCTGCAACTAAATCACCTCGCGAACTGGTTAATTGAATTTTTTAATGTTTTCTGGCCTTCCGTTCAACGCGAACCCTGCTTTTTTATTAACATAAAATTTGCAAAAGCGAAAATTCATTCATACATTTTCCACCAAGGCTAGGAACGGAACGCGCTCTCTGTCTCTCCTTCGCTCGCTCGCTCTCTTCAGCTTGCGCAGAAAGTTTTTTGGGCGATTTCTCCATGTGTGTATATGCTGCTGCTTGCTGTTGCTGCTGCCTTTACATATTTCATATTTACATACGCATATACATACATGCAGGCGAAAAGACTGCAACGGAGCTACATATTTGCACAGATTTTCCAATTTTCCGGTTCGTAATTTGCCAGCCGCAGCTTCACTTGTTCAATTGTTATTCTTTCGCTCTCGCTTCGTTTTAATTTATTTAATTACGCGCACGCATACACATACACGCACATACACACAAAAGGGGCAGACGCAACAAAAAAAGGCGAAATTCACGTTCATTTTGTATCCCCCACGAACGCCCACACACGCAACGTATTTACTTGTGCATTTACTTGTGCAACTCGCGGCGCCGTCCTTATTTTTGTTTAAATTTTTTTAATTTTCCAGCCACAAGAACCATGACTAGTGCTAGGTGCGCAAACATCGATGAAACTTTTTCGAATTTTCTAAATCATCGATGTTTTTTCGACCATCGATGGTTTTCGAATTTTCTTAACCATCGATGTTTCTCGAAACCGTTTATCGATGTCGGTATTAGTAAGGAAGTAGCAATAACCATTGGTCACACAACGTTGAAATGGAACGAAATTGGAACATGGGGGGATCTTCAATTTTTAATTTATTTTGTAAGACACTCATTCGGAAAAAAATTTAAATTTTTAAATGCTAAAAAATGAATTAACTATTGTTTTTTATTGGGTTTGATAGTATTGACATTTGGATATATTAAAAATCATGTTTTCACGGATTTCTTAATCAACCAGCTAATCAAACGCGTGCAGCAATACCCGATATGCCAAAACGAAGGACATTTATTGTAGTCTTACGCTACCAATTTTCAATTTCTTCGAACCGTCAGTTTCTAACTTCGGAGCGGCTCCATACAAAATAGAGCATCAAAAATTGTAAGGCATATAACTTCGATTTAAAACCGCGGGCATATATGCACGGTATATAGGCTTACTATGGAAGATTAACGAATATTTGGTGAAAAGGTATATTGTTTTTAACCGTCAGATTTCGAGAAAATCTAATAACAGTGGGTGGTGTATTTGGGCTGGTAGCTAAGGCGCGAACTATGAATATGGAATCATATGGCAACCTGCAGAGAACCACTCGCTGAACCAGACCATGGAACCATAATAAGAAAAATACTAAATAATGCCCCCCCCCCCTAACAAGCTAAATCGATAGCCCGACAGTATATATTCCTATTGACTATTTTAACAATTGAATAAAATATGTATGCCCCCTGAATGGAATTAATATTCCAAGCATTTTGGTAGATGTTTCATCAAAATCGGTTCAGCCGTTCAAGAGAAAACATTACTTTTTCATTTATTTCCATAAACGAAACGTGGATCAAAATGTTCAGAATTGAGATCCCGTTAATGGTACGACCTTCATTTTGCATAAGTTTTATAATTAAGTTAAAATCAAATTTACTTAATTTAAGGCAGGCAGTGCTGCCAGATACATTTATTCTTTGACGGTACATTTATGGAAATAAATGAAAAAGTGATGTTTTCTCTTGAACGGCTGAACCGATTTTGATGAAACATCTACCAAAGTGCTTGGAATGTTAAATCCATTCAGGGGGCATGCTTATTGTATTCAATTGTTAAAATAGTCAATAGGAATATATTCTGGCGGGCTATCGATTTAGCTTGTCAGGGAGGGGCATTATCATTCCGCCGTGGTATATACTGAAATAATCGAAAATAACGAAATATGTAATTTTCCATGTTTTAGATGAATATGCCACCAAATTGTTTTGTTGTTTTCTTTAATGTCTTATTCAACAATTTGCTATTGTTATTTAATTTAGTATTTTTCTTATTATGGTTCCATGGTCTGGTTCAGCGAGTGGTTCTCTGCAGGTTGCCATATGGTTCCATATTCATAGTTCGCGCCTTAGCTACCAGTCCAAATATACCACCCACTGTTATTCGATTTTCTCGAAATCTGACGGTTAAAAACAATTAACTTTTCTCCAAATATATATTAAAACTTGGAAGCGGAAAACTACAATAAATGTCATTCGTTTTGGCATATCGGGTATTGCCGCACGCGTTCGATTAGCGAGATATTAAGGAATCCGTGAAAACACAATTTTTACATGGTTATTTTTAATATATCTAAATTTCAAATACTTAAACCCAGTAAAAACAATAGTAAATTAATATGTTCCCATGTTCCTTACTCCCACCGTTCCATTTCGACACTAACATCTCGACGCTTGAAAATTAACAGAATTTTGCAGTTGAATTGAAAAAAGCGTGACCATGCACCGATGTTTTTCCGAATTTTCTAAATCATCGATGCTTTTTTCGACCATCGATGTTTTTCGAATTTTGAATCATCGATGTTTTTCGAACTCACTAGGTCATCGATGTTTTTCGAATTTTCCTTTCCCTGTTTTTGCGAGCGTTTGATGACGGAAAATTGCAAGTAGACCGCTGAAAATGGCCAAAAAGAAAAGCGAGGAGCACTCCGGTGCCGATGCGAACGACAGCGACTACCAGGAGGAGCCTAATTTCGAGGATCCGCCCAACTTTGTGGACAATATTAGCGATGAAGGTGAGAATCTCCCCGACTGCCAGCGCAGCACACGCGGAAATCTAACCTCAATTTGGGAGCGGTGTGCGAAAGTTTAGCGTATATATTAATTGATTATATGTGATGCACTTGCAGATCTGCTCGGTGACATGCTGGCCCAGCGCCCCTCGGAGGCGGATGGCGTGGAGAGCGTCGTGGTGGTGGACAACATCCCAAAGGTGGAGCCGGTTCGGCTGGAGAAGCTGAAGTCGGTGATCAACAAACTCTTCTCGCACTGCGGCGATATCGTCAATGTCGTCTATCCGGTGGACGAGGAGGGCAAGACCAAGGGCTACGCCTTCATGGAGTACAAACACGCTGGACAGGCCGAGGAGGCCGTAAAGAAGCTGAACAACCATCGTTTGGACAAGAACCATACGTTTTCCGTCAACCTATTTACCGACTTCCAGAAGTAAGTTTATAGTTTCGCACTTGAAACCCAAGCAAAAGCTAAAACTGACGTGTTTGCAGGTACGAAAACATCCCGGAGAAGTGGGAGCCCCCAACGGTGCAGACCTTCAAGGTGCAGAGCGACTTGTACAACTTCATCAACGACCCGGATGCCTACGACCAATACTGTGTGGCTGCTGAGACCTCGCCAAACTGCGTGCAGGTAGGCTTCTGGCAGAATGTCCTGCCCGAGCCCACTGAGCTGGAGACGCGCGAACGCTTCACCGACACCTTTGTCAAGTGGTCCCCGCTGGGCACCTATGTTGTTACCTTCCACAAGCCGGGCGTGGCAATTTGGGGCGGCAGCAGCTTCCAGAAGATCCAGAAGTTTCCCCATCCCGGCACCCAGTTTGTGGAGTTCTCTCCTTGTGAGAACTACCTTGTAACGTACGGCCCAACGCCCACCGGTCAGAAGATCATCATCTGGGACATCCGTACCGGCGCTGAGAAGCGTTCGTTTGTGGCCGACGGTATGTCAGTGCTGTCCATGTTCCGCTGGTCGCACGACGACAAGTTTGTGGCGCGCATGGGCGAGAACTCGATCCACATTTACGAGACGCCATCGTTCTACCTGCTCGACCTAAAGTCAATCAAGATCCCCGGCATTCGCGGCTTCTCGTGGTCGCCCACGGACAATGTGATTGCCTATTGGGTGGAGGAGCAGAACCAGATTCCCGCCCGCGTTACCCTGATGGAGATCCCGAAGAAGCGCGAGACACGCAACAAGAACCTCTTTCACGTGGCCGACTGTAAGCTGCACTGGCAGAAGTCCGGTGATTATCTGTGCGTCAAAGTGGATCGCTACTCCAAGCTGAAGAAGGACAAGAAGGATCTGGATGTCAAGTTCCTGGGTATGTTCTACAACTTTGAGATCTTCCACATGCGCGAGAAGGAGATCCCTGTAGATTCGGTGGAGATTCGTGAGCTGATTCTGGCCTTCGCCTGGGAGCCCATTGGCAACAAGTTCTCCATCATTCACGGCGAGCCCAACTCCTCCAACGTGAGCTTCTACGAGGTGAATAAGGGTGTGAAGCCCAGTTTGGTGAAGCGGCTGGAGAAGAAGTCATGCACGCATCTGTTCTGGTCGCCACGCGGCCAGTTCATCGTGATGGCCAACCTCACCATGGGCACCTTCGAGTTTGTGGACTCCACCAATGATTACATTATCAGCGCCTCGCCGGATCACTTCCGCGCATCAGAGGTCGAGTGGGATCCCACTGGACGCTATGTTGTGACCGGAGTCTCATCGTGGAAGGTAAAGGAGGACACTGGCTTCAACATGTACACGTTCCAGGGTCGCATCATCAAGCGCACTATCCTCAAGAACTTTGTGCAGTTCTTGTGGCGCCCGCGTCCTCCTACCCTGCTCAGCGAGGAGAAGCAGAAGGATATCAAGAAGAACTTGAAGAAGTACTACGCCGTCTTCGAGCAGAAGGATCGTCTGCGCCTCACCCGGGCCTCCAAGGAGCTCCTCGAGAAGCGCGCCCAGCTGCGCGAGACCTTCATGGAGTACCGCACCAAGCGCATCGCCGAGTGGCAGGATCAGAAGAGTCGTCGCGTCATGCTGCGTGGGCGTAAGTATATTCTGGCAAAGGATTTGATATCATTTGTTCTTCAAATGCAATCTTTACCCTTTCTCAACAGATGTAGATACCGACAACTTGGAAACTGAGGAAGTGGATGAAGAGATTGTTGAATTTTTAGTCAAGGAAGAAATCACCCTGCTGGAGTAGACGACCCCCGACTTCACCACACGCCCGCTGTCGTCCCCTGCCCCTTGTCGTACCCTTTGGAGCGATCCTGTCGCCTCCTACGTTTCGTGTCCGGGACGCGTCTACGCCCTGGTTAATGCCAGGGCCCTCTACACCCATTATCCAAGCCAGTAGAGCGCGTCTGCTTGCATATTCATCTCAAAGCGGATCCTTTGCCTATACATACAATACATAATATAAATTTTTTAATATAAAGTAGCAGCCCCCACATAAAAAAATACTTTAAAAGTGAGAGAAAACCACTTGCGAACAATTAACCAATATTGAATGTCTTTAATCGAACAGCGCCCTCCTACCAGTATGGCTAAAACTAGTTTTGCAATGTATTTGTATGTAAACAGCAAAAAGAAAACGAAAACAAAATATTCCATTGCTTTTTATGTTATTTGTTTGATTTCGATTAGCGATAGGTGCATTATCGTTGTGTGTATATCGATAATCAGTTGCTGTTAGCAACGTCTTTAAAGCCAAAGCAAGCGGAGTTTTGTTAACTCCTGCATTAATTTATACGCTTAAAATACTCAATAATGTATTCAGGATCACCCAGAGAAAGTGCCAGAAAGAAGCGCAAAACGCAGACCACCAGGAGCTATCGGAGGAGGGAGAAGGAAGTGCAAGCCTTGCTCAGGGAAACTGAACAGAAGGTCGAGGACCAGAAAATTGATTACGAGGTGCGTAGTTTGCAGTTTTTCCATGACAACGAGAACGAAAGACAGGAGGAAGGAGACTCACCGGTGCAGGAGACGGTCGGCCTGGAAAGCGATGAGGATTCTGGCGGGGATTTGGCCACTGAATCTTCGGAGTCGCCCACTCAAACGTTTATTCAAATCGATCTGCAGGATCCGCCGCTGGTTTGGAATCAGCTATTCAAACAGCGACACTATTACGACGAGAGCTTGCTCTACCGACCGACCAATACCCTGCACTTTCAGCTACAACAGGGTGATGTACGGCTGAAGGACTGCCATATTCGGATGTTGAATCGCTACCAGGAGCAGGCCAAGAGCTCTTCCAGTAAGCTGAGCTCCAAGTTGATAGCCCAGCTGAGTAAAGTGAATCCCCCCAAGTTCCTACTGGACACCACCTTGTACCGCAGCGTTTGTCACAGGGAGTTCATAAGCGTATTCTTTGAGCCCATGACTCCAGATCAGTTCCAAGGATTGCCCAACAGGCGCTGCTTGAAATTGACCCTGAAACAACTCAGATTCAGCTTGCATCCTCAATTGATGGAGGAGCACCGTTTGGCCCAGCAGCTGGAGGATCTCTTCGACGTGTACACCTATCAGAGGAGGCACAGGGTCTGCCGGAAACTAAAAGAGGAACTGGAAATTGCCCGGCAGGTGGCCATAAAGATGCTCACCTCCGCTGGCAAGGATCAAACCTCCGAGGTAAAGCGTCAATTCAAACTAACACAGCAGCTGCGGCAACGCTACTACTCGGAGTCGACGGCCGAACGTAATCTCCTCAAGCGCCTGTTGAAGGAGTGGGCAAAGCTGAAGGAACTCCGACGTCAGCAGCAGTTTCAGTGCACTCGTTTCCAACTGGGACTCCGCGTAGTCCATCCACCTGACATGCAAGCCTCCTATACCGCCTGGAAGGAGAGCTTCGAAACGGACCTGGCAGAGGTGTATCGGGAACAATTGGAGGTCTTCTACACCCGACAGCGTCTGTGGACAGAGCACGTAGCCAAGAGCAGGAAGTCCGCATCCCAAGCGAAGCCCCCTCGCAAGCCCCTGTTCGAACGGATCATGGCAAATTTGCGGAAAGAGTACGATAAAGCCTTTAAGGATCCCGTGGAGCCATTTGTAGAGATCATGCGACTACATGCGGATGAGGCAGCTGTCAGGACCTATATTCCAGGCAGCGGACAGTTCCCAAGGCCCGTAATTACTTTCTCAAGATCTTCCTTGATGGTGAGTTCGTCGGCCAGACCAGAAGCTATCGTCTGGAGCCAGATTTACAGATCACAATTAATGAGAGTATGGGAGTGTTGCTGGAAAGGACGCTGCCGGAAAACCTGAATATTTGGGTGGGTATTTTGAACTTTCTTGGACTTTATGGTTATATCATATTTGGGTTTTATAGAATTCTATAAAGTATACTATATAGGAGCGGTGCATACAATCCGGCTCTTTGGAGCTTTGTATTTAGTAATTTATGAAAACAATTTCTAAAATTATTAAAAAAGGAATATATTATAGTGATTTTCTAATGTATAATTACGTTTGTATATAATTTATGTACATATGTTCCTGTAGCTCTATGAAAAATCCACGATGACGCCCAGGAGTCGCCGCTTGGCTCAGATGAGCACGCCCTTGTTGATGAAGTCCAAGGATGCTGCAGTCCAAGAGAAGCTAAGTTTTCGAACTTCATCCTCAGCTTCCCCACAACTGGCGGGTGATGTTTATGTGTTCTATGATTACCGCTCCACTGAAGGACTGGGAGGTGAACACAACCTCGATGATATTCAAAGACTTCCGGTCGCATTGCGACAAAACTGATTCCTCCAAAGCTTCGCGCCTTGCCAGAAGCTTCCAAGGAGTTGATTGCTCCCCGACCACCTTACGGAAGGATTAAACAGAGCATGCTGCCACCTCTGATCTTCCTAGAGCAGCAACTTCAATTCTGTGACATTGACACTATACTGGAGGACAGGCGATTGCACTTGCTCCGCTCGCGCCATCAACAGCGGAATCTGCACACCAAGCAGCTGCGCTTTGTCCCCGCCCTTGAGCATGAGATCACCGAGGAGGAGCCGCTGCCAGATAGCCATGGCCTGGGCCAATTGCTGGATCAAGGAACCTACTGGAATCCCATTGATTTGCACAAGCATCGCGGCCGGAAGTTTCTTAAGCTACTCTACGAGGTGATCAGCAGTCAGAGTGCCCGAAGGGCAAAGACTCTACAGACACCCCTGCCCCTGCTTCTTCTGGCCGAGGATTCGGATCATACCTCCGCCACCGGATGGACGGCTCTTTGGCGTGCCATCGGCTCCGTTTTCCAACAGCAACCGGAGTCCCTGACCCGAGAGCCATCGGTTTGGTCTGGTCCCCAGCCCATGCATGATCTCTACCAGCACTTTAACGTTACGCTGCATGTGGTAAGAGCCACTGGGGTGCCTGTGCGAAGTCGCCACATCCTGAACATCAATGAGCGACGCACAAGCGCCGGTGGAGATATGAGCACCAGTCTATTTGTGACGCAAAGTGAGTACCCTAACCTTTAACCTGCCAGAGATTTCCAATTGTTTGGCATCCTCCGCTAGCTCTCATGTACTCCAACGTCCGACCCTTTGTGACCCTAAGCTATGGTCAGCGTTTGTGCCGGAGTCGCACCGCCGAGGGCAGCAATCCCACCTGGAACGAGCAACTGCAGTTGCAGATCCACAGCCAGTTCGGGGATCTGCGCGAGGATCTCAAGATCACCTTGTTCGATGAACTAATCGAGCAGCAGTACAGCGACGAGGCATCCGATCTGTATCAGCGCGTCCAGTGCAATTGGTTGGGTGAGTTCCGGGTGCCCATCAACACTCTCCTGATCAGTCGAAAGGTGAGCGAATTAACCTGTATTATCCTATAAATTAACTCTTTGTTTAACCAGTTTGAGGGCTGTATTGAGTTGTCCATGCCCAAGGTTTTAGTTGGCTACAAGCGCCCGCTGATCGACTCCGTGACCAACATGTCCACTGATCAGTATCCGAGTTTAAGGAGGCCGTACATCTTTGGTTCTACTTGGCCATCGAGCCAAGTAGAGGAGACCTAGTCCCGCTTCATTCGAGTGCTCTGGCCTGTGCCGAGATGCCGGAACTGCAGCATTATCTCGGGGAGAGGAAGCTGGAGCTCTTGCAACTTCTGCCGCAGCCGCAACGCTATGTGGAACCATTGGTGTGCACAGCCCAGGGAAAGAGGGTGTGCCTCACGAGGTTACTGGACCCCATTCCCCTGCCACCAGCGGTGGCCAGTGGAGAGAATCCCGTGGAGATTTCTTGCCGCTTCGTATCGCTACTAAGTCAGCTGCGCACCTACGATCCCTGTCTGGGTTTTCGCGGCGTTTGGCTAGACAATCAGACACTGCTTGACAGCACCTGGTGCTCGGTGAAGGATCTGGGTGTCCTGCTCTGCAACTATCTACTAGCCTTGGGTCTGGAATGCTGGCTCATCCTGGGCGTTGCCTGTCCGCATGGCGAGTGCTCCTTTGTCCTCTTCCGCCAGCCAGAGACAGCCGAACTTTTCCTAGTGTCCCCAGCATCGGGAAAGCGATATCAACTGCAGGATGTCTATTGTCCGCTGAGACGCGTCTTCTGCTTAGTGGGAAAACACAATGTAAATTGTAGAAATTCTTAAGTTTGGATTTATAATTGACTGCTTTTATTAACTTTAGATATTCTTTAATATTCAAACGGAAACCCGCGTCAGCATGACAAACTTTAACCTGCAGGACGGCTCCTACTGGTTCCCACTCTTCGGCCGACGCGTTCCTGCCCCTCAGAGTTCCGTCCAGAAGCTGGACTATATGTACAAGCGGAGCAACGATCTCAGCCAGCTGCAAAAGCATATCGAACGGAAGATCATGAAGAAATTAGTGCGTGGCGCACCACTAGGAAGACTGTCTGGAATCGGTGGGTCTTGTCCCTAAAATTAAAGATTCTAAATTTTACTCTTGTCTTGTAACACCTTCAATACTTTTAGTGCCTTTCAGCCGCGTCTACAGGAAATTCTCAGCGACATGGAGAGCCTGGCCACCTTTTCCCGAGGTCGTTACGATGAGCCCGTTTACAGCGAGCAGCTGGAACGAGAGTATCCCAATTACAGGGTAAGTTCTTCCTTGGTCTATATAATAAAGAAATATAATCAACAATCAAGGAGATTATAGTTCTAGACATTCCCCAAATGTGTCTTCAATCACAGGTTATTTCGTTATCTTTATTTCTAGAGAAAAATACACATTTTAAAATATAATTTTAAATGATAATGGGTTCAAACCAATCGGCAAAAGGTCTGATACAAAATGAATGGGTTTTACTAAACATTGGTGAAATGATTATCAGCGTAATACGTTATATGACCATTGCTTATCTTTGTGACCGAATTGTTTTATTATTTTATGAGAATTTTTTGCAAACCCTAAAGTCGTGCCTTCTAGTTAGCTTGTAACTCAAAAATGTTAAGTATTACTTAAGTTGTATACATTTTTCCATTGACAACTTTCCACAATAATCAGTGACTCGTTACTACTCTACGCAATCCCTGCTTCCGCTCATCAATCACTATCTTCCAATCGATCACTAACCACACTCCTGCTTTTCTATCACACAGCTATACGGCTTCACCCTTAACTTTGCCTATACCAATTTGGCGGCGATATCGGAACGCATACGGACGACCTGCATCCATTATAACAATGACGCCTCGGTTGAGTTCTGCGTGGCGGTACACCTGCATGCTCACGTCAACGATGTAATCTCGGTGTGGCTGTTTTTGATGTCCATGGTGCCACTACTATAGATATCCAATAAATTATAGAGAATCTTAGTTGTAAACATTTGAGGAAATTACAGAAGATCTTTTATAATTTAAGCTTTTATTTAAACTATAACTAACTAACTATTTTAGGGCTCTGGACAAAATCATACCAAATCACTCCAGTTAGGGGCTTTTCTTTAGCGATTTCATCGTGATTCATACAAATTTGATTTATATCTGTATTATAATATATATAATACAAATGTATAATAAGCACAGAGATTTTAAAAGTGAATAATATATATAAAACTTTATAAATCCTAGATAATCAAATTCTTTTCCATAACTTTACATGTAATATAAAAATTTACCGGGCTTACTAGCATCCTTTTGAAAATGTAAGTTATAAATAACAATCAATAGGTTTTATAAATGGTGTTACATATAAGATTACGAGAAAATCAAGTGCTATCACTCGTCTCCTAATCGTAGCTGTGTTCCCTTGACCAGTTCAAGCACGTGGGGGGGGAGGACAGGTAAAAGTACAAACGCCACCAGGTGGTGGTGTGATTCAGAGCACGCGAACCCGAATTGAAATGCCAGAGGCTATCCCCCCTGCCAAGCGGGAATAGGAGTCGCTTTATCAGTTTACAAGTGCAGGCCCAAACGAACGGACTGATTTTTATCGCCTTCAAAAACCGGCGGCAAAAAAATGAAGAAGAAAACACTGTTGCCGCAAATATAATCTATTTAATTTGGTTTACAGCCCGAAAAATGTGTGTATATGTACTTATAGAAAAAGAGCGTGTAGTGTACGGTTCGTATTTATGATAAGCGATGACGGGTACTGGGTACGGAGGCACCAGGTGCCTCACCTCACCAGGAACGACAACGGCAACGGGGTTAGTTCGCCGCGCACCCTGAAACCGACTATACGTCGCCTGATACCGCTCCCATTCCCATCATCATTCGATAGTTGAGCATGTTCGAGAAACTAGCCGAGGATTATGCCAAATGCAAACGCTATGTGAAATGGCTGTATTTGCTCTACGAGCTGAACACACAGATCGCCATCTGTGAGCCCTGGGAGAAGGTTTTTCTGAGTGAGTACTTGTCCTCCTAAACATCCCGCACAAAACCCACACAATTTGTGATTGTCTTTGCTCATCGATATCTTATCTATGCCGGTCGTTCGTTCGGTCAGTTTTGTGGTCTTAGTCATGGCGCAGCGTGAACACCCGACCCGCGCTTCCAATGGATTCCAGGAATATCTCTGCAAAAAAGTAACAACCTTCCCTTTTTCTCCTTTCACAGACATCCTGCTCGGCAGCTGCATGTCCCTCTTCCTGTACGCTTCCTTCGCATATGTGCCCGGCTATTGTTTAAGCGTCTTCCATCTCCTGTGGCCCATGGCGAGTGCGCAAAATCTCAATGCTGGCTCCGCCTGTACCTCGAACATAGATGGCTTCTGTGGCAACGAGAGTGAAGTAGTTCTAACGTAATCTTAGTTTAGTCTTATCAATAACAATAAATAATTTTAAAACGTAACGGCCGTGACGTCTTAATCTGAGTGCAATAGCTGGCAGCTATGTATGTCATTGTTGAAAGCTTTCAGCGCTGTCCTAGAAGCGAAGTATTTGTCGCTAAGTGCGGCAACTCTAGCATAATAGCAATTTCTTTAAATTTTCTTTTTTTTCGCTGATTATTACATTTCCATACGTGTCAGTCTTCTGAACTGTATTCAAGGATTTTTAGGATGCAAAATTAAAATTAAAAACAGTCTCCAGCTATTTTCTTATTTCTAAGTGTGCCCAGTTTCCTGATAAGAGTGAAATCTATATTTTAAACGGTTAGTTTCAACATTATGGGCTATTCGCAAACGGGCACACTTCCAGAATTAAACAAAATAATAAAAATAATTAAATTTAACCATTTTTCACCATGTCAAATGATAAGCGGACGGTGTACGTGGGCGGCTTGGCAGACGAGGTCACAGAAAGACTGCTCAACAATGCCTTCATACCCTTTGGGGACATAGCGGACATCCAGATGCCGGTGGACTACGAGTCCCAGCGTCATAGAGGATTTGCCTTCATTGAGTACGAACAGGGTGAAGATGCGGCTTCCGCGATAGATAACATGGTAAATAAAGAAACTCCTAGATACCTTTTTAACACACTACACCCCAAATCCTTTACAGAACGATTCCGAGTTGTGTGGCCGCACGATTCGCGTTAACTTGGCCAAACCCGTGCGCGTGAAGGAGGACAGTTTCAAGCCCGTTTGGGCGGACGATGACTGGTTGCAGAAGCACGCCGGCGCTACACTTCAGGCCGAAGGTGACGCAGAGACGGAGAAGGTGGAAGAAACACCCTCCACCGGCCCGGCGGTCATTGAAAAGGCGGAAAAGCGAAACCCACAGGTGTTCTTCGACGTGCGAATTGGCGGCAACGACGCGGGTCGCATAGTGATGCTGCTTCGTGCAGATGTGGTTCCGAAAACAGCCGAGAACTTCCGGCAACTGTGCACACATGAGCAGGGCTACGGGTATAAGGGCTGCTCCTTCCACCGCGTGATTCCGGAATTTGTATGTTTAGCTTGCCATATCATGTTCCCATTTCCTAATCATATATCTTGTTCCTAGATGTGTCAAGGAGGCGATTTTACGAATAACAATGGCACTGGCGGTAAATCAATCTATGGAAAAAGTTCAACGACGAGAACTTCAACCTTAAGCACAACAGCTTCGGGACTTTGTCCATGGCCAACTCGGGAGCCAACACAAACGGATCGCAGTTCTTTATATGCACCACAAAGTGAGTCTGTCGTATTTATCCTTGTTAATACGCCAAATTTAATTTTATTTTTTAAACAGAACTGACTGGCTGGACAACAAGCATGTGGTCTTCGGTCATGTCATCAGTGGTGCCGAGGTTGTACGTAAGATGGAGCGTTGTGGCACAAAAACAGGAACGCCCAACCAGAAGATCGTTATTTACGCGTGCGGAGAACTTAAATAAAGCTAGGATTGTACAAAAGACTACTCTTCAACGTTCTCCATTTATTGAAAAATCCACTAAGTCATAGGTAAAAGCGCACGCAGTGCACTCTGATCGGTAGCAGGGTGATCCTACCTACTGGAAGTAGGTCCTTGGCTTCCTGAACGAGAACAGCTTCCTGTTGCCCTTGTGGTGGACACGCTGGACCAGAGGGAACTTGATCTTGGAGTCGTGGAACTGCTTGACGTGCACGCGACGCGTCTTGGCGGCGGGGATCGACTCCACCTTGATGATCTGAATGGAGTGGGCACGGGCACGGTGGCGAGCGCCCATGTCGCGGTAGCACTGTGTCACGGCACCGCCGACGGTCAGGTCACGGTACTCGCGGTACATGTTGTGGGTGCCCGATCGGGAATCGTAACGCAGCCAGATACCGAAGTTCTTGATCTTAATCGGCGACGTCTCGTACACCTGCTTGATGGAGACAATCTCGCCGGTGGTCTTCTTGAACTTCTTCAGCTGACGCAGGAAGTACCAGAAGCGGGATTTGGCGACGATGTTGTCCGGAGCGAAGATGCGCATCTTGTAGAGCGGCGTCTGGGGCTCCTTCTCGCTGGGCAGCTTGCGGCCCACGACCTCGTACTCCTTCAACTGCAACGGATAGATAAAAATTAGTGGAATCGCTCTGTGTAAACAAATTCGGCGACGAACGGGCAAACACAAACACACGCATGGCAGTTCTAGTGGTTTCTTTTCTAGGTTATGTTGTCGGCAACGAAGCCAAATTGTGCATTATATTTGTGCAGTCTTCCAAGGTCTTTTTATTGCCAGGCCACAGCTTAGGACACTGCACTGCATTATTTAAGTCTGTTATCTGGCTAATAGTGGCCATTTTCCTTATGTAAAGTGGTAACATTTTAGTACACGACACTCTGTTCTTTAACGTTGCATTTTCACACAGAAATTGCATTTTTTAACTCATTCCAACTACTGGCGTGCGTGCGCCGGCCGTCTGCCTCGCTGTTCTACACATTTCAGTTGCAAAATTCGATCATTTAAATCATTTTTTGCTAAATACTAACCAATCCCTTGGCTCTCATGTTGGACGTTCACGCGAAAAGGAAACGGAAAGAGCTTGTCAAATCGAAAAATCGAAAACCTCGACTCAGGGCTGGCAGATATTGCTATCGATAGCCAACCGCACGAAAGAGTCACCAATGAAATCGTTTAGATAAAAGAAGGTACAACAATATGTCTAAAATTTTTACGAATAGTGAAGTTTTATAATTCCAACAACTACGGATAATCAAACAATTAACCAGGTTTTGCAGTTATATGCCACCTATCGATATACTGACACTGAACGCGATGCGATAATCCGAACAGGGTTGCATTTTGACAGTCACACCAGCACGCTGCGCGAGAAATGGAAACGTCGCTCATCCCTAGCTTCTGCGCGTGTTTCAATGGCTGTAAAAGCGAAAAATATTGCTAAAAAGTTGTTTTTCTCACGTAATTCGAGCGTATTCGCCTGCAGTTTTAAGCAATACGCGGGCTACATACAATACTCAAAGTGTTGCACACAATACGCTTTGGAAAGGAAAGCGAACAAACTGAGCAAAATATAAAATGCGCAGCGTGGTCGGCGACGTGCAAAAAGAGAAGAAAATTTTATACCTCGTTACCGAGAAAAGCATAAAGGCAAAAAGTGGGGATTGTGCCAGAGAATTGATCACTATTGTGAAATAATATTGCGCAACGCGTTAAAAGTCCTGGTTTGTTATTAAACAATTGAAACCAAGCGCAAATTGTATAAGCACAGCCCGTCTGGGGCGCGCAGGGACGAGCACTCTGAGGAGGCGTGGGGGTGCGTTCTTGTTCAGTCTCGGCCAATCCGCTGGGCAAATCTCTCGGTTTCGGTCTCTTGGTTCAGTTGTGCAGCGAACTTCCGTGAAATCGGGTTGTTGTTTTGGTACGTTCTCTTTGTGGTTTGCGCGCGTAAAATCATCTCCTTTGGCCGTCTCTCTCGCCGCCGTTCTCTCTCGCTCTTGTTCGTCTCTCACCCGCGCTTTGTGGGAAAATTCTACCTAAGCACGGTACAGCAACAACAACAATCGAAAAAAAAAAAAACGACAACAGCAGCGGCAGCAAGAACAACAAGAAGCACCGCTGTCACAGGAGGAGAGGAGGAGGAGCAGGTAAATAAACGTGCATAATTGCTGTACATGTGATTGTAGGATCATTCCAAGAATATTTTAAGTAAATTCGTTTATTTTTAGCGAAAAGTGGCTCTCGCTGAGTCGTTTTTCGTTTTCCTACCATTTATTTCGGTATTTTCAATTATTTTGCTTTTGTACCAGGGCTGCACACTAGGAATGACCGGTGACTTTTTTTAATTTCTGCAATCGCAACGTTTATGCAGCAAAAAAATAGATTAAGGAACAGTGGAATTGTGTATTTAGATCCGCATAAACGTATATTTTTGCGCATTATCATGGAGATTTATACCAATCCTAATATTTGATGTTATAAAACAATTTTCATTTCGCTTTCAGTCGTGCTGAGAACGCTACGGAAATCACTGAGAGAAAGAGCGAGAACCGGAACGGATTCAACGCAAACGGCATGCAAAGGTAATAAAAAACTATAAACATTTCGCCCCAAAGTGCGTTTAATCGATTCACGTCCGTTCTTTGTTTCTACATTTCTGTTTTTAGCGTGTGAATGCAGAAAATATGATGGAAGCATTGGATCAGCAACAAACCAAGCTAACGTCTACAAAAGATGCTGGAGACGCGGGAACAGGAGATGAGACCGGAGCTCGGTCAGGAGCTGGAGCTACAACTGGAGCGGGTACTGCCTGCAGTGAGGAAGATGACTTCGAGGAACCTCTTCCTGCGCTGGGCCTGGAGGAGGAGAAGGAAACCGCTAACGAAAACAACAATGCCGCTACCGATGGAATTCGGAAAAAGAGTGGAGATGACGTGATAGACTTTAACCTGGCAAATGGCCAGAGAGGCAGCGATAGACATGATTTAAGAGATGGGGCTGAGGATGATGCCGAAGCATCCGTTATGGAAGAGGCCGATGCATTAAATGAATCTCCTGTCCATTTTGAGCAAGATAAATATCATGGAAGCAAAACAGAAGCATCTCTCGTTGAAGAGCAGGTTGATAATGCCCGAGACGAGCTCCCAGAAAACCCTGCAAAATCCATAGAGGATGAAAGCTTGCCGGATGTCACTGAAAAGGCTGAAGTGACTCCCCCACCTGTAATAGATCTGGAAACGGACTCTGAGAGTGGTGCAGAAGATGAGTTTCTCTCTCTTAAAGATCCTAAGAGCCCAGCTCCAGCGAGTGAAAAAGAAGTGAAAAAGGCGGAGGAGGAAGAGTCTCAGGCCTCAAGTGAACTTTATAAAGATCCAGTTGGAGATGGGGTTTCTACAGTAAACCGAGACATGGATGTGGTTCAAGAAAAAACACTGCAACCCACAGGAGAGGAAGGGGAATCGGACACTGTGGACTCTCCCTCATTGACCATGGATTTGGATCACGTTGATTTACCAAGCAGTGAAAATGGGGATGCGCAACCCGGAGCCATTAAGCTTGAGTCCGAGTCGGAAGAGGAACATCTTGGTGAGAGCGGAAAGTCAAAGAGTACTGCTCCTGCTGCTGTCGTGCCGCCGATCAAACTGAACGGAGCCCATCAGACTGCAAAAGAAGGACTCAAGGATGAGGAAACTGAGGATGCCGAGGAGCTTCTACAGGAAAGAAATGAACTGGAGCCAGAAGAGCCCCAACAACTGTCTGTGATAACAAACCACACTGGCATCAGCGTTGATGCAAAGCCGACAGCCGCTCCGCAGCAGTTGTCCCTCTCTCGGGTCCTACCCATTCGTAGGAGCCGCAGCAGGAGCACCAGCTGCGGGAGCAGCACTATTAGCTCCGCTTCGCAGCCCCAGTTGGTTATTGATCATCCGGAAACTGATCAGAGTGCCAGGGTGCCAACGCTAAGGCTTTCCATGAAGCGCAGGCGCAGCAAAAGTTCCTCCATCAGTCAGCACGACCTGGCAGAGCAGCAGCAGCAGCCCAAGGAAGAATCAGACGGCTCATCGTCGCTACTCTTGCAACGCCTCCAGGGCAATCCCAATGTGGGTCCATCGGTCGCACCCGCGAATAGCCAATTTCTTAACTGTGCCAAGTGCAATGGGCAGTTTGAATTCGAAAGTTTTCAGCAGCTAAACGAGCATCAAGCCCATTGTCAAGGTCCAGCTAGCAGCGTCAGTACAGGCAACTCGAAGGTTCAAATGAACAAGGAGCGGTTCTTTCGGTGCAGACAGTGCAAAAGTGTTTTTCAGTGTTGGAACTTCTTCAAGCACATGCGGGACGCGCATCAGCTTGCCTTCTGTATGTACTGCTCACACGTTTTTCACAGTGCCGAGAAGCTGTCGCTGCATCTGGAGAACAAGCACGATATAGATCAGCGCCATTTTGAAAAGCAAGCGTGGATGCTGCAGCGGGAACAGAGAGATCGGGCCTCACATTTCATCTGTTGCACGTGCCAGTCAACTTTCCTCGAGGGCACTGGGTTCGAGACCCACGACTGCTTGCAGTTTATACAGCCATGCACTCTGTGTGGCCAAAAAGGCGGTCATGCGGTCGGGTGTCGGAATAATAAACGAAAGCCGCCCAAGAGGCGCAGAAAACTGCGTAAGCCGCCAGAACCGTCTGCCCCACCACTTGTGCAGAACCACGTTGTCCATCCGGAACCGGTGATGGATCAGCAACCGCAGAAGTTTTACCAAGCGGAGAACAGTGAGTTGAACAAGTTTTCTTCAACGCAAGCATATTCCTTTATCATCATGCTCTTTTTGCAGTTCCAACGCCTGGGCCCGTCGCTGAGGCTCCAGCGCCTTCCAGTCCCAAATTGGTGGTGCCCAAGATTATGCTGCGGGTACCTAAGGAGTTCCAGAAGTCTGTGGATGCTGCCCTAAGCAGCACTGACACAGAAGAGGAGGAGATGGACGTTTCGCAACCGGCAGAGGAAACTGCCCCAGCACCGTCCGAGGATGTGCCAATGAAAGCAGCACTGCTGGAGGATTTGGCAACAGAAGCTGCACCAACGGAACCACAGGCATCGGAACCACCACCAATATTCAGCTTTGATGACTCGCCCGCGGCCAAGCTGAATCGAGTTCTGGCCGAATTGGAGCGCACCAAGCTGGACATTGAGCGTACCAAGGCGGATATTATAACAAAGAAGCAAGCCAAGGCAATTTTGGCCCAAGCCGAGGAGAATATGATAGCTCAAGCGGCGGACGCTCATCTTCAGCAGCAGCCACAACCGGAGGAGCAGCGTCGTTGGTCGCTGACGCCGCCTGCATCGCCCCACAACAACACCAACAATCATATGAACCTACCCCAACCACCGCCGCCAGCTGTGATCACTGAATTTCAAGATCAACCCGATGCAGAGCGTCGCAACAGCCTCGGCAGTGATTGCATGGACATAGATGACACCTTGAATGGTCCGACTTTTGAAGATAATAGCGAGCAGCAGGTGGAAAAGTTACAGGAATCGTTGATACGTCCTCAAACTCTTCAGGAAGGTCAGGAAAGTCAGACGCAACCTATTTTACAGCCATCTCTGCCTCTGCCTCCACCGCCTCCTCTTCCTCCGGCCGATGGCATATTGGTAGCTGGAGTTGAGACGCCAACGGTGGATTTGCAATTGGATCGTCCTCTGGACCGATTCTCAATGGTGGACTTTGTGCGCTTGTGCTTAAAATCGGTGTATTCCGGGTGTCTGTACTGCAACCATGCACGGCGGATCGCGGTGAACGGAAAGCAGCTGGTGCTGCACCTGATCAGTCAGCACCGCTTTACGGCGACGGTGGACAGCATTACGGCCGAGGAGCTGTATGCTGAGACGATTGTGGCCCGGCTGAAGAGCTTTCTGCCCCATCTTGAGCAGGAGTACTTAAACTCGGCCAGTTGCTGCAGTGTTGAAAACGGCATGTATGCGGAGCACTTCAACGAGCGGATCTACGAGTGCTTCACCTGTCGATTCGTAACCTCTACACACAAGGAGCTGTACACGCACAATCGGAGGCTGCACATCAAGTCGAACATTACGTGCGTCATGTGCCAGATGAACTTCTACAGCTATAGCGAGATCTTGTGTCACATTTGTCCCGGCGAGGTGGGTGGCAGTATCTATGATTTAAAGTTCAGATGCTGTCTCTGCGAGGTGGCGCCCCTGCCCTCCGCTTTCCGGTTGATGGTGCACCTGAGAAAGCAACACCAAGCGTGCGACATCTGCCTTGAAGATTGCCAGAGCCAGTCTAAGCTATCGGCGCATGTGTGGAAGCACAAGCTGTTGCATTTGTGCTATCGCTGTGGCATTGCCTACAGGAACAAGCAGGACATCTCGAAGCATCTGTTCTGGAAGCACGGAACCGAGAGTGCCAGCTGCAAGAGGTGCCTACAAAAGCGCTGGCGCCATGTCTATCACTTTTGCGTGCCCCCCGTGCAGTTTCCATGCGAGCAGTGCGGCTTTAATTTTAGCAAGGCCATTTACCTGGAGGTCCACCAGCGTATGCACTCAGGCGACTTCCGTTACGCCTGCGCCGAGGAGGGATGCGAGGAGAAGTTTGTGTCGCGTAAACTGCTCTTGAATCACGCCAGCAGTCACGTGGTAAAGGAACTACCACAAGAGGCTTTGATGGCGCCGACGGATGAAGATTCTGCTGGTAGCAAAAAGCTGGAGGAGACGATAAAGAAGGAGTCGGGAGAGGAGGGCGAGGAATTACAGGATGGAAAGCCGGCGGAGGGAAAACCTGTGGTGACGGCGAAAGTAAGGATATGGACAAAAAGGATACCGAAAACAAGGAGTCGCTGAAAGAGACCACCGACAGCAAGTCGGAGAACCGTAAGCGGCGTAAGAAATCCAAACGCAGCAAGGAATCACTCGAGGACCTCAATCTTATCGCACCCAATCTCTCGGAGTCTGACAGCAGCGATGATAGTGACTCGGATGCTCCGCGAAGCAGCCAGCATGAGCAACCAGCAACGTTGCCAATGCGATCCTCTGTGGATGACCTGGATATGCCGAAGGTGATGCTGTCACCATCATCTGAAAGTGACGCCGACGAGACGATGGATGGCAAGCCCAAACTGGAGGACAAGGAGCAACTAGTTGAAAACGTTCAAAAAGAAGAGAAAGACAAGCAGGATGAACCTAAGACCGAAGGAGAAGGCGACTCCAAAAAGGCACAGGAAGAGGAAATGGATGTCTCCATTTGGAAAAACCTCCTGCAGAACCAGGCAGCCATTCCCGAAGAGACGGCCGCTGTTAAGGAAGAAGAAATTGACCCCAACATTCTCAACCACGCGCCAGCCAAAATCCATGTGGCCTGGTCGGATCACGACTACTGCAAGCTGCACCGCACTCCTCCACCCTCGCCCGTCAAGCCGAAGTCCACTCCGAAATCGGCTACCAAAAGGTCTGGCGGTGGACATGCCTCCAGCGATAGCGACTCTTCAAGCTGCTCTAGCTCTTCCGACTCTGATTCTTCGAGCTGCTCATGCGGCACCAATTGCAGCTGCAGTTCCAGCAACAGCAGCAGCTCCAGCGATGACTCGGACGATTCGGATAGCTCCAACAATGCTGCTGGCTCTCCGCAAAAGCGTGCGCGCAAAAAGTCCCTGAAGCATAAAAAGAGCGGCGAGTCCCTAACGCGGGGTGAGGTATCTGAGCGAGGTCAGGAGGACATGGAAATCAATGTGACGGCCTTGAATGACGATAATCCAGCCCCTCCGCCATCACCACAGCCGCCGATTTATAATGAGTCAGACTTTGATACTGCGTTTTCGGAAACGGATGAAGAGTTCTATGATCCGCATCCCCAGAAACTGGCCAACGAGCTGCTAACGCAAAAGCGCGAAGCTCTCCTTGCTGAGCATGCACCCCTGGGACCGAGCAACAATTACGATATTGTGGAGAATAGTCGCCCGTCCACACCATCACTTCCGGAGGAGGCGCTTGCGTTTGCCGATAAGCGGGAAAGGGTGAAGAATAAGAAAAAGAAAAGAGAGCGAAAATCTACGTGCAAGTCGGGCAAGATGCCACCGATGATAGCCAGCACGCCGCTGCCCATGGATGTGATGCCGGGAGTGTCTAAAATGTCCGGGATGTTATCGATGTCCGGTATGGTGGCGCCATTGGAGCCACCCACTCCAGTACCGGCTCACCAGCAGGATTCGCCTCTGTTTCCCGTTACTCCCCTAACCCATCGCCACCTACAACCCTCGGTCACGCCGAGGAGTGAAGGCAGCAGCTGCTCGGATGCCGATGGCCAACTTAAGCGCTCCAAGCGCCAGCGAAGACCTAACAAGTTCTACGGCTACACGAGCGACGATGAGAACATGAGCACCATATTAGCGCCGCCGTTGCAGGTTGGAATGCAGCTAATTAAGCCGCAGCCGCCGCCACAGTTAACCTGGGCCAAGGAGGACTTGCCCACGCCGCCCAAACAGCGCAGCAGAAATAACAACAACAGTAACCATCACCACTCTCACTCCCATAGCAACGGTGGAACCCCGCTGGCAGGATCTTCCCGAAAGAGGAGCAAGCAGCGGTCGCTGCTTGGAGCCAGCGGATCAAGACCAGCAAAACGTCACAAGCCGGATAGAGAAGATCATTTGCCCCCCATTCCAACCCTCAAAATTCGTCCCAGTTTACTGCCCGCGGCTCCGCCAACGGACAGCAGTGACAGCAGCTCAGACGATGAAGATGTCGAGGTCAATGTGACCAGCTTGGTGTCAACCCCGCAACCAGCACCATTATCCGCTGGGTTGTTAGCGCCACCAGTGGTGACTCTTCCGGTGCAGCCACCACCGCCGCCGACACCAGCGGCCACGGCCTTCAATCAACCCATTCCGCCTGCCCTGCTGCCCAATCCTGGATTTGCCACGCTGCAGTATTTCAAGGCCAACAACATTCGGTACCCTATTCGGCCACCAGCTGGTGCACGTCTCGCCCGCGAGGGTGAATCGGTGTACTGCTACTGTCGCTGCCCCTACGACGAGGTGTCCGAGATGATTGCCTGCGACGGAGACAATTGTCTGATCGAGTGGTTCCACTTTGAGTGTGTGGGCATAATGGTGGCGCCGCAGGGCAAGTGGTTCTGTGCCGAATGTCGGCCCAAGTACTCTGAGGGCTCCTACCAGGGCGCGAATCCCCAGTGAATCTGGGGCTGGCACTGACGACATCCTAGGTTCCTCATCACAACAACCACAAACAATAATCAACTATAACTACAACAAACCCCACTACAGAATGGATTACGCTTATTAATTGATAAAAGAACATGTAGTCGCTTGTTCCCGGTAATCAGCTAGGAACAAGATTTAACTTAATCTAAAAATACTTAAAAAAAACCCCCTCTATATATATATATATATATATATAGATATATATTTATAAATTACGTATATGTAAAGATCGAAGAAGATGATTGTGTAAACCCAGGCTCAAAGATGCTCTCCACGGAGGGAGCCTAAGCTAAGCTAATGCTAATTCATATATCTGCAACAAGCTTATATATAATATATTATATATATATATATCTACTTCGATAACATTGTATATAAATATAGAGATGTGTAAAATAGTTAGAGTACGCGGGAGAACCCATAAAAAACTTAGGCATTAAGGGCCATCACTTATACATAGTAGTCCCCAAACATAGATCTTAACTAAATCTACATATAAAAAATATACATGACTATGATTAGATACAAAAACCACAATCGAAAATTAACTGCAAATCTGAATGCAATCGATTATGAGAAAAATAAACAACACGCATCAATGTGAGAGACGTATACAAAAAAACACTATCAAAACTAATTGTCGTAATTTGTTTAATCACTCCAAGGAAGGGGCTAATATTGGTTCATTAATCTATATGGTAATGAACATGGCTATGAGCCTGGGGCTGATTAACCAGATTGTATGAAAAATTAAATGGATTCGAGTAAAGATAATACTAATTGTAAGAAAGGATCTTCTTTACTCCCAATACAGTTCAGGTTAATCTAGGAACATCTGCAATGCTAAAAAACAACATTTTTTCGTTTGGATAGATTTAAAAAATGTTTTAATCAAGAGTGATTTTTTAAATTAAACTGATAATTTTAAATTTTTAACTTCTTATGAAATACGTATTTTGGGTATCTCAACACTCTTATATACATTTCTTTTAAAAGAATTAATTTAGTTGAATTGTTAAGCTTCTGTAAAATATAGTAAGTCAGTTTTTATTTTATTTTTTTCCTTGTTATTTTAGGGAAAACTTCAAGAAGAACTCTTTCTGAAGCTTATGCCTTTCGGGGAACTCCCTTAATAAATCCCAAATAACTGTGAACAATGGGTTAACCCAGCCGTCCATGCTCGTAGCTTAATATCCTGAAAAAGGAATTCCACGTTCCCGACTCCTGATTATGCCAAAGTAAATGCAAATAAGCCACGACAAGCCAGCGAGCCAGCCAATGTTGTTGTAGTTGCGCACGATGAATGGGCACGAATGGCGCCAGGGTCAGTGGTGGGGTCATCGTGGCAGCCAACCAACGAACCAACCATCCACCCAACCATGTTTGTTTACCAACAGCACGTTGATTTAATTGCTATTGTGGCCGGGAGTTGCACCAGCGACTCGGAGCGAGAGCTGCCTTTGGCGAGAGAATCAACAACCACAACAATGCCCAATTACAGGTGGTGCCAGGCGGGGGTGGCGGCCACTGGGCAGCGGTCAGTGGTCGGTCGGTGGTGTGTGTGCGTAGAAATTACCATAAATCTGATGGCTGGAATAAAAAAGGCTTCTCTGGTGAACTTGGCCGGCCAGTTCGTGTTGAGTTTTTGCGGCGCGAGGTTATCCGGAAACGCGGAAAGGCAGACACTTTTGAATATTAGTTCGACCTGCGTGTCACCGTTGTGAGTCGCGTCCGACATTGCCATGTCCACGGGACATCCAAGCAGCGAGCAAACAAAAGCCCACTTATCCTGCCTAGCTGGTCGCATCTAGGCGGTGGCCATGGTTCGTCGGGCCTCCAGTGTTCCGCATCTGAACAGCAGCGGCGGGAGCAGTGCGGACAGCGCCGGTACGTCGGGCAGTCGACGGGGCCGGGCGCCCGTTGCCGGTTCTCGTGGCAGCCGGAAGGCCCCCTCGTCCACCGGCCAGGGCCAGCGTCAGAGCTCAGGGAGCAGCAGCAGTGTGCCCCGATCACGTAGCCTGACCAACGGCATGCGTCGTCTTAGTCCGCAGAAGGGAACGGGCAGCAGCGGAGGGACCGGCAGCGGCGGAGGAGGTAGTTCCCGGAATACACCTTATTTTCTACGTTCACGCGAGAATGAGTAAGTGTGGGATAAGGATTGCGATGCTTCCCACCGTAATCAATAGGCGATAACTTGAGGACAGTGGATACTTACTAAAAATATCGTTGGCCCAAAACTCAAGAAAAGACATATAGGTTTGATCAAGAGTGCCGCAAACCTAGCTGCGGTCTTGAAACCAAGTTGCTAAAAAGTAGGCAACGAAAAAGCAAAAGGATATTGGGACTTAAATTATATCTGTTTTTTGAATATTTTTATTCTTCAAGTTGTAAGAAATAAAAATACATAGTATAGCAAATAATAATTGGTTAAAAATAGTTGTAGAACTATTACTAACTGCTTAAAACCCATTATTAATCATTAGTTAACCTTAAACTCATAGTTAGTAAATAGTCAGAAATGACTCCTTCACAGCGTTACAATATGAAGGAGTCATTTCCGACCCTATATTCTTGATCACCATCAACAGCCGAGTCGATCAAGCATAATTTGGCAAAAAATAAATTTCACCAATTTTTACAAAATTTTATAAGGGTTACATAGTTAAAATTGTCAAAAATTTGAAAATTTTTAAATTGAGAATTCAGATTTATTAACCTAATAAAAAGGAACGAAGAAGAGCTTTCCAAATTAAAATATCTGCTTTTTTGGCTTAGTTATGAGTTCTTAAATTATGATTTGTCGAATATAAAAATATCATATAAAAATATCAATAATTATCGATTTAATGCGAATCCTTTAAGCTTAGTTACGATTGATTTCCGTTTCGATCCCTTAATTCGATTGCAAACTGTAAGGATATATAAACTTCGGCTTCCCAAAGTTTGTTTCTTTTCCTTTATTTTTTCACAAAACTTTTGTTTTTACAGTTTCTCAACTAACGTTTTAAATGTTTACTGTACTTATATGTATATTTTTGGAATTTTAATAGAAGTAGCGCCCAGGAATATGGTACAATTACCCCTTGTTGTGAAGCCTTGGCCAAAGTCGTAATATAGGCAATTATTTATTAAATGGGTCTATATGTGCGTACTGGGGAAATGTATTAATTTGCATCAGACCATTTGGCAGGACGGGAATCGGTGGCGGGGGGTAATGATAACACGACAGGTCGGGAGTAGCTAGCTAGCTAGCTCACCCCTAATCGGTGATCCATTAAAAACCGAACAACTCGAGGCGAAGGTAAGGAAACCGGGGAAAAGCCACGGGCCAAACCATAATGACCACGCACAATAAGTAATCCATGAGAGACAGACAGGGAAACTGTCCGGCGGACAGGCAATCAAGCGACGGCGGACGGGCGGACAGACAAGCGGACGAGCAGTTAGCCTCCATTTAGGCAGGAAGGGCGGGTAAAAAAAGAAGGCAAGTATCGCCAAAGATCTGGGGGTTGAGCTCTCGGCGACCACGACACAAATCGATTTTGCAATTAAAGCATATTGAAGTCCTGGGCTGTAACCGCGAGTGTGTGTCCTGGCCTATCTTTGACCGGAGTTGAGAGCGAAAGTGACATATTTATGATACTTTTTATTTCGGTCTCCGTACAACGGAGTTAAGGTTAAGGACCCTAGGTCCTTACCTCTCTGGCAACTGGGTTAAGTTTGTGTTTCGACGCGGTTCCGAAAGGTTTATCAATTATTCAGGAAAGAAAAGGTACTCCACTCTGGTTGCTTTAATGAACGTTTGAAAGCTAATTATCTAGGCCAGGAAACTTGTGTAATTTTGCTGCTCATCTTTCAGGGAAGTAATAATAATACTTTGTATTGATGACTGCAAGAATGCAATTGTCACCTTTGTTATTTGGTCATTAAGTCTGTTAGCATATGGAACCAAGAGTTATTTTTTTGTAGATACCATACGATTAATCCCAGCAGTGTTATAATTATTTTCGAGCACGCATGTGTTTCAGCCTTCTGATTAATGAATTCGTTGATAGCCTTATGATGAACGACACACTTTTTCGAATTGGCAGTGCCCCCCAGCTGTCATAAATAATATTTATTAAATATATATAGTATACGACCATAATTCAACTAGATCTAGTCCAGGCATCGACGTACATTAGCTAAATTTCCGGACCTGCCCAAGGCAAACTTACTCCGAAAGCGAATTCGCGTGCGTAGTGGTCAGTAGTTTTCAGTTTGGAAATCCATATGAACTGTATATAGAGTACACATCGGCATATGGATTTTCCTGGCATGTACAAAGCGAGTTAGGTCATAATTACGCCCCCAAAGATAATCAAGCCTGACATTTCGTTGCCTAAACTTTCGCATGGCTAATAAATATCTCCCACAGTCCCAGCGATTCAAAACAATTCCATGACTGAGAAATAAAAGTGAGAGTTCTAGTTTCTGACTAGCCGCTACGCTTTATTTGATTTGCAAACAACTGAAACGAAAAAAACATATATTTTCGTTGCTTTTAAATCGGCGCTGGGCAATTACTTGATATTTGTTTAGGGCAAATATAAACATTCTGTCAAAGTAGGCTTCTACTGACTCAGGCTTACAAATAGGATGGCAATTGGCCAATTATATTTAGTATATAGTAAAGACAAATAAAATGATTGGTATCTTAAAAGGAAACTTAAGGTGAAGCAGCTTGGAATAAATGTATTATCCTTCTGAAAATAACAAAAATCGCTGTTAAACCCTTAAAGGTTTATAAATTGTAGATACCATACAAAGACACTCTGAAATCGAAGTTCTCACTTAGTTAAGGTATGAGTTAATAAACCAATTACAAAAATTCCTTGAACTTTTCCAAATAAAAAAGTACAACTTTTGTTCTAAGCTACTTATTTCAATGGTATTAATATATATTGTCCAATTAATTATTTAGCAATTAAATATTTAGCAAGGGCCAGACCACCAAAAGTTGATTGAACTTTTCTTAGCACTAAGCACTTAAGAAGCCGCTCCCCAAGGGGTTCGTGTTAATTCTTCTCCATTGGCGCCTTCTGAAATATTTACTAAGAGCACACGGCAAGCCCAACTCATGTCTGATTAATATACGTCGATGGTAGATTCTATGGTAGTAAGCCCATTAGGCCATGAATGTTTAACAAGTCATTTACGTGAAAAAGTTAAATGTCAGCTCCGTGCCATACACAATCACGCCAAGATGATGGCCCATCGCACATACGCCGCGTTGCCCGGCCTATTTGCAGTTCAATAAACTGTTTGTATTGGAAACATTTCGTTCTTTACCACAAAATTATCTGAATAATTACTGGGCTAGCAAACACAGCTAAAACAAAAACTTATGGAAATCTGAATCAATAATTTAGTGCCCTGTATTTACATATTTCCATAAGGCAGCTAGTCCTAGTATTCCGTTGAAGTGAATTTGTTAATCAAATTGAAATGTGACCCCCCACACTTTTAGGTAAACTAATTGCGACTTAGTGTGAAATAAGGGGCGCCTATAAAACAGAAAACCCCAAAAAGAACTAAGCCCTGTTGCCTCCACCCTTAACCTTGGCTATTTATAGGCCGGTCAACGTCAGAGCTCCATCAAGTTCAAGGCGAATTCAACAAAAACTCAGGGAATTCGCAGAAGCCACAACAATTGGATTCCATAAAAAATAATGGGGTAGCTTTGGTTCACTTTGATTGATTAATTGCGATTGTGGAAGTTTCAGTGCCAAGTTTAGGAGCTGCTTCAAATCGCGCTTGGAAAAAAACTAAGTAATAACTATTATTTATTAAATTAGCTTATTGGGATAGGCCACATCGGGTATTTTATAGGAATCCTTAAGGGAATATCACACGATATATGTATGAGTAATGACCCGAGGTACTTTCTCCAGGATTGGTAGTGCTGACACCCTGGAAATAGTGGCATCCAAGTCCACGGGCAGCGAGGAATGCTCCACGCCCGAAGACAACATCAATGTGGTTGTGCGCGTGCGTCCTCTGAACGACAAGGAGAAACGAGATCGTCATGGATCAACACTGCAGTTTCCCGGAAACGGACAGGTTATCGTAAGTTCTATTCCTTACAATTGTATTAGTGCATTAATGCCAAATTTCCGACAGCTTGAGGGTCACGATGTGGGCCAGAAGAAGTCACATAATCGGGACAGTGTTCGAGTCTTCACATATAATGTGGTCTTCGAGCCGGGTGCCACACAGGAGGACATCCTAGACTACTCTGGTATCAAGCGCATTATAGAGATGGGCATTGAGGGTTTCAGCTGTACGGCGTTTTGTTACGGCCAAACGGGCTCCGGCAAAACGCATACTCTGACAGGACCGCCGGATTTGGTGAGTTAAAAATATATTCCGTAAGGAAAATGTTGTCATCATGTAGCTTCCAGTTCATTGGCAAACCGAATCCCAAGGATCCGCGCCATGGCCTCATCTTCCGTTCGTTTGTGTACCTCTTCCAATTGATTAAGAATCGCAAGGATGTCAATTACGTGCTCAAGGCCTCGTTTATGGAGATCTACAATGAACGGGTAAGCGTCCCACATGTGGCTCAGGATTTTTAATTTCAATCAGAGAAGTCAGAGGCTTGACTTGACCTCTGCCCATTTAATTTAAATTCAAATTGCATTTAGCCATAATACTGATTGCGCCAGACCCCGCCAAACATGCATTGCATTGACCTCAATTTAATGGATGTCAGCACGCTCCACCCTCGAAAACCACTTGACCATTCGGTCACCACCCACCTTTCGCGGTTTGTCACAATGCGTGAAATGTTTCTGCATTTTGCGTGGCATTTTCAATGATTTGTTTTCTTATTCCTTCTCCTTCTCCAATTTCGTTATTGGTTTCGCAAATTGAATTGAATTTATTATTGCGTCCTTAGGTAATCGATTTGCTCAATCCGGGAAGTGCAAGGAAACCGCTGGCGGTGCGCTGGTCCAAGAAATCGGGTGGCTTCTTCGTGGAAAACCTTTTTACGGTGGACTGTGAGGAGTTGGATGATCTACTGGCCGTTCTTGAAGAAGGTTAGTTCTCTTTGGATATCAGTGTCAGCAGGGTTAAGGGAACCGGGTCCTTGCCATTTAAATTATTTCTCCTTACTGTCCATCTTCTATTCTATTTAAGGTATGAGAAATCGTGCCGTTGGCTCTCATGCTATGAACGATCACTCTTCTCGATCACACACAATACTCACCGTCCACATCCTATCCGATCAGCAGACAGATGGCGGGGTATTTCTCTCCAAGCATGGCAAGATTAATTTCGTGGATCTGGCTGGCAGTGAGCTGACCAAGAAGACCATGAGCGAAGGCAAGACTTTGGAGGAGGCCAACAACATCAATAAGAGCCTCATGGTCCTGGGCTATTGCATTGCCTCGCTGAGTGACAACAAGAAGAGATCGGGTCACATTCCTTACCGGGACAGCCAGTTGACCAAGCTCCTGGCCGATAGTCTGGCCGGGAATGGAGTGACCCTGATGATTGCTTGCGTTTCTCCAGCCCATTACAATCATGCGGAAACTCTCAACACTTTGCGCTACGCCTCCCGGGCAAAGAGGATACGCACCAAACCAGTGATCATGATGGATCCGCGGGAGGCACTCATTCTCAGCCTTAAGCGTGACATACATGCACTCCAAATGGAGAACGATCACTTGAAGGCAGCCCTTAATCTGCACCATCAGGCAGCCACGAATGGTGCCGTTGCCACGGAAAATAATCTCTTGGAGTTGCAGTTAGATCGACTGAGCAGTGGTGGCGGCGGAGTACCCGTTCCCAAAGTGGATTTGGAACGATTACCTGAGTTGGATGGCTCCGAGCTGGCCGAACTGGTGAAGTTGTACATGGCGGAAAATGAATCGTTGAGGCAGGAGAACAACCACCTGTTCACCGTCCGAGAGACGATCCTCAGGGATCAGGAGATCGTGTGCCGGGAGAATGAGCGTCTGCTAAAAAAGCTCGAGGATGTGAACAAGTAAGTGGGGGCTGTGGGTGCATGGGTCAGACTTAGTTTGGTGTATCTTGATTGACCGGGCTGCAATCGCCTTCAGGCTTGGCTCATTGTTCTCTCCCATTTCTGACTCGTTCTAGATCGAAACCGAACGGGAACGAGGACAATGAGCCGAGCCAGGAGACGCAGTTCAAGGAGTAAACCAAGAAATATAAATCAGACGTTTTCTATTTTATAACAATTTTGTATTTGTTTTTCAAAAACAAACCTAGAGTGTGACTAGCCATGTAAGAGACTTGTAATAAAAGTTTGTTTCTGTTCCTACGAACTAAAGCAAGATATTAGGCGGGAAAAGGGTTAAAAAGTGCTATATATATATATAGATATATATAATTACCACATTACAGAGTCTGCGTGCGTTCACCTTTGATACCGGCACGTCCGGCTATATCGCCGACTACAGGAAAGGAGACCCCCGGAACTGAGATCTGGACCAATCCTGAGCCTCTCCGAACTCCGCCGGGAGCGCAGCTGCCTTTGGACCAGAGGATGTCGGAGAATGCCGAAAAGCGGACACATACCGCCCAAAAGCGTATCGATCAGCAACGCATAGCTAAAAACATTCTGATTATGGCCAATGCATTTCGGAAACCGGACGCAGACTTGGCCAAGGAATTGAACATTAATACGGAAAAAGCGCCGGAAAAGCAATCAAACAACTTTATGCCTGAGTAAGTTAATTATTAAACAATCCTTTATCGAACTTTTGAATCTATATTTTATTTTCTCCAGCATGCTCACATAGATGCCTTTTTCAATGGAGACAAAGAGGATTATATATATACATATATATATTTTTGCAAAGGAAACTGGAAATTATAATTATAATAAACTCGTTATTATATACCATATTTTGTAGTATGTGTTATGTAGTATGTATAGTTTAAAATACCCCTGCATGGTTTTCAAAACTCCAAGCTTTTTCGATCGAACATTGTTCAAGTTTTTTCCCCACCCTTGAACCTTTGGAAAAGCTTACGAAAATCCACAGAAAAGCCGGAAAATCAAAGCACCAATCCGTGCGCAGCCACACTTTTGTAAATATTGATTTTTCAGCGCCCCTCCAAGGCACATCTGCGAAAGGTGAAGCGCATATATATTTGCTGACGGCAAATCGAGGTTAATAATAAACATTTCGGTTGGAATATTGCAGCTCCCAAGTATTCGGCGGCAGTATTAGCATACCAGCTTCCACCATAGGTCTCGCCGAGACAGCTGTCTTGGACATAATGGCTGCAAATCTGCAACAGCAGCGCTCCATCAACTCGCAGCTGCGACGCGAGGTGGGAATCGAGCGGATGCCCGTGTCGGAGGCCTGCTCCCTTATGATGAAGTACATGTTGGAGAACGAGGAGGAGGACTGCCTCCTCAGCGGCTTCACCCAAAAGGTTAATCCCTTCCGCGAGAAGAGCTCCTGCAGCATCCTGTAGGTCTGCATCGACCAACACCACCCGTTCCTAGCAGTATTATCCCATAAAGTATACTCAACTGCGGCGCAGATTCCAGAGATCACAGCCGCCGTGCCGTACCGTGTCGTGTAACCTATTTGATGTTCGTTGCAAGTGTGTGCTCTGACCTCAATTATGTCTATAAACTGAATATATATGTATACAATGGATCCGGGCAAGAATTGATTAACGAGTAAACAAGTAGAAGAGGAACCGTCTTGAGCTAAATGCCTGCACATCTGTGTATAGTAATAATACCGTGTATTTTGCTAATCCTGTAGCTCTTTATTGGAGAAACTAGCAAACATCCTGTCTATACCTATTTAAATGTTTCGACAAAAATAAATCTATGTAGTCTGAGATTTTCATGTACATTTTTCATTTTGTAAATTTCCAGTTTATTAGAAAAATGCCGTCTGCAAAGTACTGGCTAAGCGGCTTTGGGTGGTCAGAGGGCAAGTCTCACGTTTTGTCAGTGAATCCATACTTCGTTTTTCTCGGTGAATTCCGAAAGAATCTTAAAAGACGGGACATTCTCAACCTAAAGCCGACTTCCGTAGCCAAAATTACTGGCAAAAAGTGGCGGGAAATGACTCCAGCTCAAAAGTCGGTGTATATAGAAAAAGCCAAGATTAATCAGGCTAAGATTAAGATCTCAAAACGGGAAGTCTGCAAATTGATCAGGCTAAACAGTGCCCGTCTTAGAGGAATCAACATTTAACCACAAAATTTTTAAATAATAAATCAAATCAATCCCTAAATTTATTTCAAATTTCCTTCAACGCTTTCCAACACCTTGAAGGCACACAAACAAACTTTTCGATTCTATTACAAGTGTTGGAAAATCTCGATTGCGTTGCTCTTCAGCTGTTGTCAAAGTGTTGGAAAGGGTATAACGTGGTCTGTGGCCTACCGAAAAGTATTTTGTGAAATAAAACATGAGTTCTGGCTTTGTCACTGAAGCTGAGGCTGCCGAGCAAAGGCAGAGACGTCAGGAGGAATGGGAGCGTGTTCGTCAACCGGATGATCCAGTCGAACGACCCGAGGAGCCGTATGACGCACGCTCACTGTACGAACGCCTGAAAGAGAATAAGGACAAGAAGGACATGGAGTACGAGGAGGCCCACAAGTTAAGTAGGTAACCTTAACACTGGTAATAGCCGGGTCATAACAGATATTCAAAATTCAGAGAACCTGATACGTGGTCTGGACGATGACGAGGTGCAGTTCCTGGAGCTGGTCGATGCCCACAAAATGAATGCGGAGCGTCAACAAATGCGTGATGAGGAGCTGGAACTAAGGGACTTCCGCAATCGCGTTGAAAAGTTGCAGGAGGAGAGCGTCGACAAGGTAAAGCTCACCAACCATTAGCAATTACGTTCATGCCACGGAATCATTCATCTGGCACCCACAGAAACTGCAGGCGGAGCTCAAGACCACGGCCAAATCCGCAGGAGCCCCCGTGGTGGGCCGCAGCACTCAGAAGTCGCTGCTTGGCCAGGGCATCAAGCGGAAAAACGGGGAATTACCCACAACCAGCAAGATGGCCAAGACAACCGAGGAGGCGAAGGAGCCGGAGGAGAAGACTGCACCCACATCGACGCCCAATACTCTGATCACAAACAAATATAACACAGGGGCTCTGAAGTGCATCGGCCTGTTGCCAGGCATCGGATCTTACACGGAGTCCAGCGACTCGGAGGCCAGCACGGACGATGATGAGCACGGATCGTGCACCCGCACAGATCTGTGTGGCCGTAAAATACTAAAGAAGAAACAGTGCGCCGAGTAGGATCAAACAGTTTACTTGGATTCTTAATATGTAATTTCTCTTTCCTTGCAACAGAATATAGCCTAGAGTGTAAACGTAGGATGTGCGTTACGTGTCCTTCTTCTTGTTCCGATTGCGGTTCTTCACATTCGTCATCTCGTAGAAGTTGCTGCCGATTTTCTTGCGCTTCTGACTTCGCTCCATGGCTCGTTTCTGCTTGGCCGTCAGGCGGGGTGCCTTCGAGGTGCTGGGGCCGTCGTCATCGGAGCTGTTTCCCGCATCGTCCGAATCTCCAGGCTGCATCTTGGCTATGCGGAACTTTCCGGACGACGTGATGGCCAGAGCCTGGGTCTTCTTCACCTTGGCCTTTTTGTGCACCACGCGCTGCAAGTCGTCGTTGTACTCATCCTCCGAGTAGAAATCGTCGGCCCCATCGCTGGACTCCTCCTCTTCGCCGAGGTTGTGGATACGTGCCTTCTTGCGCGCCGCCCGCTCGGCTTTCTGCTGCTCCAGCAGCTCCAGATCGATGTGATCCAGTTCCTTGACGTCCTGTTGCTCGTACTCAAGACCTACGCGAATCTTTCGGAAGTCTTGAATCTGCTTGAACTCACGTGCCTTCTTTACCGATTCGCTGACAAAGGTTGGTGCTTCGGACTTAGCATCGTCATTGGGCTCTTCAGACGCAACCTCTGCCTGCTTGCCCTCCTGGGATTTGGGAATGGCGAATCCTTCGGGGGGTACATAGAAAGGCAGCTTGCCGCGCTGCCAATCGTTGAGCACCATGCGAGCAGATTGCGTGACATCCGGCTCGCCTCCTTTTAACAGTTTGCCGGACTTCTGTGCCAGCTGCTCCAGGAAGTGCTTCGACGTATTCCAGTGCTCGATTTTGTAGTTCTTCGAGATGTATTCAGGTCGCACTCGTTGGAGTAGGGTGTCAACATAGTCTTCGGGATTGGTAACGAGCTCCACGCGCACTACACCCTTGAGCACCTTCTCTGTGTCCGTCTCGGCCGAGGGATACACCACACCGGGACAATCGATGAGGAAGATGCGCTTCATCAGCGTAATATACTGCCACACCTTGGTCTCGCCGGCAATGGGAGCCACGTTGCAGACTTTCTTGGAGCGCAGAGCATTAATCACCGAAGATTTACCCACATTGGGATAGCCAATGAAGCCCACACTGATCTGCTTCTTGTCTAGATGAAGCTTGCCGAGCTGACGGAACAGATTGATGAGGGCACCTACAAATGCATTGGATAATTAAGTACCATCCAGAACTTTCGTATTGAATTTACTCACCCTTGCCGAAGGGATGCTGGAGAGATGCATGGAAGGCTATGGTCGGATACTCCGCACTTAGGATGGCCACCCATCGCTGGGTAACCCACACCGGCACCAGATCCACCTTGTTAAGGATGAAGAACAGATGCTTGTGCGGCTTCTCCTTCCGCAGGAACTCCTCAATGTACTTCGAGCGTGTGCCCATGGGATCGCGAGCATCGAGGACCTGCAGGAGAACATCTGACGCATCCACCACCTTGTGCAGCTCGTTCCAAATGCGCTTGCTCTGCCCGGCGCCGAATACCCAATCTCGCACCGCTTTCTTTTCGCCCGTGTCCTCCCGAATCAGATCCAGATCCTTGGCGGAGTCGTATTTCTCATGTTGCTCATCCGCGGCCTTGCTCAGATCCTCCAGATCCCGCACTTTAAGGCTGACTCGCTTCCGCTGCTTCTTGGGTCCAAAGGTGCTGTCAAAGCTCTCGGTATCCAGTAGATGAACCCTCTTGTATTTGGCCGCCTCGTTCAGTAGCGTCACGGGCAGCTGCGACGGCTTCATGATGACCTGATAGGGATCCTTGACAGCTTTACCAATCTCATCCTGAAACTTTTGCAGTGCCGATTGTGAGATGACACGGGAATTGCTGAACCATTTGGGCGTGGGCTCCACTCTGGCCATTGTTCCAGCCGGTAGGCGCCCCTAAAAAAATACATGAATTTAGTATATATTTAAAGAAGATTTTGGAAAGTTGAATGGAGTGATGGGGACAAATACATTGCTTTTTAGAAGCAAGGACAAAAAAAATATCAAATTTCTAAACTCAGCCAGAAAGTCAGCAAAATTGTTCACTAATATACAGGACATCGTAATTAATTTATTCAAACTTAGCGCCATGTTAGCTTTAAAGGATATTATCGATCTACACTATCGCGATAGTCGAGCTTATTTCGACTGCGGTCGAATACCGAATAATGTATCGACCTGCCAACTTTTTACTGCGTTTTGGATTATTGGAACGTATAGACTAAAGTTTGCATGTCTTGTAAAAAGGGAGAAAACGTGTTTTAAAAAAGTATATCTACAATGTCCCAGAGACCATCGACGTCGAAGCAGAAATGCTCGCCCCCAGGCGAAGCTTCGCTATCGCTGCAGATGAAGCAGAATGCTCAGAAAATGAACGATTTGGTGGAGGAGCTACAACAGGAGAACTCTGTGCGGAACCGGCTGCCGGAGCACCCCAACGCCCAGATGGAGCAGTTTAACCGGGAGCGCGAGGGCATTCTTCTGCAGCTGCAACAGGAAATGTCGAACTATGTGACTATCCAGGAGAAGTTTCAGGAGCAGGAGCAGTCTATGCAGTTAATAATCCAAGAACTGGAGTGCGAGCGCCTGGCCTTGCTAGACGAGCTAGCGGTTAACGAAGTCATGAGCGCGGACAGCATTGACGACATGAGCGACGAGCTGAATGAGCTAAATAACAAGCTGAATGGGATCTCTGAAGAAACCACATGCAGCATCTGCTTGTCCCCGTGGCAGGCTGAAGGCGGACATCGCGTGGTGTCCCTGCGTTGCGGCCATCTCTTTGGGAGCAGTTGCATCCGCAGGGCTCTGCGTCATTCGCGTCAGTGCCCGATCTGTATGAAACGGTGTCATCCTGCTGACGTGCGAAAGATCCACGGCTGCTCTGCTTTGACAAATTGAAAATTCACTCCGACAATTTAAATTATGAATCTGAATTGCATTTCGGTTGTCGTACGGTTATTTTTTATTTTTTAACCTACGAATGAAATAGAATTTCATAACTGGCAACCAAAACTCTAATTTTTAAAGTTACACATTCTTTGTAGCCAAACTTTTTGAATACAATGAGGCGTGTAACCGAATTAACTGCATTTTCATTTAAATAAACAATCTGTTTATACCTATCTATAATGTTTTAATTGTTATCAACCCCATAAAGATAAACATACATTAGTGATTTCATCCTAATGCCACCTATGGGAAGGGACTCACCTGGAAGGGGGCCGGCGTAAGGATCTTTCCAGTGCGATCTCGCTTGGCCTTGAAGTTGCGGTACATCTGCAGCCGCTTAATCGTGCCCTTGGTGCGGGGATGAGCTACTCCTTTAAGTCCCTCCTTGGAGCGCTCTGGGTTCATCGAGTGATTGGAGTGGTTAAATCCCTGCGTCCGGGGCTTGCCCGGGGTGCTGCGTACCTTCGGCATGGTGGCTTGATTGTGCCGCAAATCTTTTAAATATATTAAAATACAATTTCACGGCACTTTCAGACCAAGACACACGTGTTTTGGTTAAAATGAAAAACAAAAGAGTTTTGCGTTACACAGCACTGTTTGCCGTCGGCTTGCAGCATTGGCTAAGAACGCACTGGCAGAAAATCTCTTCCACGAGAACAGGTCACACTAAAATCAAAACAGCAAAAAAATTAGTTTAGGAACGGATTTAAAAAGTAGTTTTATTAATAAATAACCGTGAGAGTAAAACTTAAAGTGGCGACCAATTAAAAATGTGGCATTAGTAGATGTTGTTATATGACATTTCCGAGTCCGTGAGCCGTAAAAAGCTTTTCATTTTATCCACCTGGCCCCAACTGTGTGACCTGAGCTGTGCCGAGCCCCAAGAAGCTGGTTTTATATCCGTGTGCATACACATCCGCTTAGCATAATGGCCACGAGCTTCTGTTGCACTTAATAAACTTAAACAATTAATCCAAATACGCTGCATCGCTGAAAAAAGAGATAATGTGAATCACAGCATTTAAACCGAACTGTAGTTATTAGTTTGCAACCCATTCGAATAATACATTCATATTTCCCAAGCGCGACTTCGAATTGCCAGTTTTAGTGTGTTGGTGTGCGTGTGCCCGCTTGCTTGTGTGTGGCGTTTTGGAATGTTGCCCTGCACGAAATTCAAATAGTGACCATCCTTGAGTCGAGCTTTGCTTCGCTTTGCATAAAAGATCGCGATGGACGCGCACACGCTAAACGACCTGTTGGAGTGTTCCGTCTGCCTGGAGCGGCTGGACACCACCTCGAAAGTGCTTCCCTGCCAGCACACCTTCTGTCGCAAATGCTTGCAGGTGAGTGTAATGGAATGCGAATCATTTTTTCCATGAAACTAAGGCCAATTTTTCGTCGCAGGACATTGTGGCCAGCCAGCACAAGCTGCGCTGCCCGGAATGCCGCATTCTGGTCTCGGTGAGAATTGACGAGCTTCCACCGAACGTATTGCTGATGCGAATATTGGAAGGTAACGGCGCCGTCACCCACGCCAATCGCACTCTCATCTGGCACTGTAACAGCCTACGCTGGAAGTGCGACTAAGTGGCAATGGCAATTGAATTGGTTTTTACTTCGCCATGACTATAACTCTACATCCACGTCTCTCTTTTTCCCCCCTTGCATCTTTAGGCATGAAACAGTCCGCCGCCCCAGGTAAAGGCGACAGCAAGACTGAGCAGTCTGAGACGCAGCCGGAGAAGCTGAAATCGCAGACATCACCGGAGTCGAAGGCTACGCCAGGCAGTCATATCCAGATAAAGCCGCCATCTCAGCAGCAGACACAATCTCACCAGCAACAACAGCCGGCACGCCAGAAGCAGCGCCGCTTCCTACTCCCCCATGCCTATGCTCTCTTCGATTTCGCCTCCAGTGAAGCCAGCGACCTTAAGTTCAAAAAGGGGGATTTGATACTGCTCAAGCATCGCATTGACAACAATTGGTTCGTGGGCCAGGCCAACGGCCAGGAGGGCACCTTCCCCATCAACTACGTTAAGGTGGCGGTGCCGTTGCCCATGCCGCAATGCATCGCTATGTACGACTTTAAAATGGGGCCCAACGACGAGGAGGGATGCCTCGAATTCAAAAAGAGCACGGTGATCCATGTTCTGCGGCGTGTTGATCACAATTGGGCTGAAGGACGCATAGGACAGACTATAGGAATATTTCCGATAGCATTTGTCGAGCTAAACGCAGCGGCCAAGAAGCTCCTAGAAAGCGGAGTGGTAAACCATCAACCGTGTCATCCGCCGCAACAACAGGGTCAGCGTGCGCTTCCTCCGGTTCCCCTGATCGATCCCACAGTCGTTACGGAGTCCAGTTCGGGTTCCTCGAACACCAACAGCACGCCGGCCAGCAGTAACTCCAGCTCCACTTCCAGCTCAAACAATTGCAGCCCAAATCATCAAGCATCGCTGCCGAACACGCCCCAGCATATGGTGGCCTCTGGATCAGGATCGGTTCGCTTCCGCGACAAGGGAGCCAAGGAAAAGCGGCACTCGCTGAATGCCTTGCTCGGAGGAGGAGCTCCTTTAAGTCTGCTGCAGACTAATCGCCATTCGGCTGAAATCCTCAGCCTGCCGCACGAGCTTAGTCGTCAAGAGGTGGCTTCTAAGCCCACTACCGCCTCGCAGTCGTCGCGTGTGCTCAAGACTAATGTCCAGCAGCAAATGCCGCCCACTCTTCCGTGGGGCTACTTGGCCCTCTTTCCTTATAAGCCGCGGCAAGCAGACGAGCTGGAACTGAAGAAGGGATGCGTTTACATTGTGACCGAGCGGTGTGTTGACGGTTGGTTTAAGGGCAAGAACTGGCTGGATATTACCGGGGTATTCCCGGGCAACTACCTGACGCCATTGCGCACTCGCGACCAGCAGCAGCTAATGCACCAGTGGAAATATATTCCTCAGAGCACGGATGCCCAGCAGGTACACCCACAGCAGCAACCGGTCGCCCAAGATGTGCGGCTTAATAACATGCTGCCCATGCAGCCACCGGATTTACCGCCGCGTCAGCAGCAGGCTAACGCCACAAACACGAGCTGCTCATCCGTCTGGACAAAACCAGTGGAGGCACTCTTCAACAGAAAGTGTGAACCTAAACAGGAAGTTGCAGCCGCCACCGGTTCGAGCACCAGTTCCTCCGGGGCAGTGGGCCTTATGAGACGTCTAACGCATATGAAAACCCGTTCCAAATCACCAGGAGTATCGCTGCAGCAAGCACCGAAGGAAGCCAGTAGTTCTAGCGTTGAAAATACAATTAAGCCTACAGCAAAACTACATCCAGTGCACGTGAGGTAAGTGTTTGGGGGAATGTCCTATTGAATTGAATGTTATTATGCTGTTTTGTATACCTTCAGGTCCGGCTCGTGTCCCAGTCAGTTACAGCACAGTCAGCCGCTTAATGAATCCTCCACAGTGACAGCAGCTGCACCGTCTGCAGGACAACAGCAATCATTTATGCCCAAGCAGCTGCCAGCACCCACCTGCAGCACTGTTTCGTACGGATCCCAGCGCATCAAGAGTAACAAGGAGCGTCCACAGTTAATTTGGTTCGTTAATTTTGTTTTCAAGAAGCTCCAAACCCAATTAACTATTTAAATATAACGCAGCGCAAGGCAATCCCTTGATGCAGCCACCCTTCGAAGCATGTACACCAATGCGGCGTCGCCGCCACCCATATCATCCGCCCCTTCCGTGACCCCAACCATCTACTCGGCAGGCGGACAGCAGCAGACACTGACTGTAGGAGCAGGAGGTCAGTCGCAGTTGCATGCCAATATGATAATTGCACCCAGCCATCGGAAGTCGCATAGTCTGGATGCGGGCCATGTGCTGTGTCCCAACAGCAGTGTGATCACTGAGGCAGCCATCAAGGCCAGTGCCACCACCAAGTCAGCGTACTGCACGAGGGAAAGGTAGGACTTGATCGAAATATTAAGGATATTAAGCTAATTGATATTGTCCGTTTTTGTAGTCGCTTCCGATGCATTGTGCCGTATCCACCAAACAGCGACATCGAACTGGAGTTGCACGTAGGCGACATAATCTACGTTCAGCGCAAACAGAAGAACGGTTGGTACAAGGGCACGCATGCGCGCACCCATAAAACCGGACTCTTTCCCGCCTCCTTTGTCGAACCGGATCCATAGGCTGCCTTTCCGCAGGACAAAAAAGAATTTATTATGCGAAATTCCAAATTATTTGTCAAAATTGATTCAAATCGCTGGTCGATTCGGGCTTCCAATTCGCAATCTATCCTAATGTTCTTTTTCAAAAAGAATTAATTTCGTATTTTCTGTTTCCAAATGCGCACTTCGCCTATGTACTTTTTACGCGATCCTTAATCAAAATAAGCTAGTTTTTAACGTAAGTCTTAAGCCCAGGTTACTTAACACTAGCGACTAGTTGGCTAGGAAGGAAAAAATTATGAAGAAGGAACACTAACAATCTAACAGATTCTCGTTGCCCTTAGTACGAAGGGTTATTTGTAACATAACATTTTCAGCAATAAACATTTTGTACACACGCGAAAGTAGTTTGAACTTAATTTATTCCACCAAGCAAAACATCGAAGCTAATGTGGTCTACAATTGACCAAGTCGAAATTACTCGCTCTTGTCGAACTTGGATCCGTAGATGGGCACATACTGCAGGACCACCTTCCAGTCGGTGTAGTAGAGCACCGCCAGTCCAGCAGCTCCACCGAATCCAGCTCCAGATCGGATGCTACAAATTGTAAGACATTATTTTGGAGTTCTATGGGGTGATTATGCAATGTGTGATCTACGATTCGCGTACACAGGAATCTCTATGGTTCCTGGCTGTGCGATGCAAGGCAGTGTATTGATACTCACAAGGACGACGCGATTTCAGCGTGTTTCTTGCCAAAAGGTATGCGGAAGGCCATATTTTCTTCGATTAAATTACTTTTCTCCTGGACTGTAAGATTCGCAATAAATGGACAGCTCGAATGTACTAAAAAACACCACAGCAGTACGGTATCGTATAGAAATATCGATAAAATAATATAAATATTTCAATATTTTAAGGGCTTAAAAGCCAATAAAAGAAGCTGACAAAAGTCATCAAAAAATTAAAAATTGCCTTATTATTTAATAGAATTATAGAATAATAAAATTTGGAGCCAACATGTTTCCAATTTTGAACTTTTTATTATCATCATTTAAATTCACAAAATCTTAAACAAATGTTACTAAAATTAAATTAAATTTGTTTTAACTCAATAAAAACACAAACAACTTTTCGAATTAAAGGTTTTGATTTCTATAATGTCGATGTTTCATCGATGTTTTCTTAAACATCGATGTGTGCGAATACCACCTCTAGTAGAAACAACAATTTGTCATCAACAATCTTTCGGCTAAAAACTATTTACAATTTAATATATCACGATGAAGATCTCGATTTTCGGTGAATTGAACACATTTGAGCTGTTCGTACTATGCACAGTATTACCGGCTGTTTTTGTATTCCTTTGGTCACTGATTTCCGGCGACATGAAGGTTGGTCACAAAGTTCTTATCAGAATTTTATCATTTAATGGAATTTACCTATTGCTTACAGAATTTCAAGGGCAGCAAATTGGCGTACTCGGTTTTTACGGCTAAGGATCCCATTAATTGCTACCAGGACTATGTCCCGGAAAAACAAAAGGATTCTTAGCATAGAGGCTCCAAACGCCGGAAAATTTATTAAACTTGTATATAACAGTGAATCCGTGTAATGAGAGCGTCTGGATTTATAACAATAAATTACTCCGGTTCGATTTCTGCAAGGAAGAACGTTGTTATTTCAAAATTGTATCATCGGGATCGAGGGAAAGTTTTTGAAGTCAACAGAAAATTATGAGGCAAAAGTGGTTTCTTGAAGAAATTTTACAAAATAAGTCATCCGATCTTAATAGGACTTATAAAAAAATTATCAGGTTTTTAAAATTAAACAATTGGACCATCGCCATATGAATCATCTTTTTAAACACATCTGGTCACACCCACAAACTAGGTGTTTTCCTGTTAGCCTCCAACAGCCTTACTGAACGACGACGATTCAGACTTAAACTCGATTTTTGATTGTTAATTGTTAAAACGCGGTTTTCCAACGGCGCGTATAGCAGATTACGATTGCATCCTGTGCACTTTCTGGTGCCCTTCCGCACCAACAGACCGACCAGCCCGGATTTAGGCCACAGGACTTTCGATAAACAGACAAAGAAGGCAAAACTACGCAGAAGTCGAACAAAAACAATGTCGGAAACATACGGTTTGTCACTACAGAAATAACTAATTAGTGACTATCTTTAATTAATTCTGGTGCGGGGCACTTACCTAGATTACCTGTTCAAGTTTCTGATCATCGGCAGTGCTGGCAGTGGCAAGAGTTGTCTGTTGCATCACTTCATCGAGAGCAAGTGTAAGTCAGAATGCATTTTTGCCCTGCAAATCCAGGAACCCAAAATTACAAACATTGTTGACAGTCAAAGACGACAGCTCGCACACCATTGGCGTGGAATTTGGTTCCCGGATCGTGAATGTGGGTGGGAAATCGGTGAAGCTACAGATCTGGGACACGGCCGGTCAGGAGAGGTTCCGCTCGGTGACGAGATCATACTATCGAGGCGCTGCCGGAGCTCTCCTCGTCTACGATGCCACATCGAGGGACTCCTTCAATGCTCTGACAAACTGGCTGAATGATGCCCGCACCTTGGCTAGTCCAAACATTGTGATTTTGTTGGTGGGAAACAAAAAGGACCTGGAAGAGGCTCGCGATGTGACCTTCCTCGAGGCTAGCACCTTTGCCCAGGAGAACGGTTTGTTAGCTAGCTTTACGCCTACTCTCTATATTGTGTTAATCTCATGTGCCCCGCAGAGCTCATCTTCTTGGAGACCAGCGCCAAGACTGGCGAGAACGTGGAGGAGGCCTTCCTTAAGTGCTCGAAGACCATTTTGGCCAAAATTGAGACCGGGGAGCTGGATCCCGAGCGCATAGGCAGCGGCATTCAGTACGGCGGTGCAGCCCTGCGCAACTTGCAGACCCGACAGCGCAGCATCAACAAACCGGATTGCACCTGTCGCGTGTGAAGCGTGCGCTTGACGAACGTGCAAATTAATCTCTACATTATCTCAAACTCTGAATGCGTCAGCTAATCGTATTCCACCTTAGTTGTATCACCCGTACTTTTGTGTGTGTGTCGCACCATGTTTTAGGTTCGTAATTCGTTTTGCTAGATTAATCATTCCAAAATGTAAGCGCATAGTGCGTCTTCGGTTCGTTTTAACCTATGTACTCTTAACCATCTTAATTTCTTTTGATAACGGATAACTCCGATTGTTACTTACTATAATTTGTAATTCGCGAAGCACTAGGCCAGTCGGATAAGGATCGATGGGAGTGGGCGAAGTAGAATGCACTCGGCATTTTCTTACTGTAAATAAGAGGCGCTTTAAGTCGTTGACGACGTCGCCAAATGTACATCTAACGCAAAACCATGCACGCGGTAAATAAAAACGCTTAACCAATAACACAAACGTTTTAAATGGTTATCAAAAGTTTATTTACGATATTTAGCCTAGGATGCAAAAGTGATTGCTTGTTTTGAACAAGAAATCCATATTGTAGCCTAAATAAAGAACAGATTGTAGTTTCAAAAATAATTATTAATTTTGAAAAACAATTTAATATAGTAAAAATCCGAATTTTGTTTTCGTTGTAAATAGAACAAAACAATCGAATTGGAAGTCCTAAGTGATCTCTATATTTTTCAATTTTAAAATGGACTAGAGGTTTTACATATACATTTGTATATTTAACATGTTAAACCTTTTTCCAAAGCGCCTAAAAAAAATGCATTATTTGTTCAATTATATTACTGATTAACAGAAGCAATAATGTGTGTCGTGCTTTAAACTTTGTATTTAACTACGATGATCTACATTCCGCTTTTAGAAGATCATTCGGAGATCGAAATATCCTTTAAAAGCGTAATGGAGATCATCGTTGTTAAATAAGTTGAGAGAGCATTCGACATTGGCCTAGGCATCGCACTTGGCCAACTTCTGGAGCGCGTGCTTGGCAGCCGCCATCTTGGCCTGATCCCTGTTGTTGCCGAATCCATATACCTTGATGGATTTCTCCATGCAGGTGAACTGACAGCTCATCATCACTTTATCCTCGTCGACGATGGGCGAACTAAAGACAGGATTTGCTAGCTTGTGCTCGAAGAGCTGGCGGATCGGATTAACTGGCACGTTGCGCGAGAATTCCTGTATCTCTGGCTCGAAAAGATTGTATATGACTTGCCAGGTGCGTTTGAGATCGCGACAGTCTAGATAAACAGCTGCAATCAGAGCCTCCAGGACATCGCCTAGGGCCTTTGGCACATCCACATTCTGTGACATATTATATTCGCCCTTGACCGGAGTATCACCTTTTCCATGCTGTGTAAGAGCTTTCGAAGCTCCCATCATCTCGGTCATTTCAAAGTCATCGTCATCATCATAGTCCAGAGGAGAGCTCTGAATGTCACTCTCCTCGACCAGAATGCGTACGTGGTTGGTCACCCGATGTCCCTGGATCTCCTGAAAGTTCACAAAGTTGGCTATTGTCTCCGATAGCATTGCGTTCTCCGCTAGGATAAACAGGTGAAGCCTGTGCCGCACACAGATGCAGGCCAGAGTCGTATTGTTGACCAGTGCCGATCGCAGATCAGTGAGCTGGCCCGGGGTCATCTTGACATTGTTCTCGAAAATGTGTGCAGAGATAAGGAAGTCTAGAATGGCGTCTCCCACAAACTCGAGCTCCTGGTAGCAGCCGGTGACGCGATTAGTGGGATACGAAGGATGGGTAAGGGCTTGCAGCAGATATCCACGATCCCTGAATGTGTAGCCCAGATTCTCCTCCAGATGGGTGTGATTGATTAGAAAGCTATCGATCTCCGTGGTGGTAACATTAGCCCGCATCTTGTCGCCGCTCAAGCTGAGGTCCAACAGTTGGGATAGGGGTTTGCCAATGTCTGCCTTGCAAACGCCAAAGTACTCCAGCATCCGGAAGCCGTGCTGCAGGCCGTAGTTCTTCACAATCACGCCCAACAGCGCCTCCAGGGTGTCGGCCACCACCTTGTCGGCGATCTTGGTCTGACCTACGCAGAAGTTCACTTCCGCGGAGAAGTCGGCACCAGCGTAATGGCTGTTCACGTTACTCTGGCAGCTGTCGACGAAGTTGCGATAGGTGTGCTCGTCGCAGGTGCCCTTGGTGAGTGACTCCTCCTCGCTGAGCACCAAGGCGCGCAGATTGTGTGGTCCCACCAGTTCCGCCAGACCCGGTTTTTCCCGCCACAAGGCTAACACGTTGTGCGGCAGACTGACGCTGGGCGGTATCCAAGTGTATTTCGGAGTTAAAAGCGAATTGTTGATCTTCGTTGGTATGTCCGTTTCGCTGAGGCAGTAGAGCAGATTACGGTTCGAGACCAATTTGGACTTGACCTGCGTAAGGGTGCCCTCGTTCCAATTCGGATACTTGCTGGTCAGATAGAGTGTAGCGCTTAGCTTGAGGAAGGAGTCGCCTAACAGCTCCAAACGCTCCATATCGTAAACATCCGAACACCCCGCCGAGGTGAGGGCAGCCAGAAATTGTCCCTGCTCCGCTGGCGTAATGTGGTCATCGGACACGCTCTTTTGCAGGACGGAGAGGCGGCTTTCCATGCCGGGGACAACTATCGAGGTGGAGGGCATTAAAGCCGGCAGGCCATTGTTTGCCTTAGCTACCGATCTAGTACCGTAAACATTCCTTTTGACATCTTGAACTGCGTCTCCGTCCAGAACTTTTTATCCTCGAGCTCCATATCATCGATCTTCGATACATGGCCCTTCGTGAAGTTGTAATAGTAGGCCAGCTCCACGGGATAAATATTCATTATGTTCCGCGATAGATCCTTCGGCTCCATGTACTGCTGCCAGGAATTTTCAAAGTCGCCGATCGTTAGGTTTGCCATATCCGTCACAATTGACTTCGTAGGCAACGGCTCCAGCAAGGAGCGCGGCTCCTCAAAGTCTTCGTTCGGCACGGCATTGCCCAGCGGATCTACGTTCCTCTTGAGCGACCAATCGATTTCCAGGGCCTTGGGCTTGTAGTTTACTCCATTGATGGGAAGCTTGTCTAGGCCGAGATGGGCATTAAATCGCTTGCGCAGGGCCTCGGCATGAAGTAGGAAATGCAAACGCCGAAGAATACTTGGCAGGAATATAGTCTTCAGCCAGAGATCGCCGGGAAACCCAAAGTTGAAGCACAGCTCTGGTATAAGAACCACTTTGGCCTTGGCCTTACTCTGTGCCGAACTCTTTGTCCGGTTTTTGATGTAAAAGTTTAGCTGCTCCGTGATTTCCCTAACCTCGATCAGGAACTGGTCGCGGTGCACAACGTCCTCGATATGGTTGCTGTACTTGGACATCGTGAACTCGTAGTAAGTCTTGTCCTGATGGTTCTTCTCCATCAGGCTGAAGGGAGTGAGCTCCTTGTGCACCTTGGTGACCAACATGCGCTTTTCCTCGTAGTTGGCATACCACTGAGTGACGATCTTGCCCTCAAAGTCCTCGGGACGGGGAGCCGGCTGCTGCTTGCGCTGCTGCACACTGACCTTCTCCGGCTGGGGCAATTTTTGGAACTTTATGACCAATGGCCAATCTATGCCTTTACCTTGACCATCGCTCAGCACAGAAAGGGGAACAACCAGATAGGAATTCTCCTTGCTGCGTCGGTCCAGCACGAAGTACGGATGCCAGATCCTTAGTATATCGCGAAACAGCATGCCGTGGAACTGATGCAGCAACTCCAGCTGTTTCTCATTCTGGATGACAACCTTTAGTGGAGTCTCCGCCACACGGACACACACTTCGCCCTGGTGACTGAACAGCGGCATCTCCGCCAGACGGGGAAGTTTATTGCGCAACAAAAGGGCAAAGTTGCACGACGTCTGGAGATTTAGATACATATGTTCCGTGTAATCGTTTTGTTCAAAACGCGGCTGCAGTAAGATCTCGTAGGCGTAGCACACTTCACCAACGCGGGGGCGGGCGTCGAGAAACTCCGCCGGACAGTCGGTCTTGTAGGTTTGTATCTTTGTCGCCTCCCTGCGGACCACCGTAGTCACTGAATGGAACATGGAGTAACTCCAATGACTAATTTTCTATTCAGCACTGATTAGAGACTCACCATCGTCACCGTACTTCTTCCAGTGCTCAAAGTGGATGTCAGCAATGGCCGTTATTCGCTCTTTCAGCGTAAAGGGAAGGAATCGCTCGTTGAGTTCTCCCATAAGATAGAGTTGCTTGCAGACCTTAAAAGCAGCCGAAATTTTGGCGGACTTCACGCAGTCCATGGGATCGCTCTGACAAAATAAAACTAGCTTAGGAACTTCAAATATCTTCAACTCTTTAGCTTTAGCTTACATAAATCGTTTCCTTAAGTCTGGAAGTTAGCGGCATAGTGATGGAAACCACGGGCTTTCGAGCCGCAGAATTACCAAATTTCTCTTGCCTCTCACGGTCCTCAAGCAAATTGATCCACGGAACCACAAAGCCAAAGGCATCCGACGGCAGACTTTGACAATACCGATGGAGCAGGATGAGGGCGTTGCTGGGCAAAAGAAGGGCGCCATGTTCGTTCTTGTACGGCGGTATTATGTCCCGGAAGTGTTCGGTAATCTCGTCTAGTTGTGGTTCAGCTCGGTCCAAAACTCGCTCTTTCAGATACTCGGCAATTTCGGCATGAGCTTCGCGATACTGGCCAATTTGCTGTGAGATCTTGGCTGTCTCCACTTCCGACGCGAACATTATGAACTGGGCATTCTTGGAGCGAGCTCGTCCCTTCGTTTGCACGTACATGTTGAAAGTCTTGAGAGCATCCAAGATGAGCACATAGTTGCATTCTTGAACATCGATGCCCTCTTCCAGTACGCTGGAGCAGACCATTAGGTTGGCTTCGCCATCCCGGAACTGCTGAATGGCCTGCGACGGGTAATAGAATCGAAATAATAAATGTTATGTTAGGCCCTTGGCAACACCTACCGATTTTTGCCACTTGCGCTCCAGGACGCTATCAAAATCCTGGGAGATGGAGTTTCGGCCTACCATAAACTGCGGAACCAGCACGTCGCGCAGCTCCGGCGTATTTTTGATGAAGGCCAGCAACATGCCGAGAATGCACTTGCAGGAGTATCGGCGTTCAACAAAGACCAGACAGCAGATATCATTTGGCTGCTTACCGGCGAAAGTCGTCTTGAGGTATTGCAGGAATCTCTGTACTTTCGGGGTGGAGAAGTTCATGATAACATCCTCCGTGTTCACCAAGCCGTCCTCATTCACCATGTCTTGGAGTTTAAAATCCAACAGGTGACGGATATGTTCGCACAACTGGATGGCCCCTCTGTACATAGATTTTAGGGCGATAGTCTCCGCCTGGCGCTTTTTTATTTCAAACTCGACAATCAGCGAGACAATGGCTATGGAGGCGGGGTATATGCCATACTCCTTCATCTGGAACTTGAAGTCGTTGAACAATAACTTGACAGCACCCTTCTTGTGCGGATCGCGCTGCGCCTGCAATCCTTTCGACATGCGCACTGGCTGCTTGCCAATGGTCATTGTGTCTAAGCATCGAGAGAACCTGTCAATACTGTCATTAATTTTGTTCACAACCTCAAAGGTGTGGTTGTGGGATGGAAACCTCAGCAGGTACTCCTTGGGCTTGGTGGAGTGACTACAAAGCAATAGAGTAAAATTGGTGAGGCATCCTATTAACGAGTTCAATGTCCTTACAGCATCACGTTCTCCATTTCCTTTGAGTCGGACACGGTGATGATTTTTCCGCGAAATGTCGTCTCTAGCTCCTGGAGCTTCTTCGCCACCTGCTTGATTTCATTTCCCTTGATAAGGACTCCCGTGAGGCCCACTACGCGTGGCAGCTTCTGGCTTTGGCCAACGAACAGGAACAGGCGCATGAACTCGCGGTATGGATGATGGCCAGTACCGTGGTGACATTCGTCTATTATTACAATGCTTACGGACCCAAGTTCCAAGTAGCGCTGAGCGAACATGTCCAGAATCACTTGGGCGGTGCCCACCAGAACCTAATACAGAAACATATAACATGTGTATTTTATGGGATTTTGAATATTTGGGGTTATGTTCCAGAGGGAAAGGTTTATAAGTAGGTTCTCAGACATTGTTGACTAAATTTGGGATTATCTCTGTTTCTCAAATAGATTTATCCCAATGGTATGAATTATTCCACCAATAAATATTGCACAGGACTCCAAAGATAAAAAATATGAATATTGTTTGGACTATGAAAATATGAGAAATGTGAGTGGACGGCTCATAACTTATTGAAATCCAATTCCCAGTGCGGTCGTAAAATTGCTGATCCTATTTCCCCTCAAGCATTCTCAGTCAACACCGCATATGTGTATATATAAATTGTTCCAGTATGTGTGTACTTTTATTTATTCCAAACGTGCCGATGTGCAACTGCGACACGTCATCGTTTCCCCCATCTCCTTTCTTGTTCACTAGGCAGTACTCACTTGCTTATCGTGAATTTCTTCCTGCCATTTGCCTCGGGGCCAATCGTCTACGCCCTGCTCACCCACATAGAATCCGACCTTGAAGTTGGTGTGGCGCTTTAGTGCCACCGCCTGCTGGCGGGCCAGCTCCACGGTGTTGCACATAAAGAGTGCCCGCTTGCCGCCATCTTCGATGGTTCTGATGAAATTGCAAAGGTAAACAATCCAGCAAAGGAATGTTTATTAAAGTCCAAATTAATTTCTGATGAGAATCACTCACTTGTCCATGTCCTGGGAGAAGCGCTTGAGTGCCAGGATGGCCACATAGGTCTTGCCGGATCCGGTGGGCAAGTAGATGATGCCATTATGCTTGGTTAAGTAGTCCACCAGACGCAATTGATAGTCGCGAGGCTGCGGTTTATCAAAATGATCACAAATAAATATAAATCCAATACGTAGTAAAGGGACGACATAGACGCACTCACCTTTATTTCTATGGCCTGCATGTTGTTTCCGCTGTCGCCCATGATGAACCTCTAGTCCAATATACTAACTTTTTCGACTACAGAAAGAAGAAATTGAAAAATATAATCTTTCACTTAGGCACGGAAGATTTTTCATTTGTGCTTATTGCTGAATGAGTGTTTTCTTAAACTCACTCCGAAGACGACGCTTCGCCAATTATTGCTGACGTGTCCCACCAGGCCGCTCACAGCTTGCTGGGTTGCTGAATGTAGCTTTAACACAAAATCGGGGATTCACCAGTTTTTTAATAGACAAGTTACATGAGATTAACAACCACCTGTGCTCCCGACTTATTTCACTTGGAAGCTTGTAAGCACGTTATTCAATGAGCCCGGCTCATCTATGTATTACATTCAATCAAAAACTGTTCTTTTAAATGAGAAAGAGCGCTACAAACACTTTAAAAGCTAAACAAAAGTTGAAATCAAATATAAACTTAACAAAGAACACACCGAACAGCCGGCCGTGAAGTTTTACCAGTGTGACCAGCGTAATGCTGTAATGCACGCACCAAGTGTATAATTTGAAGCACCGACTGGGCACACTGTAAAGGGCGGGAAAAGCTTCGTTGGTTTGATTTTCGATTCTTATCAATGATTTTGTCCAAAGAAATTTGTTAAACAAGGTATTCCAAATTAATTAGGTTATTTTAAATGTATGCTGAGCATATAGACATGCTCTTTGATTTACTATATATTTATATTTAAATTTTACTTTATTGATCAGGATTGTCACATCTTACACATAACAATTTCCTATTGGCTTAAAAAGAGAACATGAAAAATAGTGTCATATAAAAAAGTATCACGTCGTGTTGTTCTTCTCCACCTTGCCGCCGGAGAGCATGTGCTGGATCTCAATTATCGTCTTGCCCTTGGTCTCCGGCACAAAGAACAACGAGTAGAAGAAGGAGAGCACAGCGATCACAGTGAATATCCAGAAGGTAGGCCCTGCGTGTATCGCTTCCTTGAGGATCGGGAAGAGCAGCGTCACCATGAAGGCCGACAGCCAGTTGCTGGTGCCGGCAATCGATCCAGCCACACTCTTTACATCCTCCGAGAAGAGCTCGGCATTGACCAGCCACGGCACAGGTCCAAATCCGATCGAGAAGAACACGATGAAGAGGCAAATGCTGGAGATGGGCAGCCACCCAAAGTTGTCCATTGAACCCGGATTGCTCTCCTTTAGCTGGAAGTATACGCCCATCGCAGCAGTGGTAATGGCCATCAGGAGGCCGGAGATCAGGAGCAAAATCCTTCGGCCAGCCTTGTCGATAATAAGAACTCCAATAAGCGTGCTGACAACCTGGGTGACTCCGATAATAAGCGTGGCTTCAGTGCCGGTAATACCAGAACCTGTATCCTCGAATATGGAGGTGGAATAGAACAGAACGGCGTTGATTCCTGTCCACTGTTGAAACACCTGCAGCAGCACAGCAATGCCGAGACCCTTCAAGACAATAGGGCGACGCAGAGCCACTAGGATATTGGTCTGCAATTTAGAAAAAAAAAGTTGTAAGGACCCTTTACATTTTCGAAAAAATGTTATTTCTGTATTTGTAATTATCCTGAATTTATATATAAAAACAGAGTCATCAAATAATATTTTTAAATAACAGAAAATATAAATAACTTTCAAATAGTGTCATAAAAGAGCTATAAACTATTTATAAATATTTTTATTTGAATAAGAGTCGGGAAAAATTAAGACGGATTTTAAAATGTAATATTTTCTTTAGTTTCAGTCCCTGATTGTCTGAAATTCAGATTCTGAATCTTGAAAATAAATATTTAAGTACTTACCTTGGGCAGGTCATTCTGCCTTTGGGTCTCCTCCATGATCTCCTTGAACTCGTCATCGATATTGGCATTCTTGCCTCGGAGCCACTGCAGGGCAGCGGCAGCATCCTCATTTCGTCCCTTGATTGCCAAGTAAACCGGCGACTCCGGCATAAAGAAGTGCACGATGGCAAAGATCAGGGGCAGGATGGCGCACAGGATGTTGATGAGATCAAGGGACAGGTAGGCTCCCACCAAATAACCATACAACACACCCGACACGATCAGCAGCTGGAAGAAGGCGCCGATGGTGCCTCTCACCGCCGTCTGGCTGATTTCCGTACAATACATGGGTGCCGTCACACAAAAAGCCCCTCCACACATGCCCAGGATGAAGCGTCCGCAGTACAGCATGGCCACGTTATTTGCCCAGATCATCAGGACCCAGCCAACCATATAGGGCGGGATCAATGCCAACATGGTAGGTCTGCGTCCAATCCAGTCGATGGAAAAGCCAATGGGTATGCAGATCACTGTGGCACCCAGTGTCAGCAGCGAGGATATCCAACCAAACTGACTGGTCGTGATGGGGAAGCCGTAGTCGTAGCTCTTCGTAATCATCGCCTCCACGGGCGAGGACCAACCGATGCTGGCGCCCATGCAAAGGGCGCCAAAGCTAGCCGACAGCCCAGCAATATATTGAGGCAGTACCGATCCCTTGGACATGATTGATGCTCTTTCCTCGATCGTTGCAAGTGAACTGAATTCGCCACACGACCGTTATTTGGCTGGAAAAATAGCTTTCCATGCGATAACTAAAGCGCCGCAGTCGACAGCGACGTAAACTGCGAACCACTGCAAGTTATAGTCGTAAATCAGTGGCTAGCAGTTAGTACTACTCTTGATCGGCGCAGGAAGAGGGGGAGGAGAATGTGGAGTGGGTGGAGGCACAGCGTCATTGAAAGCCCCGAAAATCAGTTGAAAGCCGAGGCAGCTAATTAAACGTCTGCCGATACGTTTGTCCCGGTTCCACAAACAACACACGTCGTTATAAGAGCAATCAAGTGTTCCTATATAGCAATTCCCCGATTATGCCCTGCGGGAGAGTATCCCCACTAGCCCTACCAACTGGATAGGTTGGGTTGAGTAGGTGGATTTTGTTTTGGGATTCCCCTACAATTTAAATACTTCCTTCATTATTTTACCTATTGTGGGAGTTAAATCTTAAAACATATGAATTTTATTAATTACTGGGAATTGGAATCTTAGGAATTCTTTTGTATTGAAATAAATTGTACAATTGTATAGAATTTATTTATAAATTGCTGAAACTCTAAATGAAACGTTGGCTATTAGCAAACTCTTTTCAAGTTTAAAATATTACGAATAAAGATTTTAATTATATTATAACATATTTTCTTTAATTAAAGATTGCAAAATTTTTAAGTTCCATACTATTATCCAAAAAAATTTACCCCGAACATTATGCAATTTTTTTTTTAATATTCGATCAAAATTTCGATAATTTTGTTAATAAGGTATTCGACTTGAACTTTATTTCCTCATTTTTATTAGTTAGAACATTTTTGAGCAACTAAACGAAATCAATATTATACAACATTTAATAATGCAGCTTAATTTGTGTGAATTAGTTAGTGAATTCTGTATCGTATTCACTTTTAGGTGCTAAAATCCGAGTTAAAGTGACATTTTCTTTGAACATCCATCAAATCATTTGATTATACTCTATATCAGGTATATTGCCGATTTAATATGAAAGCCAAGCTATCCATAATGATATTACATTAAAAAGTTTTTTTTTATCTAAGTATTATTCTAAAAAATCTAATCTGCGACTAGAAAACAACTTAAAATATAATTTTACAAAGAGCTTCTTAAGCTGCAAAAAGTAGTGTAGTTTGTCTTCGGCCTAATCAGACTTTATTTCCGGTATGTTGTGATTTACGAGTGAACAATTGGTTCTGGGCTGGCGTGTGAAAATTAGATAATGAGAGACCCTACGACGGAACAAAATAATTGAATGGGGGTAAATCGGACGGAGTTCATCTAATCTCTCTGAAAACAAACATAGCTGTGAGCATCACGCTTAAAACACATGTAAAGGAGGTTGAGATTGGGTCGGACTCCTAGAACTGTGACAAAATCGCCGCATAACCGGGCCCACTCGAGAACCAACGGTCACTTGGCGGTCAAGCAGGCTATCGGCAGTGGCGGACTCTCCCGATAACCGGGGATGGAGAGCGGGCTCGGCCAAAGCAGATAAGCGATTACCGCGATTGATATTATTTGACTGAATAGCCCAGTGTGAAGTTGTCCCAAGGGGTCTCCTTGTGGCCCAATAAACATGTAATAAGCCTTATCGAGGCAAAGCCACCCTCCACCCACCGGTGCGGGTACTTGGACTGCAGTTGTTTTCGAGCGATATCGGAGATTCGAAATGCATTTCGAGTATCGCTCGGAGCAGCCGCATCACAGGTATTTCCTGATGATTTACACTGGTAAACACTTATCGTATCCTCGATTCGAGTGTTTTTCGGTTAACAATACAACACAAGTTTTTATTACGTCGCATAGAAATACAAAGCGGTTGGGTTAGTCACTCCCGATTTTGGAGCACCGGGAGAGGTATTCGTTTGTTTGATTGCCCCCGGTTATATAACAGGGATTTACTCCAGGTTGGGATATGGATCATGATATCTAATTCTTGCGCTCCGCCTCCTCCATGGCCTTCAACATTTTGGCGTCGTGTTGGGCATGGTGTTCCCGGATCGCACGCTGCAGCTCCTCGTGGTGGCTTTTGCTTTCTGGTGGATACAGTTCACGCTTCTTTTTGGTCACCCATTCCTCGAAATACTCGGGCTGGTTGAAGATGTGGAAAAGCGTCACGGGAAAGGCCATGTACATGCCCATCTTCGCCACCTCTAGCACCCAGGTTCCCATTTCGTTTTGTTTAGTCACTGGTTTTGTTTGAAAATCAAAAGAAATTGTTCAATTTCGGCAAATAATTTGTGTTTTTCGGCAAACTATCAACAAAAGTCAGCTGTTTAAAACTGTGTTGACAAGCGGCACCTGGACAGCATATTTAGTGTTGGAAAACTTGAGATTTTGATTGGGACAAATGTACAAAAAACGTTATTGGGACAATATTTAAAAAAGTTTTTTTTTTAGTTTTCGAATTTACACAATTTTTAAAAATCCTGATTCTGTATTTCTTTAACATTTGAAACAATTATAATTGCCTTGCCTTATCACAGTATTGATACATAAACTTCTGATGTTTAATTAAAAATCTTAAGAAGCTTACATATACGTTTGCTTTCTTGTATAATCCTTCAGCTGGCATCCAAATAGCACAATGAGGTATATTTCCCCACTACAAACTGCTAAATGCTATCTCAAGTACTTGTAAACACATTATTCAACCATCTAATCAGTACGGAAACTCTCACTTACCCCCAACGTTGCCTTAACACTCTTAATCTTTACATAAAGAACACCACTTACTTTCCGATTATATATAATTATATATGTTGTTTTATAGTTTTTTTGAAGCATGCATTTGTAATGTTAGGTCTTAGGCTAAAATTTTAGGACGCGGCCAAGTTAAAACGAGAGAACGTATCATACCGAAAATATGTGATTTTTTTTTCCTTGTTTAACGGAAGCAATCTTTTTCTTAAACATTTTGATGAGAGATGATTTTTTAAAACCGTACAACGGTTTTAACGTTATTTTATGCATATATCTTAGGAGTGCGATTAGCTTGACTTAAAGCTAGAGGGCCGTTTCGCCCGGATACTCCGCGGGAGAAGTAATTAGCAGCTTTTTGGTGCGCGAATGATGCTCTTGGAGGTTCTTCATGTTCTCCTTGTTGTCCGACTCATCATCGTCGTCATTTGGAATAAGGACAGACTTCAAGGGTTCGCCTGCCGACCGTTTTCGCCCGTTGCTGTTGGTAAATGGCGATGCCAACGTGGGCTCGTTTCCGTCAAGGCAGTACAGCAGGCTGGGACTCAGATCAGATTCGTCTAAGTCATCGATGTCCTGTGTGGTGCTGGCTCCATCAAAGTCATCTGAGCGACTGGCAAACGACAAGTCCGCCGGGCTGGCTGTCAGCACGCTTCGTGTGAGCAAGTATTCTCTACGGAACAACCATGGAAACAAGTAAGAACCATATTCGGTTAAATTCTATTTAGCATTGTCGTAACTCACTTAAAATCACTGGATAGGGCATTTAAGGGCTTGGATTCTTCGTTGCTGTTGCTGCTGCTGGTCGTCCGCTGGCGTGAGTTAAGAAGGGCAAAGCTATGCTGGTGCCTCAAAATCTCCGCATAACCGCCCAGGGATGTGGCATCCTCGCTGTGCAGCGAGGGCGGATCTCGTTGCTTGGTGGGCGTACTAACAATCGAGTCCTGTTCCTCCTGCTCGGAAAGGCTCAAGTTAAGCTGCTTCTCGCCATTGCCAGCCAAGGCTGTAAGCAGCATCACGGGCTTCCTCGAGCGCGGCGTCATTATAGATTCCTAAAAAGACCAGAATATATTAAATAGGATCATAAGATTATAGACTAAAATCTCAAGATGTTAATTGACTCTTTAGCAAGCAATTTGGACATTAGAAAGAAATCGTTCCAAAATTAACGCTTTCGTGAGTTTTAGTGTAAAATAAAATACTTTCTATCAGGTATTCTACCATTATTTTAATTAAAGAACCTAGTTTTTATCGCACCTGCATCGCCTTGGGCATGCGTTGAGTCGATTTTGTAATAGGCGACATAGAACGCCGTCCCATGTGGAGAGCTGGTGTGCTCGTTATGAGATCCATGTTCCGGTATACGCTGCTCTGCAGGATCTGCTGATACCCCAGGTTCAAAGCAGGCAGTTCATTCGAATTGTTCTCCGACAGCGTATCATCGTCATCCTCATCTGCTTGGTGTGCCGCTTCCTCCTCATCGCTGTCATCCACATCCTCAAGCAGTGGCGCGTGCTTAGCCTCCTCGCCACTAGGACGCCTTCGTAGGGTGGCAGAAACACTTCGGACCAAACGCTTCGTTGTCTCCGGCGTGCTGAATGGGAATCTGAGATTGCCCATGCTGACGCCCTTCATTAGTTTCCGCGTAATCGATCGGCCAACGTGGCTGCTGGTTGCAGCCGCTGTACTGGCTCCCTCGACAATGGGAGTGAGTGGTCCGTCGTCGTCCTCGTGATCCCCGCCGCCATGCACCTGTGGCAGTATACTCGAGAGATTAGGCTCTGATTTATAGCGCGCGGATTGCTGCACCGGCGTGGAAGGATTCGAGTACTCTTCGACCTCTAGCAGACGGTGCTCGTCCCAGACCACGCTCTTTTTGTCCATTAGCTGCCTGGCAGCTGCTGACATGATTTTCAGTGGCGTCACACAGCAATCAGCATCGATTTCGTCCGCATCCTGACCGGGAACAGTAGCTCCTCCGACCGCTCCGTGCGGCAGCTCTTTCGACTGCTGGCGACTCACTGGAGCCGAGATGCTGCTGCCGGGCGCACAGGTGGAGCTGCTGTCCGAGGACGACGACTCGATCTTGAGGGAGGCGGATGAGATAGATTTTTGAAGCGGATGCCTGGGGTTAGTGGCAAGCGTGACGCTGGTAATGGTAGATGATGAGGGTGTGGGTGGCGTGGGGCTCTGAAAGAGTACCCTCAGCTTAGGTTGCTTCACATGCGACAGGTTGGGCGTCTATGTAACGATAGAATAGATGAGAAGACATGCGGTTAGTTACCAAACACAGACATCCATGCTACTAAAGCCAAGCTCACCTCGGTAACACCGGCTAGGTGGAAACTTGGGGGCGGCACCCTCTTCGGAGTGCGCGACATGAGGCTCTTGTGAAAAATGTGCTTCTTTATTGAATCGCCCAGAGACTTGGCACTTCGTGTTGCCTCATTGTTCTTCAGACGATTCATTACCACCAACTGCAAGGGTGTGCCTAAAAAATGCAAGTATTTAGAACCATTCTCCAAAAATACAAGCTCTTCATACCCTGTCCGTTCTGTTTGTTAAATTGCTTGATTAATCTCCTCTTCTTGGACGACTCCGGCATGCTCTGGATGTGCGCGTATAGTTGCGCCAGTTCCGTGTCCGTGTTATTTGTGTTGGTGGCCGCTGCGGTCGCGGCGCGATCTACAAAAGTGTACACCGTGTTGACCGTCGAGACGTCCGAGATGGACTCATCGAGCGTTTGTTCCGGCGACATGGTTTTCTTGCGTTTGCGTTCAAGAAAGTACGCCCGGATGTCGGTAGACAGCTTCCCGGGCACTTCAAAGATGTCCACGCCGCGGACAATCATGTACGACACTATGCTAGACATTTTCTTGGCCTGGTAGTGCAGGACCTCTGGCGGCAACTGCCGGGGGCATATCAAGTGCGGCGTGAACAAGGTGGCCAAGTTCTCGGCGCTCATCTTGTTGCTTTTCTCGTGCTGCGCCACCGCATGCAGCATTTCGATTATGTGCCGCAGGAGATCGCGATGTTCTTCAGGCAGGAGCAGTAACAGCAGTTGTACTGAGTTAAGCAGGTGCTGCTGACGCTCGCCAGTGGCCGCCACCTGCCCACTAAGGGCCTGGCAGAGAGGTGCAATCTGTAGATGAGCTGGATAGTGGGCATCGGTAAGCAAAGGTTCTGGCAGCTCAGCCAGGAAACTCTTAAAAACGGTAGCGCAGTCGTGGGCGGAAAAGCCAGCCAGCTGAAGGTCAAGTGGCTTGTCGTGCTGAATGTGCAATCGTAGTTCATTTTGTCGGGTCACGGCCCTGTTTTGCGAAACAGGCCCTCCTGTGTGAGATCTGTCAGGGAAGCATAATAAATTTAACAATTTTCAAGGTCTTTAATGTAAAACCCACTCTTTTCCAGCATGAGGAACTCCTTGAGCTCCTGCAGATGCATCAGGAAGCCTGGATCAATTTGCTGCTGTAGCGTTTCTGTGGGACTATTGCCCACAGATTTACTGCCTGAGCCTTGAGCACAAGCGGTGGCAGCTCCTCCTCCATGCCCCAGGCGATGTTTCTTGGACAGACGATTCCACTTTTTCAGTTTGCCCTTTTCCTCGTAAACAATCTCGTGGCAGGGGAGATCAAACCTGCAGGTGAGTGATTAGTTATTCGCTCTCCACCCAAGGTCAATCCACTTACTCATCCGTGTTAAGTTCCAATTCAAAGGAGAGGTGCATGCGCACCAAGGATTTGTACTTCTCATAGTTGCATCGACGCATGCGCGCGGCCAAATCCCGGTCCCTAGGATCAGTTAGGCTCGCATGGTCCGTGTCCATTGTGGATTTCTCTTAATCGAGTCAACACTGCACAACAACAATGACCAGGGACAGCGGAAACGCAAAAACAACAACAACGGAGAGTCGTAGCAAGGACGACCAGTTTGTTCACAAATCCCAAAGGTTGCTTCTCTCAAATTCCGTCCGTCGTGTTTCCCGTTTTAGGAGCGTTGTTTAATTGCCGATCATTTGTCGCTCGAGCACATATTTTCTTTTTTAACCCGAATTTTAACTGCTGAAAATTGAACGAGACGCTACCGAACAGTGTGACCGCGGCTATAGCGCCAAATTATTACCATTTCAGGAGATCTGGTAGCTCGCTAAAACAAGTAGTTTTCTTAAGTATCAATGTGATTAAAGATATTTCCCACGTGCAAAGGCAATATGTACAAATCTCGCATGGCCCCATATAAAGAATTTTCCACACATAGGCACCTGTAAAATGGTGGAAAATTTTTTAGGCGTTGCCAGACTATTCGGAGACCAAATTGTATGCGCGCTTCCCAACACCATAATGTAGGCAAATATTTACCAACACCAAATAAATAATTGCACATTTCGCCAATTGTTTGATCGCTTTTTAAACTATTACTGTATTAAAATGGTGCTGATAATGCCCGTTTCGCCACCAGAGTACGGCCTTATGTACACGGCCAACAACATCAAACTTAAACTCGGCGACAAAGTCGTCGGCGAGGGCACCATTTACATAGCCCAAAAGTAAGCTTTTTTCGCACAAAGCCGGCACCGTTTTTTGTTCATGCTAAAACATCCCCGGTTTTTTAGCACGCTCTCCTGGCAGCCAAGCGATCTGGCCGAGGGCATTTCCATCGAGTGGAAGCAGGTCAGTCTTCACGGGATCTCCTCAAACCCACGGAAATGCATATACTTCATGCTGGACCACAAGGTGGAGTGGAGCGGCGTCTACGGCGATCCGCCGCAGCCGGCGGTTAATGGCCAGAACGGAGCTGGAGCTGGAGTCGGTAATGACGCCGAGGTGGATGAGGGCAATGGCAGCGACGAGCACGACGAGGAGGACAATTTCGAGGACGCCGTTGACGAGCAGCTTGAGGAGGTGACAGAGTGCTGGCTGCTGCCGGACGACATTCACACGGTGGACACCATGTATAGCGCCATGACCACTTGTCAGGCGCTGCATCCAGACTCGGCGGACAGCGACTCGGAGGACAGTGACCCCATGGAGGATGCCGGCGGTATGGACGACGAGGATATGGAGCAGGATGCCCTCACACTGGGCCGCAACGGTGGCGAGGTGGGCGGCATGCAGAACCTCAGCCTGGACGACGACGACGAGCGATTCGAGGACGCCGATGAGTGAAGCCACCATCACCACTACCACCTACTTATTAACGGAAACTTTTATACCAGCTTAAGTCTACGAATTGTGAAGATACATATGTATTTGATTAGCTTTTGGAATACTATATAAAAACGCTGTAAGCGCGCTTAAAAACTGAAGGCTAAGGACCGCTTTTGGCGTTTTCCTTGTTCCGTGTAATTTCCGCTTCCAAAGCTTGTTCGCTGATCGGCTGCGACAACTGTAGACAAGATAGAGTTATTAAAGGTCTCTTGAAACAGTAAATTGACCTACAGCCTGGGCCACATCTGCCATGACGAGCGCCTGTCGGAAGGCATCGCCATTGGATGGCACTTTGTCGTAGTTCCAGTAGGTAAACTCTTCAAAAACGCCAGTGAGACGTAGTTGCCGGTCTGAGGACTCGCTGAGGGGCTTGTCGGTTTCCTGGAGCACCAGTCCCTGGAATCCTTCGGGCACTTTTAGTCGTTCGCCTACCAGTGGATAACCACGCAAAGCGTTTGTAAGAATTCCAGTACCATACTCGGAAGCTTCCCTCGTGTAGTTGTTGAAGTATTCCTGCACATTAGCTTCGCCATCGCCGTCCACCTTGGCCGGCAAGTAGTGCAGCTCCAACGACTTGCCTTTGGCCAAGTTCTTTCCATTGAAATCGAGCGTAATCGACATTTTTTTATATCAGGAAAAAAAACAAGTTATTTACGCGCCGTTTTAGCACTAAAATAACAATGAAAATACCAAAAATAAAAAAGGAAATCCTATGCATTTAAAGTTTTCTACAAAACGGTCACACCGTTAAACTGGTGGATATCGAAATATCGCATGCTGTTGCCAGACTTTGCACAGCAAGGACCGCGCATGCAGAATTATTTTTAGTGGCAACGCCAAACCTATTCGATTTATATCGACTTTTCTTGACAACTGATGATATCGGCTTATCGAATGCCAAATCGAATCCAACCGCCGAAAAAAGCAGAAGCGACGCGCAACGCGCATAATTTCGAATGCAAACTGACGCGCAGCCCGCAAGTGATAAATAAACAAGAGTGCTAGTACAGTAACAGTAAGTCCGGTAGTTTAGTGCGCACAACAACAATTCGCATTTGCATTGGCAGAAGCAGCAGCAAAAACAACAAAAATGGACGAGTTTACTCAGGTACGAAGGCTGCGCACACACAATGAAGCCCTTTGTCTGCGGTGCACAAGTGTTGGTAATTGCATCCATTTATCTCCATTTCCATGGGAATTTCCGTTTTCTAGCTCATGCTCGAGAAGGCAGAACAGCGCAGTCGCGCCCTCGGCATCAGCAATGCCAGCAAATTCCCCCTCTCCGAGTGCAGCGTTCCGAAGTCGGACGCCGCCGTGGTGGCCTCTAGAAGCCACTCTCCGGGTGTGCAGAGTAGCGCCAGTGGCAGTGGCAAGGTCGTGGTGCTAGAGAAGGCTACTCTGGAAGCGTCGCCCTCCAAGCCGCTGCGTCACTATGCGGCGGTAAAAGACAAGGAGAATATGGAGATGGGCATTGAGATAAACATAACCACAGACAAACCAATTGGGGTAAGTTTTGCTCACCCACCCCCTGTCCCGTTTCGCACTCTTTTGCTTATCTCCTGTGTGCTGGGATTCGGTTCCTCCAGGTGCAAGTTGAGATCCAAGAGCAGGAGGTGACCGACGACGACGATGAGGCGGATGCTCCCAGTCCCGCCTTGGAGCCAGTGAACCAGCCACTGGCGAGACTTAGGGACACTTCCCGTAGCAGACTGCAGCGCATGGGCGCTTTGTATTCAAATACCGACGACCTTTCATCGCCCATCCACCGCACCGAGGGGCAGTTCCATGCGGGCGACGATGACGATATGACCAGCCGTTGTAGTAGACAACCGAAACAGAAATTTGGGAAACTAGCAGCATTGGCAGACACTATTAACCAGTGGGAAGACGACACGGCGCACCACGATGTACACAGACCCATTGAGGCGCCACCACCAAAACCGGATTTGCCCAGTCGACGGGCGGAGAAGGGGCCTGCCCCGCAACCGCCACGAAAGGACGAAGTCGACGAGGGCGCCCGGACTAAGCAGCTAAAGTGGGATCCAAAGGTACTGAGCTCTCTGGAGGCCCAAGGTTTTCAGCGCCGCGAGTCGTCGACCATTAAACACACATATGATTATGCCAAACAGGGAGAGCCGGCGCCATCGGTCAAGCCACCAATACCGGAGAAATCGACAACCGTCAGCCAGGTGGCTAAAACCTTTGGATCCTCTGCTCCTCAGCCGGTTAAGCCTGTATCAGCATCTGTGCCTGCGGTTAGCGTGAAGTCCGGTTTGGTTTCCGGTCGAGCAGCTATTTTCGAGAATAAAGCAGGTGCCGGTGGACAGTTGCAAGGCAGCCAGCGTAACCAGAAGGACCCTTGCGAGTTGTCGCTGAAGGAGCGCATGAAGCTCTTCGAAACGGGGAACAATAAGGCCATGCTGCCCAAGGCGCCCATTGGAACTGCTCCCAGTATTAGCCAGATTAGGCCCGAAGAGGCCAAACGTAAGTATTTTGAGGATTTGATGCTCGAGTTTTACATTCATTGATCTAATTCAACAATAGCCCATGTGGCGGCAGTACATCCGGTGACTGCTGCGGCTGCTACCACGGTAACTGCTGTTGCGCCTAAGCCGAAGCCGGAGAACAAGCTGCGCGACAAGGTGGCCGCGCTGGTGGCTAATGCGCAATCCAGCGCTGAGAACCGGGTCAAGGAAATCGATCGGCAGAGACAAGAGGATATGCAGATTATTTCGAATCGTTTCAACAAGCAAAAGGAGCTCTTCGACATCCAGCCATCGGCCAGTATTGTGCCGACGCCGGTTCCAGCACCTGCCCCAGCCCCAAGTAGATTGGTGCGTCCTATGCCGCCGCCTCCTCCACCGCCCATCGCAGGACTTTCACCCGTTTCGTCCAGCAGCAAGAGGCGTTCACGTAAGCGAAAACGATTAAGCCAGGGAAATTCGAAAAGCTTAAGCTGGTATTCCCGTAATTTCAGCTGGTGATGCGCCCATCACTGACGAGGACTCCAAGCGAGCCCGCAAATCTCATACCGATCGCCTATATCCAGCTCTGTCCGACCTCGATTCCAGCGGAGACAACTGCTGTGCCACGGAAACGGCCTCCGCCACCGATGACAGTCATCATCTGGACGAGGAGGAAACGGAAAGGTGCGCTGACAAATGCTACTCCTGCTTGCTATTCTTGCTTTGCATCGAGTAGCATTCCCCGACTGATAGGCATAAGACACACATAGCTTTAAACCCACCACCACTCCCTAGACAAGACCGACAAATAAAATCGCTTGCTTAACTAACCGCTTATCTTTGATTCGTGCAGTTGCATGGATGAGTCGGAGGACCAGTCGCAGACTGAGGACAGCAGCGCCGGCATGTGCAATGGCAGCCTGGGCCGAGAGATAATGAGCGCAGTCCAACGCAACGAGGCGGAGCATCAGCAGTGTGCAAAAAAGGTAAGAGAACAGGTAGAAAACTCGCAACCCAGCGGGCGGTCATCACTAATTCCTTTTGATTCCTTTCAGACGGTGCATTATGCAGACCAGGACATGTACTATAGCCACGAGCCTCACGAAGACAGCTCGCTGAACTCGTCGCAGGCCTCTGGCATGGATGATTATTTGAATCAGGCTTTGGGCGAGGATTACGGCAGCACCCAGGATGATGATGAGAGCTTGAGCGGGGACGATCAGAATGCCAGTCGGCTTTCCTTGGGCGTAAGTTATCTTTGCAAGAATAAGGAATTCCATGTTAAATCTACTATCTTTACAGAGCAAAGGAACTACGGCCTCGAACAGCTTCTCCTTCCGAAAGAACCCAATCACCAGCAGTTGCACGCCCATCGATGAGCATTCGGAGATCATGGACGTGCAAACGCCGCTGTCGAGTGGAGCGCAGCCAGTAAAGTCCGAGCTGAGCGTAAACCAGGACAAGGACAACCTGGTCACCTTGGTACACACTGTGAGCTTCTACCGTCGCCAGCAGAGTGCCAACGTTAGTAGGATCATTCTAGGGACTTTACGGATTTTTTAAATAACTTATTTCCGTTTCAGAGCTCTAATTCCACCCCCGTGCGCAAGATCTGCCGAGAGCAGCAAGTGATGCGATCAGCTCTTGCCGGTGACTGCCATGCCAAGCACAGACTGGAATATGATTCACCGCAACAGGGCGAAGGTGGGGCGGCCAGCATGGACGACCAGACTGATGAGGATGAGGAGTTGGCTCAAAACGCGCGAGATTCCAGCGAGGCCTCGCAAGCACAGGACAAGATCAAGAAGCTGCTGGGCGAGGTGTGCAAGCAGCAGCAGGTTATTGGTCAGGCAAGCCAGGCTCTTAATCTGTGCGCGGCCACCGTCGAGTTCTCCGGATCTACGGAATCCGTTGAGGGAGAGCGGTATCTGCTGCTGGCAAGTAAGTTATCACATCCAGCTATATGATTGATTATTGCTAATGTTTTATCTCTGGTCAGCCCATCGTCGCCAGGCCTGCCTGGACGAGGTTCAACGATTGCGGGTGGAGAACAGTATGCGTCCCGTGGGCGCACCCAAGGAAAAGGGACTGCTGACGGTGAAGGACATTACCATTCCCCTGCGCCAGGAGTATGTGCGTAAAATGGCTTCGGGCAACATTAATGGGCATCATCTGGTGTGCCTACTCAAGTACAATGAGCACGTACTGGCCACCAAGACTGTGCCGACGATGCCTGGCCTGTTGTCGGTCAAGTTCCCCGACGTCTTGCAGCTAAACAATGTCTACGCCGATTTTCGGGTAAGTCACTTAAAACTTTTAAGTTGTCCAGTATTATTGAATTCGATATATTTGTTCTACAGATCACTCTGGAAATCTATGGCATGCTGGCGCAACGCGATCAGCTGCCCCATGAGCTGAAGTACCACATCAACGTAAACAAGAAAGGCGGCGTGAAGACGCCCAAGAAGAAGGGTGGCGAGAATCGACTCGTAATGCCACCGGTACAGAGTCCGGCAGGGCCTCATGTGGTGCGAAAGCCGCAGCTGGTGCAGTATGGCTTTGCCATCTTCTCGCTGCGTGAAATTCAGCGCACCAGTTGGACGCTGACCCAGGTTCTGGGTGTCAGCCCCTTAGAAGGCGTCGTCCATATGAAGGTCAACTGCGAGCTGTCTGTGAGCGTGGAATATAAGGGATTCCTAACCATGTTCGAGGACATCTCCGGCTTCGGGGCCTGGCATCGCCGCTGGTGCTATCTGAACGGCTCCGTGCTCAACTTTTGGAAATATCCGGACGACGAGAAGCGCAAGACTCCCATGGGCAGCATCGATCTGAATGCCTGCAGCTCCCAGAAGGTGTCAACCGCACCTCGTGACATTTGCGCCCGCCTCAACACGATGCTGCTAGAGTGCGAGCGCCCGGCGATGGACACGGACCAGGAGTCACTGATAATCGTGCCCAACGGACACACGACCACGGTGCGGCATCTGCTCTCCGCCGACACGAAGGAGGAGCGCGAGGAGTGGTGCGCCTACTTCAACAAGGCACTGACATTGCTGCGCGCCTGGGGAAATACCCACTAGACCCATTCACCAGCGATTGCAATTGCTGTCAGACCACGGACCATGAACGGGCGGGTTGTTTAAAGTTTTCTCTTTTTAAGTTTTACTAACCTAACTACTTTAATGGCGTTTGTCTTATTTTTGTTTAATGTTTCCACT